AACGTGAATACCAGACCGTGGCCGCGACAGAGTGGTAATAACGGTTGAACGTTCCTCTTTCTGAGCTTGTCTCAAGGTAGAAAATCTCCTACTAATGTGAAACTGGCTATGAAAACACCTGAATATCGATCGTAAAGAATAGTTCACGGATCCATCAAGAAAAGAAACACGCAAAACCACCAATGATTCTCCCAGAATCAGCAACAGAGCTCAATGTGGAAATTCAACTTCCACGAGCGACGAATTATTAGAACAAGAGTCCCAAGATCAACTCAAAACCTAACATTCAAACCTGGAGAATGTCTGTACCCATATCATCAAAGCTGGCAAAATTGATGATACGATTCAACACCATCACACAGAAGAAGCGACTGGCGACCAAAGCCTGAAAAACGAGAGGACGAAGGAAACGATAAGATCCATTTTCATTGTGAACGATCACAAGTATGGCCTTTTCGATTCCCGTTCGGAAATTGCAATTCCCAGCAGGGCTCGAGCTCGGATGTGATGTTGAGCTTATCTTCGATGGAGCATCGAGCTCGAAGAGGCCAGGCTCTGGAATGAAAAGTTTATTCCAACGGGAACGGCAGAAAAATCCCAGTGCCGGAAAAGAAAACTTGCTGTTTGAGTATCTTTACCATCTGACAGAGGGATCTGATTAATAGTCAATCTGATTCAAGTTTCCGAAACGGCGAAAGTGCTGTCTAGGGTCTAATGTCCAAGCCTGCTCCGACCAGGGCAGCGCTTGCACCGCCCTCCCTGCATTTTCGAAATTGAAATCGAGATTCTGAAATGATGTACCTAATCGGGTATTAAGCGAATCCGAAAGCACTTTTTGGATCGGAGCGGGAATGGAATCAATTCAGAATTCGTCGAATTCTAACGTCCGACGATTGTTATGGGAAAGTAACACCCGACTTCAATGGTCCATGCGCCCCGAAACGAGAGATCAAAGTGCTCGGGGAAATCTGATTGCATGTGAACTCGTGAGTTCGGATGTGAGATCAAGAGAAATTTTGGGGAAACCATGGGGCCATTGTTGCTGATGCCAAGAGCGCCACCACCAGCTCTACCATAGCGGTCTTCGAGCTCCCTGAGAGTACTCTTAAAGAGAGGCGGACAGATGTGACTGATGCGATTCTTGAGGGGATGAGTTCTCTTCTGCGGTCAGGGGTGCCGAAATGCAATTGATATCGTTCGGGAGAGATGAGACTTGCCTTTGAGGATCCTTGTTCTCTATACAGGGTACAAAAATTGAGATCTGGAGACCTCATTTGGAACCTACCCGTGTCTGGGAACGCTGAAAAAAATCCGGAGAAAGAAATTGAAAGTAATTTCAACCATTCTCGAGCTCATTCAAACTCACACAGTGTGACTATGAGAATCGATGAGGGAGGATGCTCTCTGAAATGATAGTGTTGCTGATATCGCTTCGAACACTTAGCTCGTCCCATCTCTGAACGATGCACAATCCGAATCAGGATCACCGAGACTTACCCGAAACCCTGACATCCTCCGCATTGACCCGCTGTAAACTCTTACGGAAGCTTCAGCTCAGCTTGCCTCAATTCGGAACAGATGCTCTTCGAGCTGACCCGGTGCACAAAGTACTCCGAAAAAAGATTCCGAACGAAGTTCGTCCCGGGAAATGATCTCTTTCGAGGACGAACTCATCCTCTGAGTCAAGCGACGACCCATCCGTAGATCTGGTTCGCCTTGACTCCGGAAATTCGCGACGCCCTAGCTTCATTCCCGAGACGTCGCATCGTTTACCTTCGATCGAATTAGCTGGGAATGAATTCGGGCCTAACTGCTCCGTCGGAAACTTTTCCAAATGGATTGATTGTTACAGAGCCACGCGGATTGTGAAAATCACTCTGAAACGGCATATCACAACGTTTCGATCCGGGCTTTTCCGATCAACGCAGAACAGCCTCTGAGTCGATATCCACCAAGATAGCGGGGACTCCGACGTCCCTTCGCATCTTGAGGATGATCCGGCTCCGGGTGCTTGTGTCTTCTGTGATGCGGACTCGATCGAAAATTCTATCAAATTGAGATAAAAATTCTAAATGTGAAAGCAGTCGAGAATTCGACGCGACACTTGAAGAGAGAAGGCCAATATACGCATTGAGCACCAAATTGTTACGCGTATCTACGAAAAAAAGTTCACATCAACCCCGCTCTCAATAGGACAACTGAATTCGATTGTCGAGACGCTGATCAAAATCGCGTCTGAATGTCCAGTTGGGAAGAGAACAGATATTTTATTTTTATAGTTTTTTATATTGAGTTGAAAGCAATTTATCCCCGCATCTCTACTCCAATGAGTTCATGAAGCTCAGCTTCATAGTCGGAATCGGTAGAGTTGCGGAAAACCACCAAAACGGCTCAAGCTTTGAGGATGATCTCGGAGCTCGAGCTGAATATGTGTCTGTATGTGTTCAAATTGGAGTAGAAAGCTCTCTTTGAGACGAGACGAATAAATTTTCGGGAGGCCAGAAAAGGCGTACGAGAGTAGACCGAGAACACACATACAAATACTCCCAAAGTACACGTGAGAATAAAAGTGAAGATGCTCTTCGCCCACCCGCTCGAGTACGAAGTATGAGTGCTGTGGTGAATAGTTGGCAGGAGCGTTCTGCCGATCTAGCCACAGCTCTTTGCGGGATACTCAACCATCCAATTGTTGGAATCTGCTCTGGCATCGCCACGTATCTATTCATTAGTGAGGAGGTATCCGATCTCGAAGGATCTGATAATTTATAACATAACAACCTTGAAAAGAGAGATGCTCTACTCATCCGCCGAACAAACATCAAAAGACAACAACCAAAGAGAAATAAACAAGTACCCCATGCTTGCATTCATCCATTCAACGAAGCAAGCAAGCAAGCAAGCAACGTCAGTCTTCATGAGGACTGAGGACCGTGCTCAGAACTACTCCGAATCTATTGAGTACCCTCAATCTTTCGGTACCATTGATCGAGTGGTTCTGGGAGGGAGCTCCTCTCGCAAGGACTCCACAACATTGACCAGCATAATCGGCGCCCAATCGTACTGTGGTTTCGAGTTCGTAGACCTCGGCGAATGGCGCCTATAGGTCCGTTACGAATTAAAGCCTCGCGACTGATTTGAGTCGATCAGTCGCCTGGAACAAACTCAAAGTACTTTTTGCGGAGCTGGAGAAGAAAACGAGACTAAGCATGAAGGGAAGCAGCGAGAAAAATGTCAAGTTTAGAAATGGCAGGGAAGGAATCTCCCGAGCCGTCACAGCGAAAGAGAAAGCAACGGAAAATCCGCAGCGGGAGCTGACCCGTACTACTTGTTGGCCCATGAGGAGTTTTCAGCAGTTTTCTTGAGGAATGCGAGATCCCTCCCCGACAGGGGCGGAGACTCCAAGCCGGAGACTCCCCAAACTTCCTGACAGAGGGCTCGATCAAGGCAAAGAACTAACTGTACAGAACTACTCGATCAAGGCCATAGAGCATGTACGCATCAGGTCCCTGGAATCCGTGCGGCCTCTTGCTGATCCGAAGAGATACAAAGTTCGAAATAGACCTGGACTTCATGCCCAAAAGAACGAGCTTGTGACGAGGTGCGTGACTTTTACAGGCACGAACTCTTTTACTCGTACGACAAGCATCGCCTGCAGAGGAAACAAGAAAAACAATCGTAACGAGCGAGTTTTCAGAGCGCACCACATAATGGTGTAAATGGTGAATATAGTACTGAGAAGCTACGATACAATTAGATATTCACTACCGAGCTACGATAAGGTATAAGCGACAGAATGTGTGAAATGAAAGTTGGGAAAACAAGAGAATCTCTGATTTAATTTTTTATAAACGGCAACACCTTCGTCGATAAACTACTGTATTCCATAGCAGAATCGACGGCGTTCCGGTAGAATAAGCATGAACAAGTCTCCTGCTACTATAAGGTCTTTATTCTGAAAGATTGAGATCATACGCTAATTTCGCCTCTCGCACTAGTCCCTCCCTCACACAAATCTCAATATATGAACATATATATACATACATAATATATAAACTTTATATGAATCGCTTACCTCCAAACAAGCGAACCAAGAAGCGCTGTCGCTTTCTCCCTTGATTTTTTCGAAAGCTATGCTTCTGACCCTTTCGAAGGTGAATGCAAAACTCCTCGTAGGCATACCCATCACGGGAAATTAAAAAGGAAAATCTGACGATGAGACATGAAAGCAAAAGTAGCCCACATACAAGATTGTATCCTCTCTTGTCATGATCTGAGTCAACACAACATAACGCTCATCTGTGAACATGACGTGCGATGAAAGGAAATACAAAGATCGACCACCGGAAAAACATGGAGGTTGACAAAATGATTTGGAGATAAATAAAAAATGTTACCAACGCATTTAGAAACGAAACTGTCCTCATTGTTCAACTTGAGTCCATTTCGCCGAATCGTGAGACGAGGTGTTCCTCACTCTAGTCTGGTACCCAGGATTCCCTCCGTAGACCGCAATCTATTCAGTTTAATGTTAAATCCGAAATGATTAAGGAGAAACAAATCATCCCTCCTCTGGGATAAAATGAGCCGTGAAGGTCAATAGGCTGCTCTGGGGGCAATCCCTTGGCGCGGTCGGACGAGGATGACCGTCGTTCATTCGATAAATGAGTCCCGACTCCTCATTCCATTCAACTTTATTTAGGCAGGTATCACCTTCCTGGGGCTCGTACGAATCCCTACGAGCATTGTCGCGACTGTCCGATAACCCTCATCATTCCGTCCCCATAGCTACCGAATCGCACTGATTGCTACAATTGAAGTACAATATATACAGGATCTGCGACAAACTTGAACAGTTCGTTGTCGCGATGGCTTACGCCGCGACCATCGCAAGCCGCAAGTCAATCGAAATCACATGATCATCCCGAGGGAAGCTGCGAGATGCTACGACATCGGGTCGGTCGAGTTCACAGGATTCCGTACCGCGGTACGCTTCCGCGGAATCAGTTGAAGCATACCGGGCCGACTTTGAATCCGAATTTCTTCCCCGATCCGCTGAAATCTCGGGGCATGAAGTCCACGAGCGGGAGCTGCTCTACTTTATTCGTTTTGAATTCGAAAACAGTCCTTCCGAGACGAGGAGAGTTACGACACTGATCTTCCATCACGATCGGTCTATGGTGCGTGGGATCGAAGTGGTCACCGTTCGCAGCTGAAACATGTTTTCAATGATTGCCCGTCGTTTCACCTCATTCTCAATTAGAGTGGGGGAGATCAAATCACGGAAAACCACCGACCGACAAATTGCAATGCGAGGGAATAGTCTCCAGTCTGTTCCGAAAACCATGCCACAGAGTTTTCGCAAGCATAGGTGAAGCCTTGTCGTGCGCTTCGGCTCAGAAGTCTCAGGAGGCGCAGTTGGACCGGATCGATCGAGGAATACGTCATCTGCAAATCATGAAAACGAGACCGCCGTGATATCGAGGAGCGCCGCGGGCGAGCGGTTCCCGACCAACAAATCTCATCATGGGAGTCCAGACTAACCTTGAAACCGCCTTCCAATTGGCTGAATGAAAGCTTCTCGCTTTTGACGTCCTTGGTGCCCCAAGTCTGCAACGCAGCTCTGGAATAGAGAATCGGGCGGGAATGAGGGCGTCTTCGACTCCGAATTTTTTCCCAAGCATGCATGATCGAATAACAAACCTCATCGTTGTTTCATCGGCATCAATGCAGGTCTCGCCGCTAGATTCCAGATCACAGAATACGTTCACGGCGTCATCCGGAGTTCCTCCGTTGGGATCGATCCAATACCGACCTTGAATCATTAAAATCCGATTGACTTCGATGTTCGGCGAATGATAGGAAGATGAAAACATCGACGACAAAAACTAACCGTTGGGCAGTTCTTTGTGAGCCATGTAGAGATTTTTGCAAGATCTCGCCGGATTCAGCCGGGATCCGATCGGCCTCTTAAGATAATCAATCTCTTTGCGGATTACGTAGATCTGGGCATAGATACCTGATGAGAATGGAAGTGAATGGCGGCGAGATTAACGGCTGTCAGTGTCATGATGGTGAGGGGCAGCGAGTTGGATTGGGTGTTCCTCCTTCCCGACTGACCGAGGAGTCACGGAACAACACTCTGAGCCTGCCTTAGCTCGAGACTGGGACTGGGAGATTGGGACTCACCGCTCAGGGTCTTTTCGTCCTCCATTGTTTTCTCCATATCATTGACTTCACGCCGAGATCGAGGTCCTTTCACGGTGGATTCCCGGAAGAAGGTCTCTAGCGGCAGCTTCGGACCTTCACCGGGTGGTCCGGGCGGACCGGGTGCTCCCTGTGAGTTTCAAAATGTATGAGGACGGGAATAAGGGAAATGTATGTGGTAGAAATCTTGAAGTACCCGCCGGATGCATCGTCATACCATGGGTCCTGTTTCTCCTTTCGGCCCAGTTGCCCCGTCGCTGCCTTTAGGCCCGACTGGGCCCTCGAGTCCCGGCGACCCGGGGGGTCCATCTGCTCCCTTCTGTCCTTCGAATCCTTGGATGCCCTGGAAGTCAAGGTGTCAAAGACTCTCATTCCTTCAGCAGCGCGATTAATGGCATCCATAAGGAATTAAAATACGGAATGGTCAGGTGAGCACTCCACTTACAGGTTTCCCCGTCTGACCGACGGGACCTGCCGGGCCTGTATCGCCTTTCTCTCCTTTTTCTCCAAAATCTCCTTTGCGTCCGCTCTTGCCGGGTATTCCTCTGCGAGTAAATTGGAGTCAATCTCGGGCTCCAATGGGAAATAGGTCCGGCCAGGAAAACTGAATGAGGAACGAACCTGTCTCCCTTCCAGCCTCGCTTCCCTCTTTCCCCTTTCTCTCCCCTCTCCCCAGGGGCGCCCACAGCTCCAGGACTGCCTGCGGGGCCAGCTTTGCCCGGCGCGCCTACGTCTCCAGCCACGCCTGCCTCCCCTGGTAGCCCCGGCGAACCCGTGGGACCCATGGCTCCCTTGAATTCAGAATCCATTCATGTCGATCCAGCTCTGCTCGGCGGAATCAGATACAGGGATGTTCAGTTACTCACCGGTGGTCCTAGAGGACCGTGGGGACCCTTCGGGCCGACTTCGCCTTTGTCCCCCTTGATCCCAGGCAGACCGGTGTCTCCCTGAGCACCTGCCGGTCCTACGGCCCCAGGTTTCCCGGGGGAACCAGTATCACCCATTTTTCCAGGTTCTCCTTGTGGGCCCTTCAGAGGGAGAAAAGAGGGGAAGGTCTCGGATATTCAAATACCAGAATCGACTCGAGAGAATCAGCTCCGTTATTTCGATACAGTACTCACCGGAGGGCCGATATCCCCAGGCGCTCCGTTCACACCGTTTGCTCCTGGCTCCCCTTTAGCCCCCGGTTTCCCAGCTTCGCCGGCGACGCCCGGGAAGCCGGGTGCTCCCGGGTTCCCTTTAGGTCCTTCTATCCCTGGAGGTCCCCGGGGTCCAGAAGGTCCAGGAATACCGGCTTTTCCTTCCTCTCCTTTCGGACCCGGCGGCCCTACCGGACCGATGGGACCGTCTTTTCCGGCCGTGCCTGCTGCTCCCGGTTTGCCGTCCTCGCCTTTCTGACCGCGTAAGCCACTCGGTCCCGTAGGACCTGCGATACCATCATTACCCTTCGGACCAGCAAGTCCAGGTTCGCCAGGCTGACCAGCGGACCCAGGCGGTCCTAGTTTTCCGTCGTCACCTTTGATGCCTTTCTCGCCGGTCAAGCCAGGGATACCCTGCTTCCCCGGAGCACCCGACGGACCGGGGGGACCGATCGGTCCTTCTTCACCCTGAAATTCAGAGTTTTTCTCGTCACGATCTCCTGCCAGTTCTAAGAATGATCAATTTCGGGAGCGTCTGATTTTCCTTACTTTCACTCCCCGGGCTCCATGACTTCCCGTTGGACCAGGTTCCCCAATAGCTCCCGGTGTGCCTGGCTCGCCGCGTAGTCCGATGGGACCTATCGGCCCAGTGGGACCCTACGGGAGAAGTTGGTTGGATACTCCAACGAGAGAGATACATTCCAGAGGTGAGTCATAGTTCTGAATTGCCTGCCAAACTCACCGAGTCGCCCTTGCTTCCTTTCGAGCCCTTCTGGCCAGCGGCACCGACATCTCCTTTATCGCCATCTTCTCCCGGTCCTCCACTCGGTCCCGGTGAGCCCGGTAAGCCCCTGGATCCAGGAAGTCCGTCGCGCCCAGCAGATCCGGGAACTCCGATATCCCCCTAGGTGTTCAATAGGTGAGAGTCTATTGCCTATTATTTATTTATGAGAGCCGGAGTCTGATATCTATTAGTAATATCTCAGGCACAGCGAGATCCGTGACAGGCGGAATCCCCCCAGGTGTTCAATAGGTGAGAGTCTATTGCCTATTATTTATTTATGAGAGCCGGAGCCTGATATCTATTACTAATAGATATCAGACTCCGGCTCTCAGGCACAGCGAAATCCGTGACAGGCGGAATCTGTAGGAATCCCCAGAAGAGTGATACGCCGAAACGAGCAGCGTTGAAGCTCAAGAATTGATGGCTAATTTTCTCGATGCCGCTTCCCGATCCTACGCTTTTTTGACATGAGGATCTTCCGAATTCTTGATCGCACGGCTCGATGGAACCCGCGGGAGATGACCGACGATACCGGGCCTTACCCAAATCTGATAAGCGTACCGGAGGCATTCGGGCGCTCCTCAATGTCGCTTCATACGCAGAAAGGGAGCAGACGCATCCTTACCTTGTCTCCTTTCGGCCCGGGTGTCCCTTGCGGACCTATGACGCCTTGGCGACCTCGCTCTCCGGGAGGTCCTGGTTCACCGGGAGCCCCCAACGCTCCCTTCTCTCCCTGTTTCTCGGAACGAGATGAAGAATATTTTATTTCCCAAAAGTGGTGCTTCTCATGGGAACCCTCCGCGAGCTATCCCTCGCAACAGAGAGATTATCGACGATTATTATCAGCGGGCGTCGAACTCTGACCTGAGGCCCAACAGCTCCCGTCAATCCGATTTCGCCTTTGCCTCCGGGATGACCCCGCGGCCCAGGAGCCCCGGTCTCGCCTGGCGGACCCGCCAGCCCAGGGGGCCCCATGACTCCCGGCTCGCCGGGATGACCGACGACTCCCTGGAGAATCGAGTCGTCCCGATTAGCAATAGAACATGATAGCTCATTGAAGTTCAGTGACGAGGAGCGCAGATTCAAAACTCACCGCTGGGCCGTCTTTCCCAGTTTCTCCAGGAGGACCAGTCTCACCAGGAACGCCGACCGGTCCGGGGGGTCCAATCTCGCCCGTTTTACCAATCTCGCCGTTCGGTCCTGGCAGGCCAACCGGACCTGGCGGACCGATCGGACCAGCGACGCCAGGCTCTCCGGCCGACCCGCGCTCTCCAGACGGTCCGACATGACCATCTTTGCCCGGATTCCCTGGTGTCCCTGGCACGCCGTTGAAGCCTCTCGGCCCTTCAGGACCTTGTTCCCCCCTTTCACCGGGCTGGCCCGGACTTCCCGGTTCTCCGACACTTCCCTTTTCTCCGGTGTGACCAGTTTTCCCCGGACGGCCTCGCAGACCGCGATTGCCCCTCGGCCCCATCGGACCCCTCTCACCCGGGACCCCTTGCAATCCGCGATCGCCTTTGAAACCTTTCGGGCCTGGAGGTCCTTGGAAACCTTTCTCCCCCTTAGGGCCATTAGCTCCCGGATACCCCGGGAAACCGGGTACACCCTGCTTCCCTTTTTCGCCTAGAAGACCGGGAGCTCCTCGTTCTCCCCGGACGCCATCGAAACCCTTCGGCCCCTCGAGTCCTTCGGCACCTTGAGCACCATCGAGACCTTGCGGACCGGTATCTCCTTTCGGACCGACGTCGCCCTTTTGACCTTCAGGCCCGATGATTCCCTGCAATAAGGAATCTCATGAGATTTTTCGGTCCATCAAGACTACCCACTCTCTGGATCGTGGCAGCTACCCCTAATATTGCTTGCAGATCTAGTAACCTTGTCTCCCTTGACTCCAGACGGTCCACGAACTCCTTGGTCGCCCTTGTAGCCTCTTTGCCCTGGGAAGCCCACCGGTCCCTGGGGACCGATGAAGCCCACGTCTCCCTTGATACCCGGTGAGCCCGGACTCCCGCTTGAACCCTAGAGCGAGAAAACCGACTCACAACAACATCATGACGATCTTCCACCACCATTGAAATCGAGCGCGAATCCGCGTTCGAATCTGACGGTGAGCGACGAAACGGTCACTGGCAGAACCGACTAACCGGCAAACCTTCAGCCCCTGGCAACCCCGGAAGTCCGGGTTTCCCTCGCGGTCCTGGGGATCCGATCGGACCCGGGATCCCGGGCGAGCCTTGGGGTCCCATCGGGCCCGACTGTCCTACGTGACCGGGTTGACCGGGAGCACCAGGAGGACCCTGAAGATAGGGATGAATTCCCCCGAGGAGTAATTTCAATCGAATCTCTGTAGTATCACGAGTTACCATACTGTCGACGGGGCTCGAAATTTCGGTAGCTTTCACCACTCATCCTCGCGGAAAGTGGAGCTTCTCAGGAACCTACCTCATTGCCTTTTGATCCCATAGGTCCTTCGGAACCAGGGATTCCGGGGGGTCCTGGGGGACCTGAATGACCTCGCTGACCGGGGAAGCCTCGCTGTCCCATCTCACCCGTGAGACCCGGTGATCCGGAGGGTCCTGGCTGGAATATCAGATCCATTTCGACTTTAAGGCTCTCAGAGCCGGAATTTTCCATTCTCCCATACGACGATTCTCACCTCGCCCTTCGGGCCGTCAGATCCCATGAGACCGGCTTCACCTGGATTCCCTTGGTATCCCCGATCTCCTTTATCGCCCGGTAAACCGGGATGACCGGGATGTCCTTTAAAATTGCTCCGGTGAGTGACTCTCGAGAGTTCGAGTCGCGTTCTGCACCGGCTGATTTACATTTTCTCGATCGAGCTTCCCCTGGATCTAACCTTGCTCTCCTTTCTGGCCCATCGGGCCCGTGGGACCTCTTTTGCCTTCTTTGCCGCTCTGACCCCGCCGACCCATTTTTCCGGGGCTGCCGGGATGCCCTCGAGGTCCCCGAGCGCCTTCGACGCCGGTTTCTCCGATGTCTCCCTTGTCTCCGGGAGGTCCAGGTGGACCGACAGGACCTGGTAGGCCTGTGAGCCCCCGAGCTCCCGAGGTGCCTTTCATCGCTGCCTGTTTCACAAGGTTGCGAATATTTCGAGCTTTAGGAATAACGCTCAAGATTACCGAGATATTTCTCATATCTCCAATATGCGGTAAAGGTTTCATCAGCACATCAGAGTACCATGTGTTGACTCAGCATCTGTCTCAAGTAGTCCGTGTTGTCGGGGCCCTTGATGTTCGTATCTGGTCCTTTGACTTGTCCAAGACCTGTTCGCTGATACTGCAGAGGTGGAACGGCTGCTCAGCAAAAAACAAAAAATAATGGCATTGCATCTGGTCAGCGCGGAAGGTGATCCACGAGAGAAGATACGACTTACTGGTATGACGAAGATGTGACCGGGAGGACCGGTTATGCCCTCGGTTCCAGGGATACCGTCTTTCCCAGGATCTCCTTTCTCTCCCTTAGGCCCCGCGGGACCTTGAAGACCCTGGAATCCTTGGGGACCTTGCGGACCCTGGACCTGCAGGGGAGACTCGGTAAATTCCACTTGATTAGCGACAGAATCGGATTCTATCGAAGTTGGGGTTTCCACGAGCAGGGACCTGGTAGTAGGCGAAGCTGCCGGGTGCTTGGCGACTTCTCTCTGTCGTGGTCGACTCCGTCGTATTCCATGTGGATGGGGGAGTCGTTGACGGAGGACTTGACTCCTAGGAGGGAGAAGAGCAGTCGATGCAATTAGCGCTTGAAACCGCCCCGACGGAGAAACAAAGCGTCTAGCAACTTACGCGTGGATACAGCGGAGGTATTGGCAGTCTGCAACTCGGCATGAAGAGGGAGCACATCTCATACGCCGCCTCGGGCGTCGGCGAGAAAACCAATTGCTGAATGTCACCCTTATACGAGTTCTGCAACTCTAAGGAGTCGAAAAACAAATGGAATCGAGTTCAGTGAGACAATGCGTCAATGGTGGGATACTGATCCCGATTTCGGGCGACGCTCACCGTTGGCACCCCGGGCGACGGTGATTAAGGCGTTGATGGGCTCTGCTTTTCGTGGCCGGAGCAAAGGCGACGTGAATTGCTCGTCACAATCCCGAATCAGAACGACGCTATCCCCTTTTACGCTGAGAGCGACCCGATGCCAGCTGGAATCCCACACAGTTTTTTACAGGAGCGCACTCAGAGGAGTGTAGAGCGACGTCCATCAGACGAAGAATAAAGACCCGTCGCGTTCAGGAAAAATCTCTTCGAAGATTCAAGGACCGAGGTAGCCCCATTCTCGGGGGATGGCGGTATCCTATCGAATCGCCTCTCCTAACCAGAACTGAGTACGTTCCTGAACGCGACCCGTGCCGGTGTTTGCGGGAAGGGGGCGGGGCGCCTCATTTCCTCGGAGGAACTTTCCTAGGTACGCCGGTAAACGAACTTGGGCATTTTCGCTGATGACTCACAGCGCCTGCCTTACCTGCCGTCGTTGAGAACGCAATTGTCGAAACGAGCAACAGAAGTGGAATTGTTCGGACCTCTTGCGACGAAACTGGCAGAGTAATCCGAAATACTGAACGAAACCCTCTGGTCGAGCCCATCATCGAAGATGCTGAAGAGAACTCCGGAAGCGCCCTGGAGCGGAATGCAACTCGGTGACCTTACGTGCTCTATCCGTCGAGATCGCGATCTCATCCGTCGAATCTGGCGCTAACTCACTTTTTCGGGTCTGAGCGTCATCAAAATGGAAAAATCGTTCAGTAGCATCAGGGGCCAATTCTGCGCGGGACCGATCAATTGGGCACTCGTTATTGTGTAGGCCGTATCGGGCCCCACATACATAGCGGTCCCATTTTCGATAAAAGCGGGGCGAGCTTCACAGATACCGGAACAGACCGACACCCCCGCTCGAGGCTGGTACAGGTCCACAATATCTAAGAGGTCTATGGTTCCTGAAAGGCATTCCGCGGATTTAGGGGAGCGAAGATTACCGTCCGGTCCCAGATGAGGTTTCGGAACCTCGAATAATTCCATTGCACGGTGGAAGTTCGGAATCAGATGATTCGAGCACACGATGAACGATGCAATCATTTTGATGGAGCTGAACTCGCAGGACCCCAACTACAATTTATTATCCACGCGCTCCATCGAGCCCCTCATTCCGATCGTCCGAATGAGGGGGACGACATCATGACCGTGAGCTCAGGCGGGTTGCGAGTGGCTCGCGTTTTTCGTACCTTCAGGTATCGCTGTGAGTTGAGCCTCGAGGGGTTTGACTTGAGTGAGAAAAACAGAGAGAACGGTACAAAGGAAGAACGGAGGCCGAGATGCTCGCAGAAGCCAGCCTCGGAGCCCGAAGGTCCGGCGTTTGGAGTCGAGCATCTCGAGAAGCCCGAGGACGGACCTCTCTAGCGCTTCCCCAATCCGCCGGATGAACGTAACACAGCAATCTCACACGACACTTTGACTCTCACGGAACAAGTAAATCTTCCCAGTTCTTGTCGTAGCCACACATACAAAGAGAGGGGAACCATTACCGGTGGGAGGAATCGTGAGACATCCGTGGGCGAAAGCGGCGTTTTCCGCAGAGGGTGCATGTCTTTCCATTGGTGTTTCCTCCGCTACAACCGTAAATTCATCACAGAGCATCCCGAGTCTCCTCGATCGGAGCCGTAGGATCAGGCTCAGTCGAGATTCCAATGACGTCGTCTGTGCATACGAGGATCCAGTCCCCAATCTCCCGTATGCGGACATGCCTCCCGGTGCCGTCGTGCGGACATTCGGGCATTGTACTCAGCTACTGCTCATCTCAGGGATCTTAAACTATCCGCCACCCGCGGCTGTCCGATTCCCGCCGCACTCTCAGAGGAGCGTTTCTTTGCCTTGCCTCCAGTGGAAATCTGGATGTCATTATGGTTTTCGTCGGAGCGGACAACCTCGCAACGCGCATCCTCTCCAATCGTCTTGAGCTCTCTTTTTTCAGATCTGGTTCACGCAAGATCAGTCAAGAGACTCGCGGAATCGTGCAGCGTGTGCGGATCTACATCAGATAGATCTACATCATCCATACTTTTATAGCACTGTCCAATTCCTGTCAAACAGTGCACACAACACGGGATACAAATTGATTCTGAGGAAACACAACATATCGTCAGATAGTACACAGTACAACAGCATTTCATGCGTCAGCTTTTTTTTCGAGCCGCCCGTGCTGACGATTTCCGGGTAGTCCGGAGATATCTTCTCCAGCTACGGTCCCGTCAAAACACGCCTCGCCATCATCACGAGCAGGTTGTTGTCTGTGCCGCGGAATACCGAAGAGGTTCGGGAAAAGTTAGGACATAATTCCGCATCAACCATCGGAGCGAGAGAGCTCAATCTGATAATCATTTGAAGCTGACGTCCGCTGCCAAAGCTTTGAGCTCGCGTGGAGAAGATAGGTATGCACCCTCAAAGCACGGCGCGGCTCACGAGCCCTGCAAGATTCAGCCCTCGAGCTGATGTCGCCGAAACTTCCTCGGGCTCTGAATCGAGCCAGTGACTGTGAATAGCTGAGAGTCGTCTGTCACGGACCGAGTATGAACGTGCGTGGGCAATGCTTGGAGTGGGATCTACGCCATGGTGATAATATGGAAAACTATCGGGAGACCATCGAGAACTCTGTAGCAGGCACAAGTTCCAAGACAGGTGTTAGTTTTCTACTCAGATCTAACAGAAAATACAGTGAGAGGTTCTTCGTCGTTTTAATATAAACTTTACATCCAAATTGATTCTCTCATTCAGCACGGGTGTAGAAAAAGACGTATCTCCGACCGTTTTCCCGCAAAGCAATCTTTTCGTGCACTTCATATTTCTATCATTGGTCTCCGATATGGGAACTGAAGAATGTGGAAGCTCTCCTCAGCTTCCACAGAGACAGCTGAGAAGATGGATATTTATTCCGGATCATGGGGTCATATTCAAAATGAATGCGACACTCATATTCCGGTCACCTATTAAGAGAGTTTCACGGGAGAACGATCAACTCAATTCGTTGAGAAGCTCTTCATTTTTTCGATTTCTTCTTGCCGCTATCTTTCTTCGGTGCTTTCACTTCCTCGGCGGAATCATCATCCTTCTTAGACTTCTTGGAAGCCTGAAATGATTTGGGAAGAGGCGTTGGACTGAATGAGAAGATATGCGGTACATGATCAATAGTGAAGAGAAGAATCAGGGTTATACATCGGGTTGGGGCATATCGGGTTATTCTTGCACACGTACCTTCTTCCTGGGCTTCTCATCTTCATCATCGTCATCGTCGATGGCTGCTACGGCTGCTTGCTTTTCCACGTAGTCTTTCAGAGCTTCCGACAGGATCTGTGAGATCGAAATTCGAGGGACAGCATAAGTCAGGGTCGGAGAGACAGCGACGCCGTCGGCGGGAACATCAAATTCAACTCTCAGATGTGGTTCTTTCGACCGACGCGACGCTCCCTCGCAGTCTGAGATTTGCTGAGCATAATGAGCGCTTCACGGCGCTGATTGACTCGGTACCAGAACGGCGCGCTCTGAACGAAGGCTACGCTGCTGGTCCGCGAGAGCGAGCAATGTGACACGGCGAGTCTTTGTCTCGTTTGCGGAGTTGAAATTTTTCATGATGCCAGAGATCTCTGTCATTTCACAGGTGCCAGCCACTTACTTTCTCACAGTCTTTCAGCGAACTCACGGCGGGAACGGCGTAATGGATCTTGCGAGAGCTGCCAGATCGTCCAGCACCCCCCGTTCTGTCTGCAATAGGTAAAGACACATATTTTCATGCATTGTCGAGGGTCCGCGCTCCGGCAGAGCAGCGCGGCAAATCCACCCCAGATTCGGATAGACCTACGGATAATCCACGAGAGATACACTATTTATACTTACAGACGGTGGTCTCTCCGATTTCTGATTCATCAATCATGAATTCTGCAAGCCAAGGAACACCGTGAGGTCTTTGAGCATATCTCGGACACTTCAATTGCTACGGGAAGCTCTCCGACGATTCATTCGTAGGCTCGATAATTCCGCGTCTGCATCGAGGGTCCATTATACAGTTTCGGTCATAGTCGACATCTCATTGAACTGGACGCTCATTTAGATTCGAAGCGCTCCGAAACATGCAGGGAAAACGTTTAGGGTATTTCACCTGGTGCTGCAGCTCAACCAGAGACCTCGATCTATTTCTAGACGACTCCGGTGAGCAGCGGTGCAAAACTCCATTGTGAGATCTGGCCTTATTAAACAACGGCAATTCTCATCAATTTAGGTTTTCTGTTATCTCCAGGCATGAACATGAGTCCGCGATGGAAATGCCACCTCGGACGGACCTCCCTGACGGAGCATCACGGAACCCTCTGTACAGCTGCCCACAGCACGGACGACCGCGGGTGAATACCGCACCGCAGAGCCATAGGTGTCAAGTGTCATGCTCTAAGTGTCGAGAAATGCTTTCGATCTTCCCACGAACGTCGAAATCGAAGCCGGTGTCGGAGAAGTTCTCAAACCCTTCGGTCAAGGTCAGGAAGTAATCAAAGCAAGATTCTCCCGCACGTGAAGGCTTAGCAGTAGATACATATGTACAACGCTCCGGAATGTGGCCCGCTCCGAAGTCTCCTGCCGCTCTTCCAGCGGCACGCGATTGATGACCGCATCGCACCCTTTCGGCATAGATCGGATCAATTAGAGTTCTCCGACGTCCCCTCAGAAGATGCGCCTATTCCGCTAATCTCGGGATGTAGTGGCTCCAGAGAACAAGAGAGCATTTGTAGAGACTGGGCTTGTACTTACCGTTGATCCATACCGCAGAGATCGCAGCAAGCACAGCGACCAGTATGAAGATCCCCGAAGCGGGAACAGATCCCTGCTGCGCGTTCTTGTCGGCATGAACGGCCACCAATGATGAACGGCGTTTACCCATGATGTGAAGGTTTTTTGTCAGGGAGATCTAACGAGCAACAGATCGATAAACCGACGAATTTGTTTCTAATTAGATTCCTAAGAGAGCTGGACGAACTAGCAGCTAGCGCTCGGCGCTCTACTGATGAAGCGGCAAAGCTGCGACACTGACTGGCTAAGATGCCTGAGGCAAGGCCGACCGAGAGGTCGAGTGCTTCGGGCCCATAGAGGGAGAGTGCAGTCTGAATAAACCAGCAGCGGCGTCGACGACGGCGGCGGTTAGAAGCAGCCTCAGAGTCACAGACTCGAGTCCCGATAGGTGAGCACTCGAGACAGACCCCAGCCAACCTGGCAGCGAGCTTACCGAAGAAATAGCAGCAATGGCTGTCGCTTCGGAGGGAAGCTACCAAGTGGAAGGTCAGAGCCCGCTCATCTTGCACAACCGGGGTAGTGTTATAAGAATAAGTATCAAGTGCCTAGGCAGAAACAAACACAACGAATTTCGCGAGCGCAGATACGACGAAACTCCGCAGAGCCGCCTCTGGACAGAAGTTCTCCGGTGGCTTACCCTCCGATTGACTCTCGAGGATCCAACTTTACTCAAAGTAGTACTCGAGAAACCCAATTATGACGGTCGAGAATATTATTGAATGAGTCAATAAGGAAGAGAATTCTTCCAGAAACACTGACTAGATCGAGTGGCAGTGTCAGACTACTTACGCGAAGGCTACGTGTATCTTCCCCCCCGGGTTGGCTGGAGCTTTGTCTTGTCTTCAGACTTTGGGGGAACACAAGCATGTCTCGAGGCCGGACATGTCCCCGAGGGCTGCTCATCCCACCCAAGTAGGAAGATGTCTTCCCTACGGAGCTTGGTATTGTCCTGTTTCGCCAGGAATGCCGTGCGAAGCTCTCTAGGATTTCATTATCAAACCCGTCGTATGGAGCCTCCTCACGTGTGGGGCACCGATTTCCTCCCGGAAGAACGTTTCAATCTCCCATCCTCCGAATAGTACACATCGCTATGTCTGGTCCGAGCTACGAGAGGCATCGCGAAATCCATCTGGAAAAAGTTTTCGATGTGGGGGTTTCAGAGCTTATCGGCTTTCTGGAGGCCATCCAACGCGTTCCCCCGCCCCCCATAACCTGTTCGGCTCCCGGTCACCTCACTGATATGGCAAAGTCTTACATGCCGAGTCGCATGTCGCAATCGTCATGCGAGTTGGGACCATCTTCGTTGGAGAATACCGTGAAATCCCGCAATAAAAGACCCGTATAGAAAAGACACTCGGTCATCAAGTACCGATTGCTCAGTCCCAGCCGAGCTTATATGATCTCTCATCTCGACACACTCGGTTATAACGGACCTATCCTCGCGCGGCAGAAACTTCGCCGGACAAGAGATTGGATCATTGCCGAAATCACTCATGCATAACCCTTCTGATAGTCGTTGTAGTCGCAGGAGCTTTTGCGGCCCTCTTCCGACTCACTCCGGGCCTCTCGGAGCCCATGTTCGAATATAATAGATCTCGGATATAAGGGACCGTTCTGTGCGATCTTCCAGATCGAGCCGAGTTCCTGCTGTATATCTTAGTTCTTTTAATATCGTGTGAAGATTGTCGGCGATTGGGATAGCGTATGTGAGTAGCGCCTTCGAGCAGCTTCCTCAGCGCCGATAAGTACCCAGCAGCGTACCGAGGGGGCAAGGCGGCAGGCATCAAGGCTCCGACAGCATCAGAATGCCCGACGGGAGTGCCAGAGATCCTACTTTTCCCTCGAATCCAGTCTGATGGAATGAAAGCTCATCTTGGCTTCCATCGATATACAGGACTAGAAAGGATCGATCCAGGAAGTGTTGGAAAAATCGAGGTTTCGGCTCGGGATTTGAGGAGTACGCTGTGGGTACTTGTCGCACTTTTGTTTTGAAACTATGCTCCAATCGGAACGTACAGGATTTTCCAGCACTACCATGTCTATCCTCGGCCTAGTCTAGCCGATAGAATGACCAGTGAGTGGATGATTCACCCTCTGGATGAGTCTCAGGGAAGAAGGAGTAATGAGGATAATCTTCTGAAGATCGAATGAATCATTGAATTCCTGAATCATTGAAGTTTAAGCCTCCTGCTTGACTGAAAGGCCTTGCCTCTCACGGCGGGAGCAGGATGTGAAAAAAGACCTGTCCTGACTCCGCGTTCACGAACTTGATTAAGCCAATAAACAAGAACAAGAAAATTGACCCATGCTAAGCAATCGTCTATCAGTGTGGCTCAGCTCCTCGATGAGCTATCCAGATAATTGTCGGACACCAGGAAAGAAAATATTCCGACCCTTAGCGGTCTCGACTCTCGGCGCTCGACAGTAATGAATTTGAGTTCTTTTCACGCATCCTCTCCCGTAAACTCTCCCCTTCGAAGCGATTTTCCGTTGAAGCCGTTTGGAGGCATCAATTCACTCGGGAAACATTAAAGAGCAGCCCATTGCCCCGTGCAAGTCCAGACGACCTTGGGGAACCGTCCCCCTTATCGTATCCCCTCGCAGAGGTGAATCGGCCTCACCCTGCTGAATGCACGGAGTTCACGAGAATTCTTTTCCCACTCGCAATAAGTTTTTCTTCGATGTACCGAAAGCATATGAATGAGCAGGCGAAGTTTCTGGAGAAGGCTGCTCTTCGGTCTGCGTAGCGGGCTCCCGCCAACGCGTACAAGGCCTTAAGAATTCCGCATCCCGAAAAAGGAACGTACCATCTTACAGAAAAGCTGGATGTGTCAGCGGCTCCGGACTTAGCTCCGCTCCATTAGTGCATAGTCGATCGATTTCTGTTGGGGCGACATTCGTGCTCTTCGTAAGTCTCAAATCTCAGGTGTCGGCGTCTCTCGTGAGTATTTGGTGTACTTTTATTTGCCGCAGACCATCGAATAAACCTTGGAGACCCCAATCCAAACGATTCAGAGGAGAACTGGGAATTTCCAAGGTTTCCTTCAGAATGTCGGCAAGTTATCGGCAAACGACTGTGGTCACAACCACGTCGACCTCCCCCGGAGGGGTTATCACTGTTAATCGGAGCTTTATCTCTTCAATCAGTGGGATACTGAGCTGTCTGCAATTGGTGAGTGGATTGAAGATCGAGAGTTCCCAGGAGGGAGGCATTCGATTGTCGGGACTGACTTAGTCTGGGAACTTAAACTTTCCAAGAAGCAATCACGAACGTCATATTTTTATCTCAGGCGTTCGCTCTGATCATCTTCATCATGACAGTTCAAACCAGAGACCGTCCTTACGTCCCCGCCTATAATATCGGACTCTATTTCGTCAACCTGACTTCGTTCACATACTTGATCGTGTTCACTCTGATCCTCCTCGCTGCAGTACTATCCATAACGGGGACCATCTTGCCGACAACGTTTTTCGTGAGTTGATCGATTGTGGAACACTAACATATATGCCGGTATTATTCGGTTTTGGGTTCATTTCATCATACACTCAGTGGCGGTCAAATTGTCATAATAGAGACACCCTGAACGGTTTATGGACCTCGGGTGGCTGTTATTCTGACAGCCGCAGTGCATCTTTAGCTTGGCTCGAATAATCGATTTTACACCGGCAGTATTTCGTTCTCCATTGCGCGGCTTTCTCGATGTACTCCCTTGGAGGCATCGCCATGCTGATCAAAGGCTACAACGAATCGGTTCTCGTCGGAGCAGCTGTGAGTGTCAGGTCGGAATATTTTTTTATCAGCTCTCGGGGCCCCCTTTCTGAATGCCTTTCATTCGAAGCAAATTCGTTTTCAGGCTCTTTGTCTTGTTGTGGGCCTGTGTCACGTCCTACACGCGATGTTGATACAGCGAGGGAGGGCCTGATGTTGCGACCAATTTCTACCACCACCACCTATGGGGGGAAGTTTCACCTCATGAAGTCGTTATAATTTCTTATTATAATTGTTATAATTTCGTTGAAATATTTGGAGCGGATAAATCATTAATGCTTCCAAGCCGGCGTTCGTTCAAGATTTAGGAAGAGGACGGGTACTAGAGGTACCTCGCTCCGATGAGATACTCTGAAGTCGAGGTGGGGTTCATGAAGCAAGACAAGCAGGCTTCTATAATGCGGATAGAATTTATTCTCTCGGCTACCCTCAGTCCAAGAGCATCCAATCACACAATGATGGGTCCGAGGCTACTGATCGAATTGAGTGAGCCAGACCTTCACAAATGAAACATCTCGATGGCTCTAGGTGCCACGATCTCAACTGAAACAAATCCGGAACGATCCCAATAACGACATATCCTTACAGTGGAGAACCACTGAGCAGCCGATAGTTTTCCACCGATGAGGTCTGAGCTGCAAGCTGCATGAAATTGGCACCGATTGTGTGTTTCGCGAACTTGAGTTCTCGAAGTACATTGTATGGTCATGGAATTATTTGCTATACTCGAGCTTGTTCTCTCGGCTCTCCTCCGTTCGAGCGCGACGGGGGGGGGTTTGAACGTTTTTCAGAAAATTCATTCAGTTTGCTCATTGTACAAGGGTACGCTTCCTCACACCGCGCTACACTTACAGATGGGCTCCGGCTATCTATATACCCAGTTAACTGGGACCCACTGCTCTTCGACTGGAAGACGATCGATTATTTCACGCAAGCGATGGATGGTTTCTTCGATGTCCGAGTTGATGATTGTCAAATCGAACCACCTCCCGAAACTCTGCGCAAGCTGAGTCGACTCGCGATTCAGACGCTCCAAACTACCATCAAGCTGAAAGTAGAGGAGCCATCCTTCATTGATCGTAATCAGTGCCTAGCTATACAGAAAAGCAATCGATCGCCAGAGAAGGCGGTGTTGAATGTCTAGAGGTGGGAGAGATGAACGTACATCTGGCACAGCTTCGATCGGTGGAGCCGCGATGAAAACGACGAAGGGCGTAAATTCCGCGCATCGCAACATTTTCAGCGCTTGCGGCTCAACATCCAGTATCGCGATCTTCCCGCTATTGATTATGCTGGAATAGATTATTGGAGAGGTTCTAGACGGAGTCATCGGTGGATAATAATACGTAGATTCGTAGAACTCGGAAGTCTCCTAAAGAATTTTCTACCTTTTGATCGTTTCTAGCTTCGTTCCATACATGGCGCCTTCATGACTCCCGTATTCGAGGTATTGATTGGTTGCTATGTCCCGCAGCATCTCGTCTTGATCAACAAAAAAGTAGTGATGACCTTTTTCTTCACCACGTCTCTGGGCGCGAGTGGTATCTGCGAGAGAGGTAGACGCATGAAATCGAAAAGGTGCCTCGGGGTACATTAGCGGAAGCCTTTTTGCATATTTCAGAATCTCCCGGGAGATTGAACTCACGTGGAATCGGGTAGGCATATTTGTCAGGGTTTCCTTCGATTAGCGTGTTCTTGATGTGTCTTCGTCCTACTCCATGAGCTCCCAGAAGAACAAGAGTATTGCGTTGGAAACCAGGAACCTTCATGACTTCTTCATAGCAAGTCATATCCATCTCATCAGCGAGAGCGCGCTGCGAACAAAGACGAAACCATGAAGGCATCTATCGGGCTCCCTATATCAAGAGACCAGCTGTATCTTCGCAACGACTCGAGGCGTCTTACTTTGCTCAAGTGTTTCTCCTTGTCTCTCTTTTTCTTCCTGAAGATTGAGCAATTCATGGACTCGTGATGCGAACGATTTTTAGAGTTTTCCAAAGCTAGTTGTGTGAGTCTCCATTCTTGAAGTTGCGGAGAAGGCACGAGTCCAGATGGGCCATCGGGGGAAAACTTGCGAACTTGCCACCAGTTTGGATCATCTTTATTTATAACCTGAAAATTGAAAAAGCGAGCATTTAATTTTTCTGACGGGCGACAAGCGGCTGCTCTTATCTCGGCCTGCATATCATTCGATGTTGAGCAGACGCAGCACTTGTCTGGCCCTCCTAGAAGCGGGTTCAGCCGCAGCCGACCCGAAATCCTTAGTTTGCATACTCACCAAAAGGATCTGACCAATCCTAAAAGGAATCCCTGCTTGAGTGCAAGGAATCAGTTCGTCTTCCATCGGCTCGTAGTTGAACATACATTTTAAATACACCTGTGGAATCAAGGAAAATTCGACATGAATGTTAGGGCTTCCTATCCCAATCCAAGTCTCGACGACGGAAGAGTTGGGTACTCACAGTGGCCGGGGCCGTACCGTGGCTGAGATCTCGTGACTGTAATCGAAAATTCGTTTTGAAAAAAGAACAAACATTTAAGAACGGCTTTGGGTAGCGCTCCACGTTTCGCGTTCAGCGAGGGCAGCACTCACATTAGATTGACCGGAAAGAGGTGGGACACTTCGGTAAGTTGGCACAATTTTGAATGTTACATTGCCCCGTGCATCTCGCTGGATATGGATAAGCCAATGGTTAGGGCTTGGAGCATTCGTCAGTCCTTGAGCTCTGATCGTTGTTTAGTATCAGCGAACTTCAAACGGTTACATCGAGTCCTTGGCGGGGATGTTCAACTCACCAGCAGCCGTTGAAGGCTATCGATGGTCTGGTTAGCGACGCTGACTCCACTGATTTCCAATATTTCATCGCCGACATGCAGGGTAGCTGGAAGGTCATGTGGTTCATTCATTCAAATGGTTTCTGGACACCTGTAGGACTCTGGAATTCCCGTCGAGGAGATCGTTTGTCTCACCTTGTTTGTGGATCATTCCCCCGTGAATGATTCTGGCCACGAGACAGCGTCCTTCGTCGTCTACTTTCAGTGTGATTCCCTATGGATATTAAGGCGTCGACCGGAGTCAGATAAGGTCGATCCTTATCCGAGACTCATGCTCGATCCGCATTCTATGGTACTAACCATTGGCTCGTCGGTGTTTTTTTGGAACTGAACCAATCTGATGCGGGTGATATTATCTGACTCTGAAAGATTCGTTCGCTCCGGGGATTTCGAGTCTAGATCCTGGAAACCCCTCACTTGACCACCGTAACCCTCGAAGGCCATTCCATTACACAATCTGCTGTGGCTGTTCGCATTGGTCGGCATACTCAAATCCAGGAACGCGGACTGGGGATATGCATCCGCTTCGGCTGCGTTCTCGCGGAAGATCTCATAGGCCACCACGTCGTGAGCTTGCAGCAACGACTGAAAATTGAAAACGATCTCGAATTTTGGCCAATCCAGTTGGACCGTGTCCCCTCGGGAGCTGGGGACCACCGCTGATTTTCATATGAATCCAGGGAGCTCCAACTCATCGAGATGTCTGAGATTTTCCTCTTCAATCAGTGAATTAGATCCTATCAAGGTGAACCATCAGCTCCTATCTTACGTGTGGACCGTCAATGTTCCAATTTATTTCCGGGAAGCGTGAAGGCTCAGGGAAGAAAGGGAATGAACTCACCCGCAGGTGCGGCCTCGACAGGATCGCATGGAGCTCCTCCATCTCCGCTGTGAGCTCGGTGGAGCCGTCTTCGATCCAATCGACGATCTGTGCGAACAGAGGAGAAGTTTCATTAATCGAGAGCTCAATGAATCCCTCACCCTCCTTTTCCGCGCTCGGCTCCTATGATCACGATTTGGGGCGATACTCACCTCTTGAGCAATCAACGCAGTGTCCTCATCTGGCAGATCTGTCGGTGGTAACAATTTTTGCTGCTGGATTTTGTCATACAGCTGGAACCAGAAGAAAGCGCTTTTCATGAATCGTGAGTTCGGACTGCACGCTCGGCTGTGTGGCCTGCTCGGAGGAGGGGTTCGCCACGAGCTCATTTGGCCATGGAGTATCTTAGAGCCTCATCCTCCGGGTTCTGCGATATCCTAGCGATCTCGGATCTCGTTCGATCGATTCACTTTGCTCCGGATCGGAAATGCACCAACAAGTGTTCCTGCTCGGCTGACCGCGCTCACAGCTCGGGAATGATTGATAGCGCGCCTTCCGGAGCTCAGCTGTCAGAGGAGCATTGATTGTATGCCCGACTATTCGCTCTGCTGGCACCGACGCTTTCACCGCTACTTCCGGGCTTAGCTTCCATCGTTCGAGTTCTCGAAACTCAGCTCAATCACCCACGCATTCATCGTGCACAATACACAATCACAGCTTATTTTGTGCTGCGTCACTATCTACAGCGACCTTGTTTGACCTTGAGCGCAAAGTCGAGAGCCTGGATGCTCATTCAGAATCATCTCCTCAACGACATATGCGGAGAAGCGAGGAGACCTGCTCCGTCTGATCATGACTAAAATGGAAAACTGTCAAGAGACATAATATTGGCTGCTGGGTGCGTGTTGCTTTCAAGATGAGGGTTGTGCTGAGCAAAAGGAACGATGTCTCTCCCTCTTTGCCTCCCTCCCTTCCCAGAGGAAAGGAGAGACCTTCATCGGCCCTCGCCATATTCCCCGTCGCTTCCACTTGAGGCAGCGTGAGAGCTCTTCCCTCCCAATCGCAACGTCTGTATAGCGAGACTCTCCCAATCGGATTTATCGCTGGCGAGAGGCAGAGTGATCATCCCGATGAGCTGTCGTGCTCCGAAAGCTTTAAACCGAGGGGGCTTCTGCCATGCCCGGAAAGGGGACGGTATTCAACTTTCAGATCGAACGTTCTCGAGATTCGAGGAGAAGACGCGGTGACCCGAGACCCTCGAGAGCATAACACGGCACCCACGCCTCAGACGTCTGAATGTAGTCGATCAATCGAGGCGCCTTCATTCGATCCGCTCCCGTGAAACCAGACCGACGAGAAGTTGTATTGGCCGAAGATCAAGCCGATGATGTTGCGCTCCCGAAAGAATAACGCGAAAGACGCTACGGGTGCGCAGAGTTTGACTACCATATCCGTTCGGAGTACGGAGGCCCATCGCGGGGCAAGCTCGGAGCTGATTGATGCGCCAGCCAAGCTTCTCCTCGGACTTTCCGTCGAGTATTCTAAACAATAGCTGAATAAAAGCTAGAGTCGAGCTCTCGAATGACAGGTCGTCTACTCCACATCCTTGGGGTCGAGGTAATCCTTTCGGAACGCCGACTTAGCTACGTACCGAAATCGATGATGGAAGTCTTTGAGGCGAAAGAAGTGATTTGGCGGATCTGCCATTGTACCAAGTCCCTTCGTCCAGGGAGCTACGTCGCTTCATGAACTGATCACCTCCAAAGTCATTCCTCACATTCCGGAAAAATCCGTACACGAACAGCATGGTGATTCGGCGTCGCGTAAGGATGGAACGAACCGCGGGAGAATTCAACTATCCAGATCATCGAAGGCTATGGCGAGCCGTCTACCACACTCGTAGTACCACGGTGCTCAGGAACCCCAAATAAGGTGAGAGCGGACGTTTCCTTGGAAACCGTGGTGCTCCGAGCGCGTATCTGGGGGTCACCATCAGTGTTCTATGATGTCAAACAAATCGAGTGAGCTATTCTCTGCCCATCGAGCTTGGCTCCAAGTCTTGGCTCAGAGCGATAGACTTCTGAGCCTAGCCATCACATTCGAGGGAAGTTCCCCGGATCGATGCCGCTCATTTGCCCAACGGATCCGAATGAGCCGAAAAATTGAGGTCTACTAGCAGAGTGATCCTCGAGGGGACTCCGAGCGACCGCGAGCTCTGATCTCACTCAGGTCTTCTTGGCGGCTTGTAAGCATCAAAAACACGTATGGAAGCTCGGAAACCTCGCAGGCTGGCGCCGCGTAGAGTGCGCTCACTCGTCGACAGGAACATATCATCTCCTACAGCTATAGTGGATATCGTCGGATAAACGACCGGGCTCGGGGGTGGAAACAGTGGAAAGCTTCACCTGTAGCGTGGAGATCAGTCGCTGGTCCGTCAAAAGGTTGTCCATCATTATGGATTCATAGGATGAATCCTTAAGGCAATCGAGATCGTCCAGCGAGTCTAAAATCACCGAGACAGCATCTGGAGAATAAAATGAGCAGTTCAGGCTCCGAATACGATCGGCAGTTTGATCGTGGTTCCGGGTGCGAGTTGGGTTGAAGGGGAATTCGTACCAATTTTGGCGGTATCTTCCCTACGCAGCTTTTCCGCTCGCTCTTCGCTTATCGTGCCTCCTAGTCTGAAGTCTCTTGTATCGTTCCATCTGGTCGAATTGACAGCTGCCATAACGTTCTCTGGTAGGAGTATATCAAGGTTAGAGTATTCGGCGAGGCGGGAGCGAAAACCTGGAATCCGACATCCGGAACCTTCCGAGGGCGAAAATCGCCTAGCCGATTCCACAGCCTGCATCACGAAGAGAATCCTGTACGGATGCTGGAGTTTTTTTTCGAGCAGTGAATGACAAAACCTACTTTTCGTCCGTCTCTGAGCATTGAGATGCCGGAGTTGACCCACCGTCGACCTAAGGTACTCGTCTGCAGCGCAGGAAACTCTTTGCTTCAGCCAGGGATGCTCGAGCAGTTGTCCTGCTGAATGCCTGCACGGAGTTGAGCCTTATTGGTAAGAAAACTTGCGACGGACCAAATGAGAGAGTTACATAACATATATCCGATGGAATGTCGCCTGAGGCACAAACCTGTCGACCGCGTCGTTGACCAACATGAGCGAAAGGAAATCTTTCGCTGAGCGAGTAATTCCGTCCCAAATCGGGTCGCTCATCTGGAAGTGAGACGTCGATCTAGCTCTGCGGGACCTTCATCTTCACGGTCGATTCGAAGAGAAACGAAGCTCACACACCTCATATTTTGTTCGGCAGATCAGTTCTTCCAATCTAGCGCCGCTCCCGATGAAAGGTAGACTCCCGCGTAACAATGTGTACAAGAGAACACCACAAGACCAGATATCGGCGCTTCTGCCGTAGATGAAGCCTCGGATGATCTCCGGAGCGGTGAAATGCTTCTGTCTTATGCGCTCTGGGGGAAGGGGGAAGGGATTCAATTACCTGGCTGATTTTGTTGTCGAAACAGTCTCTTTCATACATGCCCGAGTATCCGAGGCCGAGTTTAGACTCCCGGGGAGCAAGAAAAACGATGCGAAGACGAGCTTCACGCTGCTGCCCTTCGAAAAAATCCCGAGTCTTCGTCGAGTGGCCTTACAGCCTCATACAGCCTTCATTGAGTTTATCAGAAACGGCGGATGATGATTGAAACGCACTTTGATTCAAGGGTTGAAGGTCGTTGAGCCGGATCGCGTTCCCGAAACAGCCTAGTTTCACAGGAGCCGAGCAGTCCTGAAGAATTTCGATTTTCGATGTCATCGCCATGGAAATCACTTCCCATTCCGATGGCTTTTCGTAATTTCGCCAGTCCTTAACCGACCTGGTTATTTTGTTCATTGGAACTTCATCGAGAGGAGATCGCGAGAGAGTTCGAGAATGCGGCATGAAGACGACTACTTACCTTCGTGGCTAGCATGACGCTCTCGGGACCGATGTCGCAGTGTACGACATCGTGATCATGACAATATCGAACTGCCGACAGAATTTGTTTCATGTAGTGCGAGACAACAGTCTCTGAGTAATTGAAACCCGCGCTTGCTCGTTCTACGACTTCATTCAGCAGATCACCCCCTTGCAAACTGTGAGGAAGATTCCAGTCAGGCTAAAGGAATATCGGAATGGTCTCAGATTCCTTTACCTTCGGAAAGATGCAAAACAACTCACTACTCAAAAACCATGAAGAAGAATCCCCCCGAACTGTAGGTTTCTAGAAGTTGTACGATATGATGGTGCTTCAACAAGTGGCAGATGTCAGCCTCTCTGTTTAGACCTGGAAAAAGGACTCATGGCTAATGCCGGTGGCGGCAACATGCGACATCAGCGGGAAGACATCCCTAGGCTCCTACCCTCTTCCGTGAGGACTGCTGATGTAGCCAATCTCGTCTTGTCCACCATCCTGACGGCGTATTGTTTGCCGGTCGCATGGTGCACGCACCGCCGGACAACGTTGAAGGCACCTCTGGTTGAGGAGAAAGTCGAAGCTTACAAATTGGGTCCTACACTCGAATTAAGATCCCGATTGCGCGAGAGATCCTAATTCTACCCAACAATTTCCAACTACTTCACACCGCTCCAGCATGCGCTCGAATAATAGCCTCTTCGATAAACGCAGGCCTGTGAGACTACTCGCGGGCGTTGGCTTGGACCTGTGATTCGGATTTTAAGATTCGCGGTGATGGATCGAGTCGTCATCCTGATTCCCCCGTGCTAGACTGGACTGGCTGTTCTAGGGTTAGAGAAAGTTTTCGAGCGACATGATTGACTCAGCATAACTCGCCTTTCGATGACTTCGAGGATGTCGTAGGCATCCTCGAAACAGAAGTTCTCTGTGGACATGTTCTAGGACGTTCGCCGACACGCCTTGCGATCCTCGATCGAAGGTTTCACGGTTGGAGATCATACATCAGAGAATCAGTCCCAACACTTTTAGCGGATCGCAAAGTTGATCCGGTCATGTCGCGGGCATTATTTGAGCAGGAAAACGATCGTTAATGTCAACAGGTTGCAGCATTTCGGTGCCGTGGAGTGCTCGATAATTCGGATAGGGCTCAGGGCAATTCATAGTAAGCGCCGTTCATATCGAATGATTGAGATGAAGCAGGTGACAAGGAGCTTTTAGATTTGGCACTCTCGGCTTCCGAGCGCAAAGCTCGAATAATGCACATGAGCTTAACACGGAATTTCGGAAGAGCGTATGAACTAATAACAAACTCGCACCACGTACACTTCAACAGAGGTGGGAGCAGTTGGGAGTGGAACGGGAATAGAGGGCGCTGCGGTAGAGAAACAAAACTCCTCGTTCGGTCGAGAGCCGTGGGTGGCGTTGACGGGAACGGGAGCGGGGTTCAGTCTCGTACCCATCGAGGGAAGTCGTAGAACGGGATCATGAGAGGAAGCTTCGCTGGAATCCCAGGAGGGAGCAGCTGTTTTCCTGAGTCGACAGGTCGAAGTCCGACTGGGATGGACGTATCCTCTAAGGGTTGAAAAATTTCGAAATGTTGACTGCAATTTTCGCTTTTTTTTTTCTAAAGAGCTGAAACATATAAGGGTATCGCATATCTATATTGTAGGTCATGATTCGATGCTCCCGGCCCGAGTTTGGCATCGAGCTCAATTCACCCGAGCTCCTACATTGAGCAGCGGATAGGATCGCTGACCACACAAAGGGCGCAGACCGGACTGCGGCCCTGCCACCATTGGGTCGGGGACAGGCTTCAGGTTTCGCGGCATAGAGCCCATTGACGTGCTGTCTCCACCTCGGTCACGGGAAAACATGGGCCGCGAACGAGAAAAAGCTGGCCGAGTCCTTGTTAGGGTTGTTTGTTCCACGCGTGAAGGATCCTTGCACCGAAGCTAGCTTAGGTGAGAACGATCGCTCCCACCGCAACGACGGGATCAGATTCACCTGAGGAAAGTGTGCGGCGCTCCTTCAGCGATATTCTCGAGTCGCGTGAAAATGGCGAAACGCGGGGAGTAGTCCTCTATCACCCGTCATTCCTTCTGAACTACCTGGCTCTGGGACACCCACTGGTTTTAACCGGAGCGACATCCTTCAGCTTCTCCTCGGACCTACTTTGACGTGAAATGCCTCCGGGGGTATATAGAAGTTTTGTGATTTAGTCGATGCTCTGGGAAAGGAGGATATCGTTCAGAAAGATACATGTAAGCAAAGCCAAAACTCATCATATCAGACTGGCTAAATTACTCTCATGATTCTCCCGGTTATGGGCATGTTCCCACGTTTCTCGATCTCAACCATCAAAATAGGCATAGGTACTGGAATCTCTCTCCTCGGGTGGACAGCTTACTCGATTGTTGAGAACCGTCGCCCGATCCGAAAAAAATGATAAGGCCCTCTTGAGTCTTCGCTCGGCCGAGGTTCGTCGCGTCCAACATGTGAATGCGCGTCCCTCCCGGTGCAGCCGATCGACCATAGTCTTTCCATAGGTCGAGAGGAGAGGATCCGAGGTCCTCAAAAGAAAAAGCTTCTCAAAGAGAGCAAGTCCCCCGATCTTTGCTCGACCTCTGGGCTCGACGAGATGCAACAGGAGGGGAGAGGGGGCAGAGTCTCAATCGGAATCTCTACTGCCGGAATCGAGTAAAACTTCTAGTCGATGAAGCGGCCTAGATAGCAGCACCGAATATCTTTCTTGATGACATAAAAGTGGGACCGAATCGCACACGTCATCCGCTGAAATCATTCGGAATGCCCTCGGACTATCGGGATCGGAAAGTTATCGTGAGCGGGCTTTCATCCTTCCAAAAATTACTTTAATCTTAGGATTCTAGGGGAATCCCACACGATAATATCGTCGCCATCTGAGCTCGGCGGTGTGGAATTCGGAAAAGCTTTGGTGCAAATATGCGGCACCCTCCGTGATTCGTTAGAGAGAAGTCCACGAACAAAGCAGAAGTAAGATATATATATCATACAGAACTTGGGAGCTATGTCCAGATTGCTCATGGTCACACTCGTCACCTTTCGTCCCTCTTCGTATTTCACCTGAAAATTTCCGGTGAGAGAGATTCATCCGTCCATCCGTCCATTCATTCATTCCAGCCGGGCTCGTGATCCCCACTGGCGGACGCGATTCGGTGAGGATATCATTGGTCAACGACACTACCGTGTATGGTATCTCCACGGACCTTCCGGCCGGACTCACAAGGAGTTTCTACGTTTACATATCGTGTGCTCGAAGGGCAATTCTTCCGCTTACCCTAGGGACACCTCGAAGCGACTGCGGAGTCGCCCTGCTCTATCTCAGATCCGGGTATAGCGAGAGCAGCATACGTTCCGATGACTAGATCCTCGATTATGTTTAACCTCGCTGGAAGAAGCAGGTGACATCTTTTGTGAATCGGCGCTGACCACTCGACCACCCGTCGGTTTGTGAATCGGATCAATGAAGTCGATACCCGCCCTGGGTTGTTCCGACATCTCAAGAGCCGCTCGTAGTTCTTGAGACTCACCCTCAGTCTTCGTGCTTAGTTCAAGCAAGTTTCGAGTCGCCCATTGTGACAGAGCGGTGAACAGTATGGAAAATCACCTTGTCTACTTTTTCGCGAATCTCAAAATCCTCATTTGCGCAGATCGGGGTACCACAACGACCGGGCCCAGTCATGACGCTCGATCACCATGATATGACATGAGAATCGTCTTTCAGGAATAAATTCGGTTGCACATTCATTTGAAGCGTTACAACTATTCTCCGAATACCTTATATGTACAGAGGAGGCAAATTCGATCCAGAGCTAGATAAGATCTCCTTCTTCTGCGATCGCCGCCCCCTGCGCCTCCACCACCATCTTCCGCGGTCTCCACCGAGACAGCTCGATTCGCCCATTCCGCTCTCTGATCGAGTACAGAGCTCACAGTAAGTAGTCGGTCCTCGTTTCCGTAATCTCGATCAGCAGGTTTCCGTGAGTCGAGTCCCACGAGATCTCAAGCTCCTCACGCGTTATTCGGATAGCAGACGGAGTTCGATGACGTCGAACCACGGCTGTCTGGGGACGTCTCTTGCCACACTATTGTGAGTCGCGGACGCAGTGTAGGAGCCTAAAGGCTATTCCGGCTCGGGGGGCAATCGTCAGAGCCGATGCTCATCGATCGTCGAAGTGCGATGGCGGTGCTGTAGCTCGCGTCTCTGGTATCAGGTTCGACTCCAGGAGAGGGGATCTTGAGCTCCAGGTCCAGACTGAAGAGATATCTGAAGGTCTCTGCGCGCCTCATCAAGGCCATCTCTCTATCTACCAGGAACCGACACTCAAAATCATGTAATATGTATATATAATGCTTGATTCTTGATTTATCGCAAGTCAATTACACGTGGCGTCAGGTACTCCGCAGCTAGTTGAGTCCGGGTCCCGACTCGCCCACCATCGCATGGTAATGCGGGCAGCCTTGGCCATGGTAACTACAAGCGCATGTTCCTCTCGGTTCGGGCAGAAGGAGCGGTGGGAGCAGGGAATGAGATATCCGGTGAAGATACGTATCATAGTATGATTAAAAACGGAAAACCAACGTCGCCGGGAGGGGGTGAACTAACCACCATTGGTCACAAGGCACCATCCGAATCGTTGAATGAAGTCTAACAATTTGCGACGTTGTTCTACGCGAACTTCAGTTTGGCTCTCAACCGAAATCAATTTTTGTTGCATTTGATCGACGGAAGCCGCAGTCTGCCCGCACTCGAGGCTACACCCATCGAGATCGACGGGAAAGGATTGCCAAGGAATTCGACCCAATGATTAGCGCACGCAGAGAGAACGTAACCATCGAAACCCTCCATCTGGGCGTCCGACTCGCTGCCCCGCTGGATTTGTCTGTTTAGTAGACAAACTGAAGTTCGCGTAGAACAACCTCGAAATTTCGTTAGACTTCATTCAACGATTCGGATGGTGCCTTCCCTGTCTACCTGACCGCTCGGCGAGCAGTCGTTTGTCGCCAGTCATTGGGTCCAATCGACAACTCATCGCTCGGACTACGATTTTCCCGCAGCTATACGCGGTATTTGATGGTGACGCAGCGATTGTTACGTTCTCCGTGCCCCGTCGCGGGCCTTACGATAGATCGGTTCCCAAATCCGCCTCGGATAGACAAGAAGTAGACCCCTTCACTCACATTGTGACATGAGCCTTGAGCAGATGATACACATACCTGGCGATGGTGAATTGGGCCGAGAGCACAAAAAGGTCACCGACCGCTGTTTCGACGGGACGAGTTCCTGTCGTCTCCTCATAAGCTTCGAGTCGACTTCACGGGTATCTGCGACTAAATGATCAGCTTCTCTCTGGGTACCGGTTTCCTCGAGGGAGCGGGGAATATGATTTCGAGACTCACATATCGCAGGCTGCAGACATACCGAGGTACTACGTGGCTAACTTTATGACGATTCAGTACAGGCTTCTTCACAGTCGAAGGTCTCCCATCGTTCGAACAGTCAGGCGACCGACCGGTGCCCGATATCCCTGGTTGTACTTGAGGAATCTGTCGACCGTTCACCGCGAATGAAACCTTGGGAATTCCTCTCTCGGCTTCAATCGTTTCTATAGCGCGGATACCGGGAGGCAGTGAGGCAAATGTTCGTATACATAGGTGCTTGTACGGAAAGACTTTCAGAGAAATGTATCCTCGGCGCTCCGGAGAAATATGCAGTCCATCTCGCTAAACGATTCCTCATCATTATCCGAAGTCTTGCTCTTGTTGAATATGACTCTATTTCCCTCGCCGCGATCTCCGATCTATACGAGGTGTTAACGGCGAGCTCCACGATGAGCAGGGAAAGCGCATGCATGCTCATGTGGACGGCCCACTAGCTTCGCCGTTTAAGGACACTGCAATTCCGAAATTGCTCTGGTATCACAGTCGGGAGCGTTCCATCACATCTGAATGAGGATGTTTGCCCGGAAAATGATTGTTTACAAGTCGAACAGGGTTCACCCATTATATTCGCTTTGTGTCCGTGACGGTTCGAACGAACAGTCCCCACTGCTGCAAACAGACGGGCTGGCCTTGGCCTGCCTGTCCCTACCAGGCTCGTCTTGTAGGCCGTTTGTTTCTCTCGGGTGTTCCCATAGCTGAAATTCGGACGACCAGCATTACTAAGCGAATGACACCAGCGCCCCCCTGAACAGAAATCTAGTTTCCGGAATCTTCGCTCGATTACCGGACTCCCTGGATTCCGGAGTAAGCATGCGCTGTCCGGGGGAATTCTCTTCAGATTTTGGCATATCCAGCCATGACTCCGTTGCCACTCCCTTAGAGTGCTCCCTTGGGATGAAGACCTCCTATGTGGAGATGGGGCCGATGATTCGTCTGCAGGGATGGGGATGCCTCCTCATCGTAGGAAAATGGAATATCTTGGTCCAAGTAGGCAGGAATCGAATCTGGAACGAGTCGGTTTGGTATAGGTATCTCCACTTCGCATCTCAATTTCACTGTTCATGTATGTATATGTAAAAATTGCGCGCTGTTCAGAGGAGAGAATCAAGATCGAAGGAATTCTTGGGGGAAGCGGAAACCAAGGATTTATTCAATGTATGTGAGATATTGTCATCCTTCCTGAACGAATAAGCCTCGAGATTCCCATACGCTACTCCGTTCCTAGGATCCTGGAATCACCCGCCGGACCCGCTCGGGCGATAATTATATTGTACTTGCGCTGGTGATAATATTCACTAGAAAAGAATGCCCCCCAAGTGCATGAAACTCGGGAGGATCTTTATTCGATCTCCATGACTCAAACTTTTCGACGTGACTCTTAAAGATATACCGCAGCCCAATCAGCCGTCGAGGCCTGCGTGAACCAGCAAAAACATTGGAGGAGATCGTGGGAGGGATTCCGCGGCATCGGAATCATTGGCCTCATTACTTAATCGATGCCACTCGCTAAAGACCCCCAAAGCCTGCGGCGCGGGGACAGCGTGCCGGAGCTCGACCGGCTGCAAGCCAGGGAGCCAACCACGGCAAAGCATTTTCCCGGGGATCGAGTCCCAAACAGGAATGAGCTCGCCGCAGGATGTTAGCCCGAGACTTCCTCTCAAATACGCAATACAACGTGAATAAGTTCAATTCAAGCTCGAAAATGAGGTGAAGACCACTCTCACAACGCGGTCATCCGTCGTTCACGTCGGAAGCATCGTCGAGAAGTGGCTTATCGGTCAAGCGGACCTCAAGGTCACACCTGTTGAACTCGCTTGTGTATGTGCGGGCAGCTACCTATAGAGTCTCCCCAACATACTACGAGCCATTCTCTCTGATTACTGCGGCTGCGGATGTGGGTCGGTCAGTAGCTCGCAGTCTCTTCAGAGGTAATCTCTAAGCCTGAAGAAGCAGCCGTCGGGTGGGGATTCGGTCGATCGCAATGACGGCGGTGCTGCTGGTGATGATAAGAGCGGCAGCGCCTGACAGTGGAAAGCGAGAATCGAAAGCAAAAAGACCTTGACAGAAAAAGAGAATGAACAAAATGTTGCTCATCGCCTCAAGCGGGATGAGAGGTTGAAGAGGAAGTGAGGCCGCCGGCTACCGACCGATGTCCACCGACTCTACAATTATTGTGACATCAACGAGAACGGAGGCGAGGGGCAGAGCCTCTCAGTAAGGACCGCCGTCGTCTTCATCTTCGTCGTCTCGGTATTGAAGTGCGCTTTTGTATACTGCGGCGGCGGTGGTGGTGGCGACAACGAAACGGACCCGGGTGCTTGCAAGATAGCTGACGGTTGGACGAATCGACTGTCTGCCCGCCAGCCCGCCGCCCTGCTTGACTGCTTGGCCGGTTGGCAGGCGGGCAGGCGAGCAAGCAAGCCAGCCAGCCGGCCTGCCACTGAGCCGTCTTGACGAACGGAGGAACGAAAAGAGCGAATATCCAAAGCAGCACGACAACTGTCAGCTGGGTTCGGGGATCATCGACTTGCCTCGGTTGTGACTTCATAGCAGCAAAGGTCGTTAGGCCGATAAAGGTGGACGGCTGGGTCGCGAGGACCCTTGGAAAACCTTCAAAAAAAGAGAGAAAAATGCCAACGAGCTCACCATCAATCAGAGATACAGAGCTGCATGCTGGAGGCTCTCATCAATATAGTCGCCATCTTTCCATGACGAATGCTTCTCAGGACACAATGAACGTGGCAAGTTCGAAATCTGCGCGACAGCGAATCGAATCTTAGGAGAGAGGAGCTCGGGACTGAGTTGACAAATCATACACATATTACGATGAAGCCCAGTTGGCTAGAAGAGACTGAGAGCGATGGGAAATGTGACTTTTCCCCATTTCAGTGGTCAGTTCGAGGTCAGAAATCGAAGTCTCCGAGTTCATTGCCGAGCTCCCGGAGCAACTAGGCTCCAGGCTAGTTTCCCCTCCTTAGAACGCTATGCAGATCACGTTCCCGAGCTCTGGGCTACATATAGGAGCTCTTTCGACGGCCGATGACTCGATATTTCCGAGAGCTCCTCGTCGGAGATCGGGGAAAATTAGTTTCCTCATAACAAACGAATTGAAAGAAGGTGAAATCACGGTGTGAGTCCCAGAGGGAAATGCAATTCCGATTGGAAACGCGCGCAGTACCTTTGGTGTTCTCCCTAGGACCTGCGCGATTCAAGATTTGCCCTTGCCCGGAAAGACCAAGAGTCGGGCCCGGTATATAAACCTGTCCCCATTCACAATAGGCAGAGTGGTCGTGGTTTCTCGTGAGTGTCTGTCTGGAAGTCTCTTATTCTCTTTCGCCGCGGGCTATCCGACGGGCCCATACCATCTCATGCCCGACGTTCATGTCGATCATTAACTATCCTAATGTCACCTGAGGATAACGATTGTGTTCAGTTAGACGTGTCTGTGATGTGGCGTTATCAGCACGAAGAGCTTTGGATTGAAGTAGAATGATTCAAGGAGGGTTCCGAAGTCCCGGCTAGATTCCTATAAAAACAGGTTGCCATTGCTCTTTGCAGAAGGATCACGAGACTCCTTCTTGTCGCGCAAATTTGTGTTGATCCGTCCCGTCATCCATCAAGATGGCAGCACAAACGGATCCTGATCCGACTGAATTCCTCTACATCTCCGCGGAGATGAAGAGGAAAGACGCGACCAAGCCGTACGATGGTAAAAAGATGACCTGGGTACCGGATGAGAAGGAGGGGTTCGTCATTGGAAACATTGAATCCACTCAAGGCGACAAAGTCGTCGTCGAAACGCCGGACGGCAAGAAGACTTTCAAGAAAGACCAGCTTCAACAAGTCAATCCCCCCAAATACGAGAAGTGCGAAGATATGTCTAACATGACTTATCTCAACGATGCTTCCGTCCTCCACAATCTCAAGGAGCGCTACTATGCGAATTTGATCTACGTGAGTGAATTCACCCGTTTTGTACGCGACGTCCATCATTAGATGAGCTGAATATTTCCCCCGGGAAGGATCTCGATCGAAATTCACGGACAAGCTGAACTTTCCTCCGCAGACCTATTCCGGACTGTTCTGTGTAGCAATCAACCCCTACAAGAGGTTTCCAATTTACACTCCTCGTGCTGTCATGATCTACAAGGGAAGGAGGAGAACCGAAGTCCCCCCTCATGTGTTCGCCATTTCTGACGGTGCCTACATGCACATGTTGACAGGTTAGTGGCCGATGGGCTGGAAGCGAATCTCCCACGCTTTAATTTCCACGCGGTACTCAGGTAGTCCGATATCCTCCGGGGAGAGGGGGAGAGGGCTGCAGCCTCATTTTATCAGACTTTGATAATCGCGATACCTGATGTCGGAATTTCCTTCCAGATAATGAGGATCAGTCCATGTTGATTACGTGAGTTCGACGTGGATAATTTCTCCCGAAGCGAAAATATTCCCTCTGAATGCGTAGCGGGCTGTTCCCCTGGATGCGTCAGGAAGGCGGAGCAATTTTATTGAAAGGTCGCTTTCTCTCCTTCCGCAGCGGAGAGTCCGGAGCTGGAAAGACTGAGAACACCAAAAAAGTAATTTCCTACTTCGCCAATGTCGGTAAGAGCGACAGGAAGCCAACCGCTGCAGACGCCAATAAACCTTCACTCGAAGACCAGATTGTGCAAACCAATCCCGTACTCGAGTCGTTCGGTAACGCTAAGACCACCCGTAACGATAACTCCTCCCGTTTCGGTAAATTCATCCGTATCCATTTCGGTCCCAACGGAAAGTTGGCTGGTTGCGATATCGAGACCTATCTGCTCGAGAAGGCTCGTGTCATTTCGCAACAGCCCCTTGAGCGGTCTTACCACATTTTCTACCAACTCATGTCCGGCAAGATCCCAGACATGAAGAAGAAACTGCTTCTGAGCGACAACATCAAAGACTACAACTACGTGTCTCAGGGAAAAACCGAAATTCCCGGCGTGGACGATGCAGAAGAAATGGGATACACCGATGAAGCTTTCGACATTCTCGGTTTCGACGCCGACGAGAAGGACGGTGTCTACCGTATCACCGCGGCGGTCATGCACTTCGGTACGCTCAAGTTCAAACAGAGACCTCGCGAAGAGCAGGCTGAAGCCGATGGAACCGACGAGGGAGAACGGGTCGCCAAACTGCTCGGTGTTGAAACTGCCGATCTTTACAAGAACTTGACCAAGCCCAGGATCAAGGTCGGAACTGAGTTTGTTACCAAAGGTCAGAGCCAGGCACAGTGTTACTCAGCTATCGGTGCCATGTCGAAGGCCATGTTCGACCGAACTTTCAAATTCCTCGTCAAGAAGTGTAACGACACTCTTGACACCAAGCAAGCACGCAAGCATTTCATCGGTGTGCTTGATATTGCTGGTTTCGAAATTTTCGACTACAATGGTTTCGAGCAGCTCTGCATCAACTTCACCAACGAGAAACTCCAACAATTCTTCAACCACCACATGTTCGTGCTCGAGCAGGAAGAGTACAAGAGGGAAGGAATCGACTGGGTCTTCATCGATTTCGGTCTAGATCTGCAAGCTTGCATCGAGCTCATCGAGAAGCCCATGGGAATCATGTCCATCCTTGAAGAGGAGTCTATGTTCCCCAAAGCTACCGACAAGACCTTTGAAGATAAATTGAACAATACTCATCTGGGCAAGTCGGCGCCCTTCCAGAAGCCCAAGCCCCCGAAGAGCAAAGAGATTGGACCTGCTCACTTCGCTATTGCTCACTACGCCGGTACCGTATCGTACTCGATCACCGGCTGGCTCGAGAAGAACAAGGATCCCCTGAACGATTGTGTCGTCGACCAGTTCAAGAAGGGTAACCTGAAGCTGCTCCAGACCATCTTTGAAGACCATCCTGGACTCGGTGCTGACGCGAAGGCCGAAGGAGGCGGCAAGGGAGGTGGCCGAAAGAAGGGTTCTGGTTTCCAGACTGTCTCCGGTTTGTATAGGGTACGTGGTTTTCGTTTGACGAATTCTTGATCTTGCAGCTCATGGGAATATTTTTTCGTTACTGTTTCTCCTAACTGATTCGGATCTCCGTCGTAAAACAGGAACAGCTCAACAAATTGATGCAGACCCTCCACTCCACTCATCCTCATTTCGTCCGTTGCATCATCCCCAATGAGATGAAGAAGCCTCGTGTCATCGATGCCCATCTCGTCATGCACCAGTTGACGTGTAACGGTGTGCTCGAGGGCATCCGTATTTGCCGCAAAGGTTTCCCTAACAGAATGGTCTACGCCGACTTCCGTCAGCGGTGAGTTAGAGACTCATTGTATTGCGAATATATTGAGGATCGATTGCCCTCAAGGTTTCTTTTAACCCAAATCGAATCTCAGCTACACGATACTCGCACCTAACGCTGTTCCCAAAGACTTCGCCGGCGAGCCCAAAGAAGCCGGTTCGCTCCTTATCAGCCAGTCGGGTCTAGACCCTGACGAATACCGTATTGGCTTGACAAAGGTACGTTAACTCAAAGAAGTATTCCGTGCTCCAGTTATACGATTCTTGCGGCGGAAGAAGCGAAGAAGCACGAAGATCCAAAGGATTCCTCCGTTGCTGTAATTACTCGAATCAATCTCGACAAGGATGAATATCGCTTCGGTGTCACAAAGGTAGAAAGCCACGGTAGTCGGCCTCTACGTTTTCCGTCTTCTCGTTTTACCCCGAGCATCGGGAGTCGCGACGCGTCTGGGCGGAGCGAAAGTATCGGTCTCGGCCGAATGGGAATCCCGACCGGCGATTCCGTGATGACGCCAGTTTCTGTTTCTGAGACGCGTGAATGAATGTTTCATGTTCTTCGCCGAGAGATTTCTATCGGGTCGATATTGGAGAGACGAGAATGTCTCTTCAGACTAGGAGCCCGGATCTGACTCGTCCTCAGAAGCGGCGTCGATAAATGAAATGCCCCTTGTCCTCGTTCAGGTTTTCTTCCGAGCTGGTGTCCTGGGTCGTCTGGAAGAGATGCGCGACGAACGTCTCGCAAAGATCATGACCATGATCCAATCCGCTTGCCGTTGGTATCTCTGCAAGAAGCACTTCCAGAAGCTGAAGGAACAGCGGTGAGCATTCTCTTGAGTTCGGAAAACCCGAATTCCTCCAGGGATTGCGGGATCGATCCGGTGTATCGAAAACTTCTGATCTCCAAATTATTTCTCTTGCTCCGAGTACCTGACTGATCCGTGCACGAATTCCGAAAGGGGACTCATGCTTGATTTTTCCATTTTCAGCGTTGCCCTGAAAGTTCTTCAGAGAAACCTTCGTCAATTCGCCATGATGCGCAACTGGGCCTGGTGGAAACTCTTCATCAAGGTGAAGCCGCTCCTCAACATGACCAAAGCCGAAGACGAGCTCAAGGCGCTCGAAGACAAGCTTAAGGAGGAGCAAGACAAGTTCACCAAGGAAGAAAAACTCCGCAAAGAACTCGAAGAGCAGAACACCAAATTGCTCCAGGAGAAGAACGATCTTTACATGCAACTCGAAACCGCCAAGGGTGGAGCGGGTGAGATCGAACAGCAGCTGGGCAAGATCAACTCGCAGAAGAAAGAGTTAGAGAGGCAGATCAAAGACATGGAGGATCGCCTGTCGCAGGAAGAAGGAACCGCACAGAAACTGAACCAAAATAAGAAGAAGCTCGAGAGCGAGCTCAGCTCTCACAAAAAAGAAATCGAGGAGCTCGGCATGAACTTGCAGAAGGCCGAGCAGGACAAACAGACTAAAGATCATCAGATTCGTTCTCTCAATGACGAAATCAAGCGACAGGAGGAGCTCGTTGCCAAGCTCAACAAGGAAAAGAAAGCCTTGCAGGAAACCGGAGGCAAGAGCGCCGAAGACCTCGCCGCTGCGGAGGACAAAGTCAACCACCTCAACAAGGTCAAATCGAAGCTCGAGCAAACTGTAGATGAGCTCGAGGATTCGTTGGAGCGTGAGAAGAAGAGCCGCGCGGATCTCGAAAAAGCTAAGAGAAAAGTTGAAGGCGATCTCAAGCTCGCTCAAGAGGCCCTCGGTGATTTGGAGAGAGCCAAGAAGGACCTCGAGGCTCTCGTCCAGCGCAAGGACAAGGAGATGGCTGCGGTGCAAACCAAACTCGAAGAGGAGCAATCGCTCGTCGCCAAGCTCCAGAAGCAGATCAAGGAGTTGCAACAACGAGTCACCGACCTCGAGGATGAGCTCGAAGCCGAACGCCAGGCCCGTCAACGAGCCGAACGTGCGCGACAGGAGCTCTCCCGCGAGATTGAAACACTCTCTGAGCGATTGGAGGAGTCCGGCGGTGCGACTTCGGCACAAGTCGAGATGAACAAGCGCCGCGAAGCGGAAATGGTCAAGATGCGTCAAGAGCTCGACGAGTCCAAGAGCCAGAGCGAGCAGATGATGAACGCTCTCCGGGCGAAGAACAACCAGGTCGTTCAAGAGATGACTGAAGCTATAGACAACCTCACCAAGGCCAAATCGAAGTGAGTTCCTGGCCAGACGGCTAGCTTTCGAAGCTTCGGAACCAGAGCCAATAACGATATTCGATATCCCCACGGGAGTACCGAGAGGTATCATTGCGGTTCATTCCTCTATTCCAGGGCCGAGAAGGACGCCATGAGCTTCAAGGGTCAGGTCAGCGATTTGCAGAGCAGTCTCGATCACGTCTCCCATCAACAGGTCGGTTGAAATGAGTGCGACGGCGAGTTTCTCGTCGATTTTTGGTCGGGTTCGGGAGAACGGCTATTTGTCAAGAGGGTGGTTTTTGAGTGGCGTGGCATTAATCATCTCCATGAGCTGACTTCCGTGAGGATTACGACCACTAAACGATACCGCCTAATTTACTCGATCGGGAAGCTGAATACGCGGAGGCGTTTTGCCGGATCCCGAGGGGTTTCCCAAAGCTCCCAACGGCATGCGTAATAACCGTCCTCGACTGTAACAGCGTCTTATCATTGCAGTCGAACTCCGAGAGGCAAGCGAAATTGCTCGAACAACAAGTCAACGATCTCCAGTTCCGCTTGGACGAAGCTAACCGCAGCTTGAACGACTTCGATTCTCAGAAGAAGAAGCTCAACATCGAGAATTCGGAACTGCAACGACAACTCGAAGAGGCAGAGAGCCAGATAAATGCTCTCAACAAGCAGAAAGTAGCCCTGGCGAACCAGGCTGAAGAAGCCAAACGTTCTGCCGATGAAGAATCGAAGGAGCGTAACGCGATCATGGGCAAGTACCGCAACGTGGAGCGAGACCTCCAAGTTCTCCGCGATGCTGTCGACGAGGCTGAAGAAGCCAAGGCCGATCTCCAGCGGCAGTTGTCCAAAGCCAGCGCCGACGCTCAATTGTGGCGCGGGAAGTACGAATCCGAGGGACTTCTTCGACTCGAAGAGCTCGAGGAGGGCAAGAGGAAACTCCAAGCCAAGTTGACTCATGCCGAGGAGACCATCGAGTCCTTGAACGCCAAGGTCGCCAATCTGGACAAGACCAAGAGCCATCTACAGGGCGAGGTTGACGACATGCAGGCCGAGGTCGATCGTGCTCAGCAGCTCGCTCAGCAACTCGACAAGAAGCAAAAGTCCTTCGATCGCGTTATCGCTGAATGGAAATCGAAGACCGACAGTTTGGCGTCCGAGCTCGAAGAGTCGAAGAGGGAAGCCAGGAACTTTTCGACAGAGGTGTTCAGACTCCGCGCCCAGGCCGATGAGGCAAACGAGCACTGCGAAGCGCTGAAGAAAGAGAACAAGAACCTCCAGGACGAACTCAAGGAGGTCATCGACCAACTTGGCGAAGGAGGCCGATCCTCTCACGAAGTTGAGAAGAACCGCAAGCGTCTAGAGATCGAGAAAGAAGAGCTCCAGCATGCGGTCGAAGAAGCCGAAGCCGCCCTGGAACAGGAAGAGAACAAGGTGCTCCGCGCACAGCTCGAGCTCAGCCAGGTGCGTCAGGAGATCGAACGCCGAATCCACGAGAAAGAAGAGGAATTCGAAAACACTCGAAAGAACCACCAACGCGCCATCGACTCGATACAAGCGTCGCTCGAGGCCGAGTCCAAAGCCAAAGCTGAGGCGCAGCGAGTCAAGAAGAAGCTGGAGTCCGACATCAACGAGCTCGAGATTGCTCTGGATGGCGCGAACCGATCGAAGGTCGAGGCCGAAAAGAATGCGAAGAAGTACCAACAGCAGATCCGGGAAATCCAGAATCAACTCGAGGACGAGCAAAAAGCACACAGTGACACCCGCGACAAGTACGTTGACGCTGAACGCAGAGCCAACCAATTGCACGGGACCGTCGAGGAAGCGAAGACTCTCGTCGAAAACGCCGATCGTGCCCGTCGAGCCGCCGAAAACGAACTCTACGAACTCAAGGAAGCTTGCGGGGATCTCAGCGGAAACGCATCGTCTCTGCTCATCGCCAAAAAGAAACTTGAAGGAGAAATGGGAGCTCTCCAAGTAAGTATTGAATCACTGAACTCTATTAGTTCCCTTCTAGTCGCCCATCTCGTCGGGGTATTTCGAAACACCAGTGGTGCGGTTCAGACCTCCCGTTCTATCCGTTCGGTCGCTTCTTGAAGTGTCAGAGATCCTACGATCTCGATTTATCCTTACAGAATGATCTGGATGAGATGATCAACGAATGCAAAGCATCCGAAGAGCGTGCGAAGAAAGCCATGGTTGACGCTGCTCGTCTTGCCGATGAAATCCGTGCCCACGCTGAAGTTGCGGCAAACGCTGAAAAGTCCAAGAAGAACATGGAAGCTCAGATGAAAGAGATGCAGGCCCGTCTCGAAGAGGCCGAGAAAGACTCGATCAAGGGCGGTAAAAAGTACATTAGCAAACTCGAAGGCAAATGCAAGGACCTAGAGCACGAGCTCGAGAACGAGATCCGCAAGGGAGCGGAGCACGCCAGGAGCTCGAAGAAGGCGGAGCGAAGAATCAAAGAGTTGCAGTTCCAAGCCGAAGAAGAAAAGAAGAACTTCGATCGAATGCACGAGCTCGTCGATCAGCTGCAGAACAAGCTGGCGACCTACAGGAAGCAGTTGGAAGATTCCGAAGAGATCGCCTCGATGAATCTCACCAAGTTCAAGAAGGCGCAACAGGAGCTCGAGGACGCCGACGAGAAAGTACGCGCCGCAGAACAGCAGGTCCAGAAACTCCGTGCCAAGATCCGTACCGGAACCCCAATCTAGACATCGGAATCGATACATACCCGATGGAACCTCAGATGCAAGCACAGCGATGATTTCTTTCTCTCGAAACTCATACTATAATCCATAACTATCACGGTCATGTAAGCGGGATAACACGAACCATATTCATGAGAGCGTGCCGAATAAAAACAAAGCTGAATCCTACCCTCGGAAGCGACATTATTGTGAAATCTCTGTCCATAATTCAGAAGATCTGTCACAACGACTTACTTTGCTAGCAATCTTCTTTCGTCGCATTGAGACTGTTTGGATATCACAGGCCCTCGCCCCGGAAGGAATATATGACTCGTCGTAGGCTCTTCTCGGTCTCACGAGTGGTCTTGAATTCCGAAGCAGGACATCGTTATGATCGAGCGCCGCTCACCGGAACGGCACTCTTGAGCAGATGCTTTCGACAAGCGAAAACTCAACAGAGGCAAAAGAGGTGCACGAATTGATTTCCTTCCATGGAATGACACCTCCCCGGTGAACATCTCACAATTGAGTGATTTGCTCCATTGTATATTTATTACTTGGAGGAAATTCGACAATGCTCCAAAACACGGGGAAAATTCTGAGGCTGGTGTGATGACATGGAATGCAATGTGTATCACCGACAGGCGCGCTCGTCGGCATCGTTCCGAGCCATTCACTCGACCAGCGTGGCAGTCAGCAGAATGCCAGCGCACACAACAAATGAGGAAGAAGCTTGTACTAAGAGACCTCTGACGAGGGACCCTCTGCTCGGAGACCTGCAGCCAGCAGGTTTTATCTCTCTAAAAGGGTATGCTGTCGCAGCTATGGCCGCTTGTAGTGCATGCTATGCCGGTTGGCGCCCAAGCGAGCGTTCGAATAACAGACAATGCGGGCAAAAGAGAGAGATCATTGACATCCGAGAGAAAAAGGATAATACCACTACGTATTTCCGTAGTTGCCCTAATTTTAGGGGGCGACTCCCGGTGTGATCTCCCCTTCCTACCAGACGACATATTCGGCCGTCGATTTATGCTGCTTCATCACTCCTGTGCTTCGAGCAAGACATGGCCGCGGACCCTGATCCTCGATTGTACAGAGGCTCGGCGTATTTCGTTTACATGCATATGTTTGCCTCGGCTCATGAGAGTCCGCAATCGGCTCTGACAGCATTGCTTACGTGTCTCGATATCCGAGCCTTTCTGAGCGGGAATAGATTAATGACGAGCTCCAAACCGATCGGAGGAAATTCGCTATCGTGCTCAGATAACTCCCGCGTTTTTCCTTGGATCACCTGGAACATCAGGCTGATTCAAGCTGATGCTCATTCAAGTCCTACCCGAAAATAGGTGAAACACTTTCTCGCGGGAGTGGGAAGCTCGACAAGATGTCGCCGGTCCTCTGTGTTGCTCTCTGTCGCGCGCTCAGTCTGGAAGTGAAAATGGTTCACTTGTTAGAAAATATCCTCCCACAGCCACATGCCAACGACTAACACAAGGGGTCGCTGGGCTTTTCTTGCTTCGCGAGCCGACATCGTCGCGTTGCCGAGCTGGAAGGCTGCTCCTGACCGTCCGACAGGTACCCACTCGACCAAAGCCACAATGCCTCAGACTAGTTTTATTACAGAGCAAATCTAAGAATAGATTTGTGACCTGCCACCGGGCGAGCCTGCTCTGAGCGGTGTTCTTCGAGTCTCTTCACTTCGCGCACGACGACGATCGCCGGAAAGAGTGCGGTCGGAAGAGCCGATCGCCGATTCGTCATTTCGTTCCGCCCTCCGAAACAAGAAAATACTAGGAGTCGAAGAAAAGTTCGGGACAAATTTACAATCGTTTAGATTTTTATAGAGCTCTTATGTTCACAAGTCTCGAGGAAAATGTCTCGTGGGAGTAGGGGCGTGGGTTCCGACCAAACATTCGGCTGAACTTTCACCGTTATCGACCATTAACTAGACAAGGGCTGACGGTGACTTCCGACGACACCCGACTCGTAGAGTCATCGGAAGTCTGGGACTCTAATCAGAAAGAGAAGTCCATAAGTACGTACGTACTCGGAAGCGGCACGTCAGCGGAGGCGAATCGAACCAGCGCAGCGGCGTTGTTATCCGAGTCAATTCAGTATTTCGTGATCTGTGGTTGCGAGTGACGAGCGCTCCCTGACTCCGTGAATGATCCATCAACCCCGAGGACTGTCTCCCCTGAGTTCCGATAGAAATCATTCATGACGGCATGTTCTCGATCGAGGGTATCCATCAAGTGCGCCCGATCAACCTCTGCACCGCGGGGACTCCGGCCGTGAGGCTCTGTGCCAGATAGAGACCTAGAGATATCTTGACGTACCGCTCGATCGATCGATGTCATCGGTCAAAATGCGGGAATCGGGCGAAATCGGGCGGTTCATGTTCCACGGAAACCCTACTAAGCCTTTTCTGCGACCAGCCCAGTACTGAATTTTTGCGCGTCGGCAGGCTCGACGAAGCGTTCTATCACGCGGTTGCTGCTCTGAGTGATACCTTTCCGACAAGGGCTGGCTCATCTTATTGAACAATGGCCGACATCACGGAAGACTTGGATTTTTCGCAAGTACACCTGTAACTTGAAAACCATTGACTATTGGCTCAGACCTATATTCACTTGAGCTCTCGTTAAGTTCGATGCATCCATCTATCAATGAGCGGGGGCCTTCGAGCTTAGAAGACGTCGGGAGGGATAGGCTGTGTTCCTCTGGTCGCTCTCTCCATGCAGCCGTTTTAAGAATGAACCACTTGTTGAGCCGCCGCTCGGACAATAGTTGTGCTTTCTCGCGCAACATCCGGAAGCTCGAATGCAGCAAGGTCATGCCGAGAGTCGAGAGACCTCGTAGCTGTCACGCGCGTAATCAGGGGGCCGAGGGTATCCATGGCTCCCGCTTTCACTTCAAATTACATTTCTTGCGAACCTCCGCGTAGGTCGAGCAAGCCCCAGGGGAGAGGCGCACAGCGGGTTTCTCGGAAGATTGCGGGAGCACTCCGCGCCGTATTCGTATTCAGCGATTCATGCGAGTCTCAACTTCCGAAATGATCCTCGGAAACCGAAAGTAAGGGAGACCCGGACATTTATCGATCTAGGAATGCGTGATGGGGGTCCCTAACGCGGAGCTATCCGGGGAGAGCAGCCCCTGCCTCTTCCGAAGTTCTCGAAGATGATTCTTTGACTCTGGGTCTCGAGGCTATGTCTCCTGATTCCCGAAGCCCATGACTCGTGATGCTATGAGCCCGGGGTGGAGCCATGAGTTTCCGTGTCGCGGCCGAAATCGCGGACTCTCGCCTCGATATCTGAACATAAACCGGAGGCTTGTCGATTCGAGCGAGGGACAATCGATTGTGCCATCTTCCACGGAAGCCCCGACGAGCTTTGCGTGAAACAATGTGAAACATGTCGAAGCTTAGTTCAGTGGACGGTGCCGGGCACCTACCAGAGGCCGCAGGCCGGGTAGCGGTCCCCCGCCACCCGTTTCGAAGATTCTTTAAGCCGAGGCGGTCTTCCACCCGCACTACGCCCGCGCCACATGAAGCCCGAGCCAGGGAAGATGCATCATATCGTCGGAACCTGCTACCGCCGACGCACCAAAGAACCGTCATTCGAACCTTTCCACTTTCACTTTTCCGCTCGGAGGAATTGCAGCAGGTATATAAAGGCGGAACGCTTCGATTCCTCGTTAGAGTGCTTGGCTTAGCAGCGTAAGTGCACGTTTGTTCCGTATTCCGTTACTAGACGATCGCCTTTTACGGAATCGTGAAACCCCCGTTGTATGTAGAACAGTGCTGCTGCTCGCAGTCATCAGGCACCATGGATTTCGCTATGAGACCCTTCTGGAATCGTGATTCGGAGCGGCTCGTGAAGTGAATCGAGTTCTCCAACTGAGCCGCGGTCACGAACGTAACTCTATCCATTCTTGCAGGTGAGCCATTGGCTCTCAGGAAAGTTCTCGAAAAAGACAAGTCGCGACGCTGTCAGAGTAAGAGAAAAGCACCGCCAGTGATTCACCATGGCAACTGATCCCGATCCGACTGAGTTCCTCTACATTTCTGCGGAAGTGAAGAGGAAGGATGCGACCAAACCGTACGATGGCAAGAAGATGACTTGGGTACCGGATGAGAAAGAGGGTTTCATAATCGGTAATATCGAGTCCATGGAGGGGGACAAGGTCGTCGTTGACACCGTTGGAGGCAAGAAGAACTTCAAGAAAGATCAGCTCCAACAAGTCAATCCTCCGAAGTACGAGAAGTGTGAGGATATGTCCAACCTCACTTATCTCAACGACGCGTCCGTGTTGCACAACCTCCGCGAACGTTATTACGCCAACTTGATCTACGTGAGTTGATCTCGAGAGTCTACATACTATGACGCGATAGGCCTTCGAGCTCCCGTATTCCTCGTTCGAGTTTTATTCTCATACGCTGCCGCCTTACAGACCTACTCTGGGCTTTTTTGTGTTGCCATCAACCCTTACAAGAGGTTCCCGATCTACACGCCTCGTGTCGTCATGATATACAAGGGCAAAAGGAGGACCGAGGTCCCCCCTCACGTTTTTGCAATCTCTGACGGAGCTTACATGCACATGCTCACGGACAACGAAGATCAGTCCATGCTTATCACGTTAGTATCGCACACGATTCCATGCATATCCTGAGCTTTGCTGAATCAAGAGGCACATTCTCACTGTCAGTTGCCTTTTGCAGCGGAGAATCCGGAGCCGGGAAAACCGAGAACACGAAGAAAGTAATCTCGTATTTCGCTAACGTCGGAAAGAGCGAGAAGAAGGAGGTCGATCCCAACAAGCCTTCGCTGGAGGACCAGATCGTGCAAACGAATCCCGTACTCGAGGCATTCGGAAACGCAAAAACCGTCCGTAATGACAACTCTTCCCGATTCGGTAAATTCATCCGAATCCATTTCGGGCCCTCCGGGAAATTGGCTGGAGCCGACATCGAGACCTATCTGCTCGAGAAAGCTCGTGTCATCTCCCAACAACCCCTTGAGCGGTCCTACCACATTTTCTACCAACTCATGTCTGGCAAGATCCCCGACATGAAGAAGAAACTCCTCTTGTCCAACGATATTCACGACTACTACTACGTGAGTCAGGGCAAGACCGAGATCCCTGGAGTGAACGATGCAGAAGAAATGGGCTTGACCGATGAAGCTTTCGACATCTTGGGATTCACACCCGAAGAGAAAGACGGTGTTTACCGCATCACTGCCGCGGTCATGCATTTCGGAACCATGAAGTTCAAGCAGCGGCCTCGCGAAGAGCAAGCTGAGAGCGATGGCACCGATGAAGGCGACAACGTAGCCAAATTGCTGGGTCTCGAGACCGGTGAGCTCATCAAGAATTTGACCAAGCCAAGGATCAGGGTCGGAACTGAGATGGTAACCAAAGGTCAGAACCAAGTTCAGGTCATATCCGCCATCGGAGCGTTGTCCAAAGCTATGTTCGATCGCACGTTCAAGTTCCTCGTGAACAAATGTAACGAGACTCTGGACACGAGGCAAGCTCGCAAGCATTTCATCGGTGTGCTTGATATTGCTGGTTTCGAAATTTTCGACTACAACGGTTTCGAGCAGCTCTGCATCAACTTCACCAACGAGAAACTCCAGCAGTTCTTCAACCACCACATGTTCGTGCTCGAGCAGGAAGAGTACAAGAGGGAAGGAATCGACTGGGTCTTCATCGATTTCGGTCTCGATCTGCAAGCTTGCATCGAGCTCATCGAGAAGCCCATGGGAATCATGTCGATTCTCGAAGAGGAGTCCATGTTCCCCAAGGCTACCGACAAGACCTTCGAAGAAAAGTTGAACAGCACCCATCTCGGCAAGTCGGCTCCCTTCCAGAAGCCCAAGCCCCCGAAGAACAAGGATGTCGGACCCGCTCACTTCGCCATTGCTCACTATGCCGGTACCGTATCGTACTCGATCACTGGCTGGCTCGAGAAGAACAAGGATCCACTGAACGATTGTGTCGTCGATCAGTTTAAGAAGGGAACCCTACCCCTCGTGCAGACGATATTCGAGGACCATCCCGGTCTCGGTGCCGACGCCAAGGCAGAGGGCGGGGGCAAAGGTGGACGCAAGAAGGGTTCCGGATTCCAGACCGTATCGGGACTCTACAGGGTAAGCGAATTTCTACTGAATCAGTCGGTGGAGCAGTGCCCGTGACTTGGTGCTACAGGTGTACACATGTCGGATTGACTGTCGCTCGTCAAACAGATTTTAAACATTGCTCTCTTGTAATCGCAGGAGCAACTCAACAAATTGATGCACACCCTCCACTCGACTCATCCCCACTTCGTTCGTTGCATTATTCCGAACGAGTTCAAGCAGCCCCGGGTCATCGACGCTCATCTCGTCATGCACCAGCTCACCTGTAACGGTGTGCTCGAAGGAATCCGTATCTGCCGAAAAGGATTCCCCAACCGGATGGTGTATCCCGATTTCCGGCAACGGTTAGCTGCAGACGAGTTCACATGACCTTGGAGTAATATCGAGCGGCATAACCAATAATTCCGTCGTTTGCATCCTAGTTATCGTATTCTCGCACCAGAGGCTTACCCTCCGAATTTCGCTGGTGACGCTAAGGAGGGTATAACTCGCTTGGTCCAGAATACCGGTCTCGACAAGGACGAGTACCGGGTTGGGAGCACGAAGGTACGAAACGAATTTGGCGGATGACTGACTTGTGAATTCTTGAACCCCTCCAGTTACACAATTCTTGCGGCAGAAGAGGCCAAGAAGCACTCCGAAGCCAAGGATTCTTCGATCGCCGTTATCTCTAACATCGGTCTTGACAAAGACGAATACCGATTCGGTAGCACAAAGGTAGAATTTTTGGCCGAACGAATGACTTTTTCGTTCATTTCTTTGCTTTCTTTCTTTATTTCGTCAGTCTCTTTCCGATCTTCTTTTCTTAATTCTTTAACGATGTAATGGTTCACGTCCCCTGTCGTCTCCTTCCCCGTCGTCGTTATGAATTATTCGGAGAACTTCGAGCTAAGTATGCTTCAGGTGTTCTTCCGCGCCGGAGTCCTGGGTCGCCTGGAAGAGATGCGTGACGAGCGCCTCGCCAAGATCATGACTATGATCCAATCGGCGTGCCGCTGGTACCTCTGCAAGAAACACTTCCAAAAGCTGAAAGAGCAACGGTTCGTAGAATGATATTGTGTCTAGACAGATTCGAAAGACGCATCCGGGATATGTGCGGATGCCCATCTGGAGGATTTCACTAATGATATCTGTCTCCGAAGATTGGCGCTCCGCGTTCTGCAAAGAAACCTACGTCAATTCGCTCATATGCGCAATTGGGCTTGGTGGAAACTCTTCGTCAGGGTCAAACCCTTGCTCAACATGACCAAGGCCGAAGACGAGCTTAAAGGTCAGTGTTCGTTCTCGAAGCACGGACAGAATCTAAGCCCCGTGAGATGAGAGAATGCTCCTCACGGATTTTCTTCTTTAATCCACAGCTCTGGAAGAGAAGCTCCGAGAAGAGCAAGAGAAATTGGCCAAAGAAGAGAAACTCCGCAAGGAGCTCGAGAACCAGAATGTCAAGTTGCTTCAGGAGAAGAACGAGCTCTTCTTGCAACTTGAATCCGAGCGTACCGGTGCCGGAGATATCGAGCAACGCCTCAACAAGGTGCAAGCCCAGAAGACCGAAACCGAACGTCAGCTCCGTGAGCTGGAAGATCGTTTCCATCGTGAGGAGGAAAACGCTAACAAGTTGAGCCAGAGCAAGAGGAAGCTCGAGAGCGAAATTTCCGCTCACAAGAAGGATATCGAAGATCTTCAATTGTCCCTGCAGAAAGCGGAGCAGGACAAACAATCGAAGGATCACCAGATCCGTAACCTCAACGACGAGATTGCCCACCAAGAAGAACTCGTCGCCAAGCTCAATAAGGAGAAGAAAGCTCTGCAGGAGAGCGGCGGGAAGAGCGCCGAGGATCTCCAGGCTGTGGAGGACAAGGTCAATCACTTGAATAAAGTGAAAGCTAAGCTCGAACAGACTCTCGACGAGCTAGAGGATTCTCTGGAACGCGAGAAGAAGACGCGGGCGGACCTCGACAAAGCCAAACGGAAAGTCGAGGCTGATCTGAAGCTTGCTCAGGAGGCGGTCATTGATCTCGAAAAGAACAAGAAGGAGCTCGAGCACACAGTCCAGAGAAAAGATAAGGAGCTGGCGGCTCTCGCGACCAAGCTCGAAGAGGAACAGTCTCAAATCAGCAAACTGCAGAAGCAGATCAAAGAGCTACAGCAGCGAGTGGAGGAGCTTCAGGAAGAGCTGGAAGCCGAACGTCAAGCTCGCTCGAAAGCTGAGAAGCAAAGAGGCGACCTCGCCCGCGAACTTGAGCAGCTCTCAGAGCGTCTCGAGGAAGCCGGCGGAGCGACCTCTGCTCAGATCGAACTCAATAAACGCCGTGAGGCTGAGCTCGGGAAATTGCGGCGTGATCTGGACGAAGCCAACAACCAGCATGAGCAGACAGTATCAGCTCTTCGGCAGAAGAACAACGCCACGGTCGCCGAGTTGAGCGACGCCGTTGATAATCTCAACAAACACAAGGCTAAGTATGTAATGCGAGTTTTCCCGAATCCCAATCCTTGCCATGAGCCGTAAGCTCCCTGTGAACGACGACGATGGAAATATCCCTGGAACTAGGAGCTCGTTTCGGGGGGGGGGGTGAGGGGTAACGAAGCCATTATGAGGGAATCGGCATTGATTCGAGATTTTAAAGAACGAAAAATTCCATAAGGCTCGAGAAAGAAGCCAGCCAATTTAGAGCTGAAGCCGAGGATGCCAGACAAACGGCTGATCACCTCCAACGCGAGAAGGTACAAGAATTCCCGTCGGAGATGGCTTGCGCTTTTGAACGCAGCGTACTGATCCTACCTTAATGCGTTTCGAGTTCGAGTGGCTCTTTGGACTAGGCGAAAGTCCATTTCCCGATGAACGGGGACGGCGATCTTGGCATCCTATCATGATCTATTTTAACATGTTTCGAATAACTAACTGCACATTCGATCCCCCCCTGACCGGAACCTCTCTTGAAGGCTTGAAAAGGACTGCGCGGCCTTCAAGGCTCAGGCCATCGACGCTCAGTCTTCGTTGGATCACGCTATTAAGCTTCAGGTACACTTCCGTAGTGGTTCCGTCCTCAGCAAATGTCTTGACGCTGTTTTCGGAATTTTCGTTTATGCATCTTGAGGCATCTTGCAGGAAGCTGTCCTCGGATCTCACGGCATACACTAAGACTTTTCTTTCCCCCCATAATCGATATAGGCCAACTCCGAGCGTCAAGCCAAGATGCTCGAAGTTCAACTTCAAGATACGCAGTTTAAATTGGATGAGTCCAACCGAACCGTGAACGATTTCGACGCTGCGAAGAAGAAGTTGGCCCTAGAGAACTCGGAACTCCAACGCCAGCTCGAGGAAGCGGAGAGCCAAATCAGCCAACTCTCCAAACAGAAAGCTTCCCTGGCCTGTCAAGCCGAAGAAGCGAAGCGATCCGCTGATGAAGAAAACAGGGTAAGGGAGCCCTCTCCTTCCATGAACTTGCGATCGCATCGGACTTCATGTTCGTGTTACGATATTCAGACTCTCCGTTCTCCACAGGAGCGCTGCGCCATTCTCGGTAAATACAGGAACATCGAGCACGACCTGGATAACCTGCGTGAGGCTCTCGAGGAAGAGCAGGAAGCCAAGGCCGACCTCCAACGTCAACTCTCGAAATCCAATGCCGAGGCTCAGCTGTGGAGGAACAAGTACGAGTCCGAAGGAATCGCTCGTATCGAGGAGCTCGAAGAGTCCAGAAAGAAACTGCAGATCAAGTTGCAGAGCTCTGAAGAGTTGATCGAAGGACTCAACGCAAAGGTATCCGGTTTGGAGAAGACAAAGAGCCATCTCCAAGGAGAAATCGACGATATGCAAGCGGAGGTCGACCGCGCTCAGCAGTTGGCTGCTCAACTCGAGAAGCGTCAGAAGTCGTTTGACAAGGTCATCGCCGAATGGAAAGCGAAGACCGACGATCTCGCTGCCGAGTTGGACGCTTCACAGAAGGAATGCCGCAACTACTCCACCGAGGTATTCAAACTCCGAGCTGCCTACGACGAGTCGCAGGAGCACTACGAGGCTGTCAAGAGAGAGAACAAGAACCTACAAGATGAACTCAAGGACCTTCTGGATCAACTCGGCGAAGGCGGACGATCCGTCCACGAGCTCGAAAAGGCTCGCAAGAGGCTCGAGCTCGAGAAGGACGAGCTGCAACACGCTCTCGAGGAGGCTGAAGCTGCGCTCGAACAGGAGGAGAACAAGGTTCGTTCCCGATCTACAAAAGCACCGAAATTCATGCCAATTGGCAGGGTGGGGGTCCCTGCGGGCGGCGGCACGACGAGACTAATTCCCATTCGTCGACTTACAGGTACTCCGCGCTCAACTCGAGCTCAGCCAGGTGCGCCAGGAGATCGAGCGTCGTATCCAGGAGAAGGAGGAGGAATTCGAGAACACCCGCAAGAACCACCAACGTGCCCTCGACTCCATGCAAGCCTCCCTCGAGGCCGAGGCCAAGGGACGTGCCGAGGCACTCAGGTTGAAGAAGAAACTCGAGTCCGACATTAACGAGCTCGAGATCGCCCTTGACGGAGCCAACAAGGCCAACGCTGAAGCCCAGAAGACCATCAAGAGGTATCAGCAGACGATCAAAGACATGCAGTCGCAGATCGAAGAAGAGCAGAAGGCTCGAGATGAGGCCCGCGACCAGTATGCGAACGCTGAACGCCGTGCTAATCAGCTGCACGGTTCTCTCGAGGAGACTAAGCAGGTGCTCGAACAGTCAGAGAGGGCTCGCCGCTCTGCTGAGTCCGAGCTGATTGAGCTCAGGGAGCAGCACGCCGAATTGGCAGCGAATAACGCGTCTCTCGGAATGGCCAAGAGGAAGCTTGAGGGAGAGATGTCCGCGCTGCAGGCTGATCTCGACGAGATGATCAACGAGTGCAAGGCCTCTGAGGAAAAAGCCAAGAAGGCGATGGTCGATGCTGCTCGTCTGGCCGATGAGCTTCGCGCTGAGCAGGAACACGCTGGCTCCCAGGAGAAGATGCGCAAAGCTCTCGAGATCCAGATGAAGGATCTTCAAGTTCGTCTCGATGAAGCCGAAGCCGCGGCCCTCAAGGGAGGCAAGAAGCTCATCGAGAAGCTTGAACACAAGTGCCGACAACTCGAGTCCGAATTGGAGACCGAGCAACGCCGACACGCCGATGCCGCCAAGAACGCGCGCAAGGGCGAACGCAGGAACAAGGAGCTCCAGTTCCAGGCCGAAGAAGATCGCAAGAACCACGAGCGCATGCAGGAACTCGTCGACAAACTCCAGCAGAAGATCAGCACGTACAAGAGACAAATCGAGGAGGCTGAAGAGATCGCCGCCATGAATCTCGCCAAATACCGCAAGGCCCAACAAGAGCTCGAGGATGCGGACGAACGTGCGAACTTGGCAGAACAAACCGTGGCTAAACTTCGCGCTAAAAACCGTTCATCCGTGAGCGTTGCCAGGGAATAAGATGCGGTCGCGAAGCGAATCGGCGGAAAGAGCCGCGTGCTCTTTCCGCAGCGATCGGAATCACTCGATCGAAACCTTCGGATTTTTTGAACGTGGTGCTTTCTTATTTGAGCTTCAAATTCGTCGCATTGTATCTTGGCGCCTTTGCATTCTAGAGGCCAGCTTTGCGTTCCTGCAGTAGATGCGGATGTGGGGGGACGTCGACAAGATGAGAGCGGAGGCTTGTTTCACGGGAACTCCTTCACGCTGCTTTATCTCGCCAACATCGACAGAGAAGAATCAAACCTTCGCTCCTCATGCTGCCGGTGAAGCTCCGCTTGAAATCGCCTGCTCGACGCAACGCCGGAAGCGACTTGCTCTAAACATTATAATCGCTCATTTTGGCAGAAAACATTCAATAAATTCAGAATATCATCGACGATAGACTTCTCCTTTGGCTGAGCACACGAAGAAGAGGAAGAAGCTCATAGAGCTCGATTGGGAACGAGAATATTCATTAGGTCACGGATCCTCTGCCGTTCAGCAAGCAAGAATCTGAGCGGACCTTCATGAGAACGAGGAGCAATTTATCCGGGATTTATCATGGGAACGGGCACCTACTGCATTAGGATCGCCTTCGAATCTCCTCAGATACATTGGTGTTGACAGCTTCTTTTTAAGCACCAGACTCGAATACCGTGTCGCTTGGAGTCGATATCATCAGTGGAGAAACTGACCGGAGGCTCAATCATAGATCTCCCAGCCATCGAAAGGGGCTGATTCGGAAGGGATCCGGCGGGTGCCGACGAATCATTCATCGAATCTGTCAGATCTGACTGAACGAGTCTTGAGAAGGTGAACAACGAGTTGGTGACAATTGGATAACGAGCTTGTAGAGGGTGGCAGAAGGGGGAACTGAGGTAAAAACGAAGAAGAGACGCGATAGGAGAGATATGAGAGAAAACAAGAAGTCATATAGCCTCCCACCCATCCACCCACTCAGCCGACAAAGTCAAGCGACACATTTGTCACATCACTAAGCGACAACTCAGCGACAGGCGTGGGAAAATCCCTGTCTTTCTGTGTGAAATCATGCTGAAAGCGAAACTTCGAGACGGATCAATTACCACGTTGATGAATCACCGATTCGATGATCAGATAATAATTATGGATGGGTCACAGGAGAAGAATAAGCAATCACAGATAATTATGCTTATTGTCACCATGAATTATTATCAATCATCATCATTGGATTCTCGTCTGATTCAGAGCTGATTTTTTCATCGACATCGGTCGTGATCAGCGTGCATGAAATACAGACTCAGAATATTCAGGATTGAATGTGTGACTCCAAATTTTGCCTCGAATCGTCGAAATAAGAGTGGATGACCTGCGGAAGCAAGGCTGGAAATCGTTCTTGTCATGCCTGCCGCAGAGCCAGCAAGATCAGGTAGTCGGAGTCTGTGAGCTGGCCGTCATCATTCTAAAACAAAGTGAACATCGCTACCAGAGAGAACCGACAACGGTAGGAAGCAGTGGCAGCAATAATACATAGAGAGCATGCAGTGGTGACTGCGCCCGTTACCGAAATAACAACCGACAGGGGAGTCTCACCGGACGACGCCTTTCGAAAGGACTGAGGTGCTCTGATGTCGTCTATGATTTCGGGGCATTTCTAGCGATTCGGACGACCACTAGCGAGACCGCCTAACCCGGAATTTCTTAGACGACCTGCTGAGTTCGTGAATCCGTTAGCGAAACCCTTGAGCAACTGATTCTTAGTCGTGCGTGAAGTTTCGATGGGGATCGAATGTTTCTTCTCTTTCCTCTAGAGAAAATCTGACGCAGAATAGCCATCTCATTGACAACAATTGAAGCATTTCGACCAAAGTTTCTCCCCAACTCGTGAATAGCCCATCTCTCGCTGAAAAAATGTCTGGAACTCCGGAGAGCTCCTCGAAGATTTTCGCGACCCCAGTGGTGACTCTGATCCAATATACAGAAAGCATCGAGTGGCCTTAGGGAATTCCAAGGACTTCCTCGCTCGCCCCGCAGATTCCCTGCTAGATTTCGCACACAGCGATCGTGATGAGGGGTTCAATGAGGGAGACCGGATCGAACGAAGATCGCTTCATTCTAGAATCGAGAATTGCTGTCTTTGTTTTTGGCGAAGGCCTCCCGGCCAGATAGAGAGCATAGGCCTAAGCCACCACCGCGTCGTCAACCTTCCGGAAGCCGACCAAAAGCTGTGAGCGGAATGCGGGGCTTCGGAAAAAGGCTCACCGGCATCCAGATATCATTCTGTTAGACGAAGAATACCCTTTGAATAACTGTGCAATGAAGCGGCCACCAGCGCTCATAACGCTCTTTCGCATTTAGGAATCTTCCTCTGGTTTCCACCGAATCTCGGTCGGATTCACGTATTCATCGGAAGGGTGACATTCTCCGCCGCTCCTAGAGCAGTACACAGAGATAATTCGCCGAGCAGGTCCATTGTTGCGACAAGCAACCGAGGTGGGAATCGAGATAGATTATCGTCGACTCTGTATTTCATTGGATGGCGAATGATTTGTTTATACGTCGGCTCACAGTGAAATGTTTCTAGAATGCAGTCCGGGCTATTTAATCGTCAGTATGCCCGAGATCGGTACTGCTCACAGTGCGTCGCGATCAAGCGCTAGATGCGATAGATTCGTGGGGAACGACTGTTCCTCGGATCGGGGGAAGTATCACATTCAGAGCAGCGTTTCGCCCACATGGGCGTCCGATGCCTTGCCCGCGAAGTCAGCCGCGATAGCAATCGAATATCAAGTCGTTGTAGCTTCCAATAATAATAACTAGTCTCAATTATCATGACAACCACAGTTATAATAATTGTGAATTATGATAATTGTAGAGAAATCGATCTCGATCTTCGGTCAATCGTTGGTTGTAAGGCCCAGATGGGTCGACTCGTTGGTACCGTGGAATCCATGATACCTGGACAGAGGAAGCAGAGACATAACTCGCAGATGTATCGGTTACGAGTTCGTGTACAAGATTGAATTCAGTTTCCAGCGACTAACGACAGTCGATCAATGGTCTCCACTATGTTCTCCCAGAAACGGGTCTGGCTTCAGGAAGGGAAGAAGCAGACAGATTAGAGAAGTCTGTTTAAGGCTACAGCTAGCGCAAATGCCGGCAACCGCTCTTAGGCTTCGATGTGGCCCGGGATGTGATCAGGTGCGCTGAGGGAGACACCGTATGTCAGGCAAATAGACAATGGAAAGACCCGCCTTCAGGCCCCGCCTATTCAAGAACCCTACATTAGACTCTCTCCATTACGACCGAAGGAATTACAGCAAGTATAAAAAGCTACGACACCAGCGATCGTCTCAGAGTAATTTGGCTTTGCAGCGTGAGTGTCACACCATTTCAGTGTTTAGCAGATCGTCTTTGTTCACCCCGTTGTGCTTCTCTCTCGTCTCCCGTCGCTTCGCTCCGACTGATCAACCTTAGAACTGTTCCCGATTGGATACTCTAGTGCGCTTTGCCCCGTTTCCAGTGTCTGTCAATGGATTATTCAGCACGGATCGTGGACTGGATTCGATTCCTAATTATTATTCCCCCAACGCTTCTCGAGAACAGCCGGGAGCCTCGGCTACCGTTCCTAAATGATTGCTTGCCCTCCAGCCAGCGCAGGAAGATTTCGAAGAATCCCCCTGCCCCTAAGATCTCGCTCCCTGGGGGCCGACCCCATGATTCCATGTCTGAGCGCGTTTGATTCTGATCTCTATCCGCTGCCGAAACTGATCCCGAACGCTCTCCCTCTCCGTCCCCGAGCGGTTCATGCAACTTGATAAGTCTGCGATTGTTGAAACAAGGCCTATCGATCGTTTCAGGTGGGCCAGTTGACTCTCAGACTTCGTTTCACCTTTTCTTGATCGAAAAGAGAGTCGAAACTCGCGAGCAAGATGGCTGCACAAACGGATCCCGATCCAAGTGAATACCTTTACATCTCTGCGGAGATGAAGAGGAAGGACGCGACGAAACCATACGATGGTAAGAAGATGACTTGGGTCCCCGACGAGAAGGAGGGTTTCGTGCTCGGGAACATCGAGTCGCTGGAAGGCGACAAGGCCGTTGTCGATACTCCCTCCGGCAAGAAGACCTTCAAGAAGGACCAACTCCAGCAAGTCAATCCGCCGAAGTACGAGAAATGCGAAGATATGTCTAACATGACTTATCTCAACGACGCTTCCGTACTCCACAACCTCAAGGAGCGTTACTTCGCCAATCTGATTTACGTAAGTGAAGGCTTGAGGCATACTCGGAGGGGGAGCCGAGTTGAATCCCGTGTTGATCATGATCGGCTCTGGAGAGACTTTGAGTGAAACGAGAACCCTGAGATAGAATTTTCCGTCACGCAGACCTATTCCGGACTTTTCTGTGTCGCCATCAATCCCTACAAGAGGTTCCCCATCTACACCCCTCGTGCCGTCATGATCTACAAGGGCAAGAGGAGGACCGAGGTCCCCCCTCACGTATTCGCCATCTCTGACGGTGCCTACATGCACATGTTGACTGGTGAGTCCTTGTCGAGAAGCTGGAACCCAGTGGCGGAGACCTCCTGAGCGATTCGGAGTGGTACTCAACGGACTTTAGAGCAATGGGCCTCTTCATGCTCCTGGTTCGAGGAAGCAATTTAGTTTCCTCGGCGTGAGAGACCCCGAATGTTCTCGACATCTCCCGAGACGGACTTCGAGCTGCTACGGGATTCGAATACGTGCGATGATACGTCGCTGCCTACACGCTGACGTTAGTATCCAATCTGAAATCTGAATATTTCCAGATAACGAGGACCAGTCCATGTTGATTACGTAAGTTTCCTGTTGAATCGCTTGTCCACAGCGAGGAATACGAAGAAGTGAACATATTAGACCCGATCCCAATACGTCGAGCGTTGGGTTTTTTCGAGCGAAACAGTCTGACGAAGTGATCTATCCACAGTGGCGAGTCCGGAGCCGGAAAGACTGAGAACACCAAGAAAGTAATTTCCTACTTCGCCAACGTCGGTAAGAGCGACAGGAAGCCAACCGCTGCCGACGCCAATAAGCCTTCACTCGAAGACCAGATCGTGCAAACCAATCCCGTACTCGAGTCGTTCGGTAACGCTAAGACCACCCGTAACGATAACTCCTCCCGTTTCGGTAAATTCATCCGTATCCATTTCGGTCCCACTGGAAAGTTGGCTGGTTGCGATATCGAGACCTATCTGCTCGAGAAGGCTCGTGTCATTTCGCAACAGCCCCTTGAGCGGTCTTACCACATTTTCTACCAACTCATGTCCGGCAAGATCCCCGACATGAAGAAGAAACTGCTCCTGTCGGACGAAATCCACGACTACTACTACGTGTCTCAGGGAAAAACCGAAATTCCCGGCGTGGACGATGCAGAAGAAATGGGATACACCGATGAAGCTTTCGACATTCTCGGTTTCGACGCCGACGAGAAGGACGGTGTCTACCGTATCACCGCCTCTGTCATGCACTTCGGTACGCTCAAGTTCAAACAGAGACCTCGCGAAGAGCAGGCTGAAGCCGATGGAACCGAGGAGGGAGAACGGGTCGCCAAACTGCTCGGCGTCGACACCAACGAGCTGTACAAGAACTTGACCAAGCCCAGGATCAAGGTCGGAACTGAGTTCGTGACCAAGGGTCAGTCTATGGGACAGGTCTACTCGGCCATCGGCGCCATGTCGAAGGCCATGTTCGATCGTACGTTCAAATTCCTCGTCAAGAAGTGTAACGACACTCTGGACACCAAGCAGGCACGCAAGCATTTCATCGGTGTGCTTGATATTGCTGGTTTCGAAATTTTCGACTACAACGGTTTCGAGCAGCTCTGCATCAACTTCACCAACGAGAAACTCCAGCAGTTCTTCAACCACCACATGTTCGTGCTCGAGCAGGAAGAGTACAAGAGGGAAGGAATCGACTGGGTCTTCATCGATTTCGGTCTCGATCTGCAAGCTTGCATCGAGCTCATCGAGAAACCCCTGGGTATCTTGTCCATCCTCGAAGAGGAGTCTATGTTCCCCAAGGCTACCGACAAGACTTTTGAGGACAAGCTGAACAGCACCCATCTGGGCAAGTCGGCTCCCTTCCAAAAGCCCAAGCCCCCGAAGAACAAGGATGTCGGACCCGCTCACTTCGCCATTGCTCACTACGCCGGTACCGTATCGTACTCGATCACCGGCTGGCTCGAGAAGAACAAGGATCCCCTGAACGATTGTGTCGTCGACCAGTTCAAGAAGGGTAATCTGAAGCTGCTCCAGACCATCTTCGAAGACCATCCTGGACTCGGCGCTGACGCGAAGGCCGACGGTGGCGGCAAGGGAGGTGGCCGAAAGAAGGGTTCTGGTTTCCAGACCGTCTCCGGTTTGTACAGGGTACGTTTCCAGAAGCTCCTGTGATCGAACTCGGAGTCCTCCGAATGAATAGGAGTGCTCCGAAATGTATTCCCATTCTATTCTATCATCATTCTAATTATCTGTCTGCCTCCCTCAACTCCCGTCGGGAAACAGGAGCAACTCAACAAGTTGATGCACACCCTCCACTCTACTCATCCTCACTTCGTCCGTTGCATCATCCCCAACGAATTCAAGCAGCCTAAAGTCATCGACGCTCATCTCGTCATGCATCAGCTCACCTGTAACGGTGTGCTTGAAGGCATCCGTATTTGTCGCAAAGGTTTCCCCAACAGGATGGTTTACGCCGATTTCCGTCAACGGTAAGTGCGATGGAGCTCCGTCCGGTGCGGCAACGAGTCTGGTCACCCGGGACGATCATCATTTAACGATCATTGGATTATCTCAGCTACACGATACTCGGTCCCAACGCCGTCCCCAAAGACTTTGCCGGTGAACCGAAAGACGCCGGTTCTATGCTCATTAGCCAGACAGGTCTCGATCCGGATCAATATCGAATTGGATTGACCAAGGTACGCCTTCTAATTGAGTATTGCCGTCTTCAGTTATACAATTCTTGCGGCCGAAGAGGCCAAGAAACACTCCGAAGCCAAGGATTCTTCGATCGCCGTTATCTCTAACATCGGCCTTGACAAAGATGAATACCGATTCGGTAGCACAAAGGTAGAAGGCCATCAGATGGCTTCTACGTTAAGTGTTGTACCCCGATTCGATCGGGAGTGGACGTTGTCCTATTTGTCCTAGAGTCGCCTGACTCATGGACGGTCGCTGGTGGGAATACCTCGCCTCGCTCTGGGAAAGTCTCAGAACTCCCTCCCTGGAGTGCCGGTCATGTGCCGCTCTGATGAGACGCCGGTCTACAACGATTGTTTTTCTGCACCAGATCTTCTTCCGCGCCGGAGTGTTGGGTCGTCTTGAGGAGATGCGTGACGAACGTCTCGCCAAGATCATGACCATGATTCAATCAGCCTGCCGTTGGTATCTTTGCAAGAAACACTTCCAGAAACTCAAGGAGCAACGGTGAGCGATCCGCCATCGAGGTTTCGAATTCGTTCCGCTCGATCGAAGCTCTAATTTCCTTCTCATTTCGCAGGTTGGCCCTGCGCGTCCTGCAGAGGAACCTTCGTCAGTTCGCTCAGATGCGCAACTGGGCCTGGTGGAAACTCTTCATCAAGGTGAAGCCGCTCCTCAACATGACCAAGGCCGAGGACGAGCTTAAGGGTAAAGAGAAAATAGCGAACATTCGCAGATGTCCTCCGTACCGTACAGAGTCGATGGACGTTCTCGAATTTTCTCTAAAAGTTTTCCTGTTCGAATGCAGCTCTCGAAGACAAACTCAAGGAGGAGATGGAGAAACTCGCCAAGGAGGAGAAATTGCGCAAGGAGCTCGAAGCGCAGAACGCCAAACTCGTCCAGGAGAAGAACGAACTCTTCCTGCAACTTGAATCCGAGCGCACCGGAGCCGGAGACATCGAACAACGTCTCACCAAGGTCCAGTCCCAGAAGACTGACCTCGAGCGACAGGTCCGTGAGCTGGAGGAGCGCTGCCACCGCGAGGAGGACAGCGCCCAGAAACTCGGCCAGAACAAGAGGAAACTCGAGGGCGAAATCTCTGCCCACAAGAAGGACATCGAAGATCTGCAGCTCTCCCTCCAGAAGGCTGAGCAGGACAAGCAGTCCAAGGACCACCAGATCCGAAACCTGAATGATGAGATCGCCCAGAAGGAAGAACTCATTGCCAAGCTCAACAAGGAGAAGAAATCCCTCCAGGAGCAGGGCAGCAAGACCACCGACGACCTCCAGGCTCAGGAGGACAAAGTCAATCACTTGAACAAGGTGAAGGCTAAACTCGAGCAGACCCTCGATGAATTGGAGGATTCGCTCGAACGCGAGAAGAAAGCCCGCGCCGACCTTGACAAGACCAAGAGGAAGGTCGAGGGAGACCTGAAACTCGCTCAGGAAGCGGTCGCCGATCTCGAGAAGAACAAGAAAGAGCTCGAACAGACCATCCAACGCAAGGATAAGGAGCTTGCGGCCTTGGCCACCAAGCTCGAGGACGAACAATCCCAAATCGCCAAGCTCCAGAAGCAGATCAAGGACTTGCAACAACGGGTCGAGGAACTCCAGGAGGAACTCGAGGCCGAACGCCAGGCTCGCTCGAAGGCTGAGAAGCAACGTTCCGATTTGGCTCGCGAATTGGAACAGCTCTCCGAGCGTCTCGAGGAGGCCGGTGGAGCCACCTCCGCTCAAATTGAGTTGAACAAGCGTCGCGAGGCTGAACTCGGAAAACTCCGCCGTGATCTGGAGGAGGCCAACTCGCAGAACGAGCAAATCGTCTCCGCTCTCCGCCAGAAGAACAACTCCATGGTGGCCGAGATGACCGACACGATCGACAACCTCAATAAGCAGAAGGCCAAGTAAGTTATGGGACCGTTAGGAATTTTTTTGAGACTTTCCGAATCCCGAACGATGTCCGTACAGTCTCGCTCTATCGATAAACGAAACTGAATGGGGTCTGGGCGGGGAGAGACGGAGTGGATCCAATAATAATGCCGGCTATTGGAAAAAAAACAGCATCGATATGATTTCGATCCCTGCTGTTCATTATCGAATCTCCTAATCGCTTCTGCTCATAAAAGGCTCGAGAAGGAAAGATCGCAATTCAAATCTGAGGCCGATGACATGCGCCAAAACGTTGAACACGTTCAGCGGGAGAAGGTACAGCGTCTATGCCTCGAAATGAAAATTCAGGCTTCCCTCTGATGAAAGGCACTTTCGAACGCACCTTGTTGAAGCGAGCAAGCGAGCGAGCGCTTCTTGCGGAGCGAGCAAACTAATTAACTGTCCAACTGAAAACTGACCGCACATTCGAACCCTTCTCCTAAGTAAAACCTCTATTAAAGACTTGAAAAGGACTGCGCCGGTTTCAAATCCCAAGCCGTGGATGCTCAGTCATCTCTCGACCACGCTATGAAGCTTCAGGTATTTCGCGTTGCATTTTCGAAAGTAATACTCCTCCTTCCCCTTGAGTAATAATAATGAATCGCAGCAGCTTCGATTATGCTGCAAGAATTCCGCGAGAACGATTCCCCCAGAGGGCACTCCGGAAAGACGCGACGTTGGTTTTCGTCATTCGGTTCGTCGGAGGGGATCGAATATTTGCATCCACCTCAAAGCGAATCCATTCATTCAGCGTTTGACAAGCATCTTGCTCAGAGAATTCGTGCATGCGTGGCTCGACGTGAGACCCTGAGAGCCATTCTGAAAATCTCTGAAATTGCAGGCCAACTCTGAACGTCAGGCGAAAATGCTTGAAGTTCAACTTCAAGACACGCAGTACAAGCTTGACGAGTCCAATCGCACAGTCAACGACTTCGATGCCGCCAAGAAGAAGCTGGCTCTCGAAAACTCCGAGCTCCAGCGACAGCTCGAAGAGGCCGAGAGCCAAATCAGCCAGCTTTCGAAGCAGAAGGCCTCACTCGCCAGCCAGGCCGAGGAGGCCAAGCGTGCTGCCGATGAGGAGAACAGGGTACGCAAGCGGCTCGGATTGCCAAAATTATTATTGTTGAGCTGCTCAATTTATTTGACATCGACTCACGCTCTAGAATTCCGTGTAGGAACGAGCTGCTATTCTTGGAAAGTACCGCAACATTGAACACGATCTCGACAACCTCCGTGAAGCCCTCGAGGAAGAGCAGGAAGCCAAGGCTGACTTGCAACGCCAACTTTCGAAGGCGAACGCCGATGCTCAACTCTGGAGGAGCAAGTACGAATCTGAGGGGCTCGCTCGTCTCGAAGAGCTCGAGGAGTCCAGGAAGAGACTGCAGATCAAGCTGCAAGGCGCTGAGGAACTCATCGAGGGTCTCAACGCCAAGGTGTCCGGTCTCGAGAAGACCAAGAGCCACCTCCAGGGTGAACTCGACGACATGCATGCTGAAGTCGATCGCGCCCAACAATTGGCCGCTCAACTCGAGAAGCGTCAGAAGTCGTTCGACAAGGTCATCGCCGAATGGAAAGCGAAGACCGACGATCTCGCTGCCGAGTTGGACGCATCGCAGAAGGAATGCCGCAACTACTCCACCGAGGTATTCAAACTCCGAGCTGCCTACGACGAGTCGCAGGAGCACTACGAGGCTGTCAAGAGAGAGAACAAGAACCTCCAAGATGAACTCAAGGACCTTCTGGATCAACTCGGCGAAGGCGGACGATCCGTCCACGAGCTCGAAAAGGCTCGCAAGAGGCTCGAGCTCGAGAAGGACGAACTGCAACACGCTCTCGAGGAGGCTGAAGCAGCACTCGAACAGGAGGAGAACAAGGTTCGTCGCCGATTTACATATGTGCTGGAATTCTTGCCAATTGGCAGGGTGGGGGTCCCTGCGGGCGACGGCACGACGAGACTAATTCCCATTCGTCGACTTACAGGTACTCCGCGCTCAACTTGAACTCAGCCAGGTGCGCCAGGAGATCGAGCGTCGTATCCAGGAGAAGGAGGAGGAATTCGAGAACACCCGCAAGAACCACCAACGTGCCCTCGACTCCATGCAAGCCTCCCTCGAGGCTGAGGCCAAGGGACGTGCCGAGGCACTCAGGTTGAAGAAGAAACTCGAATCCGACATCAACGAGCTCGAGATCGCTCTTGACGGAGCCAACAAGGCCAACGCTGAAGCTCAGAAGACCATCAAGAGGTATCAGCAGACGATCAAAGACATGCAGTCGCAGATCGAAGACGAACAGAAGGCTCGCGACGAAGCTCGCGATCAGTATGCCAACGCTGAACGCCGCGCAAATCAGCTTCATGGCTCTCTTGAGGAAGCCAAGCAGCTCTTGGAGCAATCGGAGCGGGCACGCCGAGCCGCCGAGGGTGAGAACCTCGAGCTCAGAGAAGCCAACAACGAACTGGGTGCCAACAACGCTTCTCTCGGAATGGCCAAGAGGAAGCTTGAGGGAGAAATGTCCGCGCTGCAGGCTGATCTCGACGAGATGATCAACGAGTGCAAGGCCTCTGAGGAAAAAGCCAAGAAGGCGATGGTCGATGCTGCTCGTCTGGCCGATGAGCTTCGCGCTGAGCAGGAACACGCTGGCTCCCAGGAGAAGATGCGCAAAGCTCTCGAGATCCAGATGAAGGATCTTCAAGTTCGTCTCGATGAAGCCGAGGCCGCGGCCCTCAAGGGAGGCAAGAAGCTCATCGAGAAGCTTGAACACAAGTGCCGACAGCTCGAATCCGAATTGGAGACCGAGCAACGCCGACACGCCGATGCCGCCAAGAACGCGCGCAAGGGTGAACGCAGGATCAAGGAGCTCCAGTTCCAGGCCGAAGAAGATCGCAAGAACCACGAGCGCATGCAGGAACTCGTCGACAAACTCCAGCAGAAGATCAGCACGTACAAGAGACAAATCGAGGAGGCTGAAGAGATCGCCGCCATGAACCTCGCCAAATATCGCAAAGCTCAACAGGAACTCGAGGACGCCGATGAGCGCGCGAATCTTGCGGAACAGAGCGTCGCTAAGCTCCGAGCCAAGAACCGCTCCTCGGTGAGCATGGCTCGCGAGTAAACTCCTCCTACGCTATCGTCATCAAACGCCTCACGTTACTAATATCGTCTACGCATCCGATCGATCATTGTTGCTGTTCGCATGATATAACAAGAGCAAATATCTTGGCGCCTTTCACCCGCAAGCTTAGAGAACGCTGAGCATCGACCAATGGGAATCTTCCATGCAGCTACGAGCGTGGCTGAGAGCAATGGCCGGAAAGACTGGGAAGGGAATACCACACGCTGCTTTATCTCACTGACATCGAACACGGATCAGCCCATCTTTCGAGAGCCCGCATCTCAAAGCCGGCAATAAATCGCTGCACGGAAGAGCCCTTATTGTGTTCTGGCAAAAACGTTCGATGATCGAGAGAAACATACAAGAAGTGGTAAACTGATGGAGGTTTCGCTTTTGAGTACTCGATAAACTTCGCGAATATTAGCTATGTCATCCTAAATAAATACTCATCATTTGCATAAGTAAAGTTAGACTTTTCTATATTTCGACTCAATTCTGCGCAAGGGCGATCGTCTTTGTCCTTCGGATCGTCTCTCTTCTCCTTGCCAATCGGAGCCTCTGTACTCCACCGAGTACACCCCGATTGTGATTTCCTAATTAATCCAGACAGATACAAGTCCGGTGAGCCCCTCCGAAGACAACTCGGATTACTCCTTCTGTGGGTGGCGTATGCCTTGCCTCTTCGATGTTGAAGATCGAGAGGGTACGACGTCCCATTAAAACTTAGGCTCTTGGAAGCGTACTACGTCAGAGCCGGGATACACCACCGAAATTTCAGGTGTAGAGAAAGGTCGTGCTGATCAATAATCATCACAGAATAATCCAGGAATTCGGGGAGCTCTCGTGTGAATTAGGCTGGTGACAGCCGAGATCCATGCAGTCGAGCTCTTTCAACCGCTGTGTATGCGCCAACCATGTACGGATCCGGAGCTGGAATCGATAATGACAATGATGAGTCAGCGCGCACGCCCCAAGATACGGCCGCAGCTGCTGGACTGAGCTTCAAACCCCAAACAAAGATCAGCATCAACATTGTTTTGAGGGCTCTCCTCCTTCGCGTAGAATTTCTCTGATGTACTCAGTGTAGTACGAAAAAAGACTCGCTTCCCTCGTGTGCAGGTGACGGCATGAGCGGCGGACATGTCTTCCGTCGATGAGGCAGACTTAGAATCAACTCGGAGCGGATAGGTGGATCGACCCGCGGGAGTGGCAGTACAGCGCATTATTTCAGCCAGGACTTCTGTACATTCATTGGGTATATCTGCTATCTGAATTTGCCGAACTCCAATGCAGGTACGTCGTTAGGGAAGAATTCACTCCCTGTCGAACACTCCAACTTGTAGGAATCGAAGATCTCCGAACGCTACCAGGGGTTCGCGTTCGCTCTGACTGAGACCGAGGATCGTCCGCTGAACTGACAGCTCAGCGGGTCGTCGGTGGTCGCTGGTTCTATGAGGAGGATAGCGATTTAATGCCTTCGGCCAGACGTTTCCCCTGGAGAATCTTCCCGTCTCTATAAGAGTTCCTAGATAAAGTGCAAGAGACCTCGAACTTCGCCAAACGAGAGCCATTCAGTGAATTTTCGAGCGGGCTAGAGACATTCTCAGCTGGGTGGCCAGATGATGCTTTCCTCCTATCCATCTCTCAGCGGTGCGATTGAAAATTTGTAGAACGAATTCTCACTGATCGAGTGTTGCGTCCCGGAACTCGGAGCCTAAGTCATCCCGGCGGCTCTCCCTCCTCCTTCGGGCCGACGACTGCCGACGTGTACTTAGGCTTTTTCAAGTCTTAGACTGAATCGAGTGAATTGGTGCTGTAGATAGTGAAGCAGTCGTCATACGATCGTTCGTTCACGATGATGCAAGCCCTCGATACCCAAGTGAGTTCCTTTTGTTTTGAGGCTAAACCACGGCTTGTGTGAATAACATGGGTTCGATCATACGAATTATCGAGGGGGAGGGGTGGATGGTTCGCATGCTTGCACCACGGATCGAGTGTCCGCCGGAGGAGACGCGTGAGATGCACCAAAATCTATCGCTCTGGTGATTTCGTTCCTGAGAGACTGACCCGATCATTTCAGGTGAACCCTATGTCCGGAGAGGAAGTGGACGGTGGGGTGGCGGGTGCTGGGGTCAACCAGAGGCCTACCACGCTGCAATGGGGCGGCCCGAACGGCGTGTCGACCAACATGGGTTCGCCTGGGCCTCTAGGCAGCCTCACACCCTCCCCGGCAACGAGGAGCAAAATCGAGCAGATTAAACAATGGAGTTTATCCACATACAAGTGCACGCGGCAGATACTAGCGGAGAAAATGGGCAAGGTCAGAATCTTCTTGATGCACTGCGAAAACTCGAAAATTCCGGCTATGCTCCACCGCATGTCTAAATGGATGCTCGATATCCCGCAGGGTATTCGGACGGTGGACGGAGAGCTAGAAGCCAACATAGAGTTGCTCCGCGAAACTCATCAGAAGTATCTGAATATTCTCCGACTCGCCAAACTTCTTACAAGTCATTTTTACAACACCGTGGCGACGCAGGCCGCTCTGGGCGAGTGTTTCTCCGACTTGGCCCAGAAGAGTCCGGAACTGCAGCAAGAATTTCTCTACAACGCTGAGACACAGAAGAATCTCTCCAAGAACGGAGAGACGCTGCTCGGTGAGTTCACTAACCTCTTGGCTCCTATGAAGTCCATCCTTCTTGAAATGCCTCACGATTAGTAGGACTCGTCATGAATTTAGAATCCTCTCTCCAGGCGCGTTGAACTTCTTCGTTTCCTCCCTTTCGACTCTTTGTAACAAAACCATCGAAGATACTCTGATAACGATTCGACATTATGAGAACGCTCGGCTCGAGTTCGACGCTTACCGATGCGATCTCGAGGAGCTGTCCGCCCACGGGGGTCCAGCTCAGGCCACGAAGGTATGCGGGTTTCCTGCTCATGCTGGGAATGATGGGTGCAGTCAGTACAGTCGGATGTTTAATTCGATAACTTTCCACGAAATACTCTAATCCCCACATCCGAAACTCTTAGGTTGTGGAGGCAAAAGCGAGTTTCGAGGCGCAGAGAGACAAATATGAACGCCTCCGTGGAGATGTTCAGATCAAGATGAAATTCCTCCATGAAAATAAGGTTTGCCGAAAACAACCGAACTGATTCATATCGCGACGAAATATTCAGAGGTGGCCATTACAGCGATGGATTTGTTTTCAGGTTAAGGTGATGCACAAGCAGTTGCTCCTTCTACACAATGCCGTGTCTGCTTATTTTAGCGGCAATCAGTCATCTTTAGAGGCCACCTTGAAACAATTCAATATCAAGGTCAAGACACCAAATTCGTCCTCTCCAAGTTGGCTTGAGCAATAGATAAGCCCCCTCACACATAAGGATGCATTCGCAAACGATCACTTTGTAAGACGACGGCCAGCGATATAGGCTTCTCGTTATTCTAGTCTCAGTGCTGTCAAGAGTCGTCGGTCCTTCGCGGACCGCATCGAAGCATGTCTTCTCTGAGCTTACTCATCCGGCGATTAAGACCGCAGCTGATCAGTTGTCCTCTGACTCGGCTAGTATTACGCCTTGTGTTTCCAGCTCCTTCTCGGAGGAACGCCTAATTTACAGTCTCCCGTGGAAATATTTCCGGCTCGTTCAAGGCTTAAGGTTCAGTTTGTATGCTCTGATCGCACGGGAGCTCCTTGGCTCAGAGAGGCATTATTCTTTCCATTAGAAATTATTGTGGTATCTTGATTTGAGAAATGTTTTTAATTTATTGAAAGACCCGTCAGAGCTGAGCGTTGAGGCTTCGAATATGCACTACGGGAATATAGAGGGAGTCAAAGATTTATATAAGCTGAAACCCGGTGAAGACGAAGTTGTGATTTATGAGTGGACTGTTAAGCGCCGACAGATTCTACTTCGGTAAATGTTGTCTCGCGACAACTGTTTCCTTGGATCAGATGAGGCAATCCTAAGTCAGCAAGACGCTCTTTAAGTTGCACTTTCGGCAGATCTCGCCATCCAAAGATATCGATGATGTCTCAACCCGTTCGCTTACATTTCGAATCTGTTGGACCACTCGGTGAGCAGGAATCGCTGCGAGGGAACATTTTGGTCGATGATCACATCCGGCAAAACCGGCGACGCTCCGGATACGAGAATTATATAACGAAAAATAAACTAATTTTTATACTTAGAAATTTCGACAAAGTTTTTCGGCGGGTTCCGGGGACACGGAACGGGAATGTTTCTCAGGCGGGGTCCGGATAACGGAAAGGCGACCTGTCATCAATGCGGAGTTCCAGGACTGTCTGCTGGGAATGCCCCTCGCCGTCGATGATCTCCGGACGTCTTCGACGAAATGAGCTCTCGGGGTCGGGGGGTGTTTTGGGAACTCGATACATCAAATGGAGGTATCCCGGGAAGTATTCGATGCGAAAAATCAGAGGCGGAACCAGCCTTGCTTGCCAATGAAGCTGACCTTTCCCATATTCCTCTCACATTCTGAGTCACTCCTCACTGACTGTTTGCAGTCAGATGGCTGTTCCAGAGTTCTAGAGCGACAGACCCTATCCCTACTGTTCATAGCGCTTTCCATATTATCAATGCTTGGGGCGCTCCTCTGCCTCGTCTACATCAGTAATGATTCGTTCTTCCTCCTGCGTCCGAGAACGAGTCTCGGATCTTCAGGAGACTGAGATCGCGTGATTGATTTCTTTTTGAGTTCTCCGGTACGCTGCATCAATCCGGACAGGAATCACGGTGGGAGTCGAGAAAACTCACGCCTCTTAAGTGTCAATGGGAAAGTCGCGCGAAAAATTCAGGGGATATGATGAGAGAGAATCTCAAGATAGGCGAACCTCCTTCGGACTCCGTGATCGGCTCACGGACACCGCTGCTAATATTCAGGAATGCATATCCGGAGGGTCGTTCTTAGTCGTCCCGCGACGCGGAGACGGTGGTAAGAGACGAAAAGGCTCTTCGTGATCCCAGTGAAGTCCGTTCGCCGTCAAGCTTTTCATCGGTCCGAGACATTAACGGCCTACGAACCCTGGATATCAATTGATACTGAGATGTTCGTGATCGATAGAGCAGTCGCCCTGGCGCTCATGGAAAGCGTCCCATGACGTTCGATCGAGAAACGTCAGCCGCCCTGATCACTTTCAACGAAACGAGGGAACGAAGACCGGCACGTATGACTCCGCTCGGTTGCCGCGTACGAGCCGGATGAATTATAGTTCTTTAAATTCAGTCAGTTTTGAATAATTATTCAAAACTGACTGGATTTCTCAAGGAACATGAGGAGCGTCACCAGATAGGGATCCTCCTTCACCTCGAGAGGGGAGAATTGGGCTCCCCGAGGACTCATTGGCTGCATCCAAGAGTGGTGATTAAAGTGTCTATCGTCTATGGGCTACATAAATTGTTAAATACCTCGATCTCATACAAACAGAATATTGAAGAAGATTTCTATGATCTTTCCATGTATCGGATTAATTGGGTACAGAAGTCTATAACTGCAACTCGAGGTTCGAATATTACGGAACATATCCGTGCTCCAGCATGAATACTCCTTGATTGTCATAGACTCTTCGAAGGGTCTCTCCTCCATCGATTCCGTACCCGAAACGCGGGCTGGCCACCGGCCGGAGGGTGTGAGTAAGCGAATACCTCCCCTGTCGGTGAAGACTCGTATAGGCGTCGTACGAGAGCGCCGTTCGCGGGTCGGATTTCTCCGACGAGCGCATCCCTTAATGGCTTTCGAAAAAATTGGTTCAGCTCTCTTATGAATGAGCAAAAAAGCGAAGTGGTCGAGGTTAAATCAGGCCGGTCGAGACCGCTCCGGAAACTTGTCCCGATTCTGAAGCCGGCCGGCAAACCCCAACTCTCGTCGCGGGGTCCGCTTCAATCAACCCCCGGCAAATCACGCCGGGTCGCCGCGAGAGGACACTCCGCTTTTCACTCCCCGGGATCGTCCATGTGTGTTTCACTTCTCGTCAGGGAGAGAGGGAGCACTGGTGTCTACTTGAGTGGGCTCACTGTATCGAAGAGAGTCACGTTTTCCATTAGTCCGTGCACCACCACGAGTCCAACCTGTTAGTTAGCGCTGTGATACATGGACTCAACTCGAGCAGAGCAGCGATAATATGCCGGCCACAACGCAGTGAGTTAACCCTTTAGCCATTTTTGAGTTCATCCGTTCACGATCCGCTTCGCTGCGGGCTCCGGAGAGTCAATCGGAATTTTCGCGACACTAGACTCCGATGGTCCGTCGCTGTTGACAACGGAAGCGGCATTCCATCCATTCCGCGGATATCTTTCCTCGGGCTTTGACGGTGGCGTCGATGCCAGCATCCGTTCGCCTTGCTTCCCTGATTTGGACCCGCCCGCTTCTCTCGAACGGATCAGAAATAGGCTTCCCGCTCTTAAACATCCTCACTCTCCGAGGCACAGGCTCGCGCATAGCTAAACCGAAATTTCACGCTTGCCTACAGTCTAGAACAGACGACCGGACGTCCATGAAAATTTGAGAGACATGCCGTCTAGACCGTTTCCTCCCGCTCATAGGCAGGATTGATGGCAAATTGCCAAAGAGTGCATGAGGAGGCTCGGAGGAATCGCTTCACGATCCCCGGATGTCCAAGTTCGCCGGTTTTTGTCCTCTTTACGGAGCGATAGGCTCCATTCAATTATTCAATTAATCGATCGAGCAAGTAATCACGCTAGAGAAACCTGCTAGGGGGATTTCGGGAGCGGTCGTCCTGTTCATCGCTCCGAACCCTAGATTGGGTTGGGGGAATGATAATCGATCCGAGAAACGTTCAGAAGAATAAACTCTGAGAGCTTTGTTTTACTTCTGCGCTTGGAAGTGGCGACACAATGGCAGAGAAACGCTGAAGCTCGGTGATCCGCCGCGCCGTCACTATCGGTATCCAAGGTTGTTTGCGGAGATAAGAGGGAGAACGTCACTGGGACGATGGAACCATTGCTAGTGATAGCATTCTGACACGATGTCTGGAGTTGGAGTTTCTCCCAACGAGCGGTATAAACATGCAGCAGCTCGGTTTCCTCATTCAAATTACCCTTCCAGGAACATTTCCCAAGAACGCTTCGCGAGTGAAGGCTCCAAGGGACGGAACATACCGTCTAACGCTGAAGATCACGCCAAGATGCAACTCTTCAATGTACAAGGCTTGGTAGTGTCGAAGAATCAGTATACTAGAGAACAGATGAGGAAAGTTCTCTGGTTCAAGCCGTTGGAAAAAGATATCTATGTTGGGTCGTTCCCGCGTGCCGGTGAGCCATCATCATCAATGTCCGATAAATCGATAATTAGAGATTGATCACGGGTTCGCCCATGGCTCGGTGTGAGTGTCTCTTCACCGCCCTATTCCCCTCCGCAGGCGGAAGCTGGGTGCAATATATCATTTGGAGTCTGCTGAAGGGGACAGATAAACCTCTCCCAACACTGAAAGAGATGCGGAGCCTTTATTTCCCATGCATCGAACAGGTGGACCCGGACGTTGTAGATCGCCACTTAACTAAGGTATGCTGCTGGAGTCTTCATATTTTACTGACAGCCGAATTCACAGATTGTGAGCGGACAAGGTGTTTTGCGAATATTGGGCTATGCTTCTTATGCCCGTAACTCCAGTCCGCCTCCAAGAACCGATAATTTTCAGAGAGATGAGGGTCGCTTGATTCATCACCACCTGCCGAAAGCTTTCGTTCCCTCCGAGGTTCAGAAGAACATTTATATACTGAGGAATCCGTACGATGTTTGCGTGTCCTACTATCATCATCTGAAAGTGAAGTAAGCATCCGATACGCTGAGTTTCATTTTCTACGTGCACCGCTCCACCGACGGAGAACTGATTACGTCACAACAGCGGGCAAAAGCTCCTGATTTCCTGCGGCAGATACGCGATACCGGCCTGTTTGTCGAGCCGTAGATGAGGAATCGAGCGCCGAAACTTTGCCTCTATGACCCAGAAAGTGGTCAAGCAACTCGCGATTACGCTTGACGCCATAAAACTCGACAAGATATCTACGACAACGGCTGATCTCGCGATTCCCTATCGCCAGGTGTGCGCCCCTGCTCCGAGATTCGCACAGTAAATTCATTGCAGCAGAATTTTAAATGATGATCTCTCTTCCAGCGGCAAATACGATGCTGCCTTCAGTGACTTCTTCGAATGCTTCATACGGGGCGAGGTGCCGTTCGGGGACTACTTCGATCACATCGCCGGCTGGTATGAAGCCCGGAACGAGCCCACCACGAAAGTTCTCCTCTACGAGGAATTGATGGCGAACCCTGTCAGGGCGATCGTTGAAATTGCCGACTTTATCAAAGTATCAGTCAGTCCCGAAGCAGTCACGGTAAGCTCGACGATCTGGAGCCCTCGATGAGCAGATTTTTCGCCGCGGAGAAAACAAATCATCACCTCTGATTATCTTTACAGGCCATAGCTACTGCAACGAGCTTAGAATCTCTTCGGAGGAACGAAACCGAAACTGTTTCGGTAGAACATTACCGTTACGCGAGGAACGGCGACTGGAAGAGATTGATGACAGACGAACAGAAATCTCGTCTCGATGTCCTCGTCGAACGCTTCCGATTTACAGATATGTACAGAGTTTGGGCCCAGAACGCGTTCATCTAACGCGCATCGGGATTCTCATGTTACATCATCCCTCTCGACTGGGAAAGGAAAAGCATGGCCGGGAGTAGGACGACCGCCCCTCTTCACATTCTCCACGCGGCGCATGTCATGCTTCGATAATTATGCAGACTCATCTCCGAAGTTCAATCCCAAATAAAGCGTTCTCACTCACTGAATGGCGTGCCCTTACACGAAAGAGCGAATTTATCGGCACTCAGGCCGACACGGAAGAACCCATCGTTTGCATGGAAAAAATTCCCTCATTGACCAGAAGTCATTTATTTTGTTCGCTTGAAAACCTTACTACAAGATTCCGTATCGACAGCGTCAAGTCTCACCATTGTAATGATTAAGGAACGAGCAGATCATCGATGGCCCTCAACACGCGAGTTCAACGCTAGGGGAGTGTTCTCGGTCCTCGGAGCTATCCATCCGCCAGTTGTGACGGAAAACACTCGATCGAACATAATCAAAGACTCGATCAGGAAGTCCCCGTTCACACACAATCTTCTTGCCGATCATATATATATATATGGAAAATCATATGAGCCTGACTCCACGACCCGGGGGGCATTTGATCGTTTACGATTCGCGCGTTCGATCAACGCTTGAAATGTAAGTCTCAGATCGGCTATTCGTCGTTCATTTTTCCACAATGTCATGGGGTCTATCCACCAAACCCCGACCCCGAATGAAGATCTTCAGAAACAAGTGAGCGAATGCAAGAGGGCTATCTAAATGAATTTATCTTTAATCCATAAATAACGGAAGACACATAAGCGGAGCTACAATAAATAACTTATTAGAACGCTTCTGGTACAATTCGATCATAATTAGGAAGTATCTGAGCTAGCAAGCTGAATACGTGAGTCCGGCAAGACACCTTTGCCGATATATTTGAAATATCTACAAAACTGCTCACGACCGTGATCGTATTTCTCTTAGTTCGCCTACGTTAGGCTTAGGGAATATGTACACTCCTAGATCTCTAGTTCCTTTTGCTTGAGGGCGGGGGACCGCTCCGTTCGATTCTCAAACGAAAGTATCCTTCTCCATTTCTGGAGCTGGTGCATCTATGGCGTCGCATCGGAGCGAGTGCTCTCTTCAGCACAACAAACTTCCAAACAGACACAGAAACCGCATAGCACAACAAAACAGAATCCCCAGTGACTTCATGTGTACGGTCAGTCGTCATTTTGATGCCAATAATACGGAGATGGGTGGCGATCGCGGGTCCGATTGCGAGGCGATTGAACTTCCTTTCTCGTTGCTGATCCTATCTGATAGAGCATTACGGCCTTTTGAGCGCCTTGATGAGGTACAGTTTGTCCCCTTGTGGACTGGTGTAGATAGGAGATTTCTTATAATGTTCTACCAGATCCGTGAGGGTGCCGAATTTGCGTTGACCTTCGGAAGGAAATGAATTTATGTTTCGCTTACACAAGTACACATATCTCGCGATCATAAGACAGCAGGCGATCATCGAAAGGAGAAACTTCATGAAACTCTAGGGAGAGACCAACCTATCCGGTAGGTGTTGCCCTCGACGTGCACTTTGAAGTGCTTGTTCCTTCCGGGAGCCTTCATGGAAACGGAAAGATCGCCTACATTTGTTTCGGACACCCTGACGAGGAAGTCTCCATCGATTCCGAATTGGTTTAGAAGAGCATCACATTCGTTGCGAGTTATTTGACCATAGTACCACGGTTGTTGGGTATCAGCCACAGCACCGTTCTGAGCATTTGAGCCCTGCTCGAGTTGAACATAGTTTTTGGGTACTAGTCCTGATTGGCCGGTTGAATTGATTGCCAACCACCAGTCAGGGTCTTCTGTGGGTTTATCGATGATGTCGAGGCGTTCACCCTTAGAGAACGAGAGCTCTTCTTCATTTTGAGCCTGGAATGAATAGAGAGCGACGACAACATCGAGGACCGGGGCGCTATTGACGCCCACTTGGCTCACGTTCACGTATCCGTCCTCTTGCCCCGCGATGTTTACGTATGGAGCTTCGAGTGTCGCGCTGTTCGTTTTAGCCGTGCCGACGCTGCCTTGTTTGCCCTCTTCTCCGACGAGGTTCACATAGTTCGAAGGGAACCATCCTAAGCGACCCTGATGTTCCCCTCGCCACCACCCGTCAGACGATTTTTCGAGTACGGCCACTCGCTGACCCTTGACGAGAGATATCTCATCCGACTGTTTAGCGTCGTAATTGTACCTGATCAGAAATCGAAGTCAATTAGATGCCGAATCTCGAGCGGGGACTATTCACTCCAGACTCTCAGAGCCTCGAGATCAAGGTTCATTTGCCGGAGGAATTCTTCCGAGATTCTTTTTCAAGCACTCACCTAACGGTTGCAAAGCCTACAGGATTTGACGCCTCCTCGATACCAATAATATGAGTCCCATGCGCACCGCCATTATTTGCAGTTCCTGGGGGACTGGGCCGGGATCTCGGAGACTTCTCCTTGTCCTTGTCTTTAGCCACGCGTCTTCGAATACTGTCGAACAGAGATGGTTTCTCGCGTTTGACGTAGTTCGAGGGCACGAAGCCTGCCTGTCCCCGAGAGTTCTGCACCTTCCACCTGAGAGAGATATGATTTCTTCACTCGTCTTCCCGGAGCTGGAGACATTCCATTCGGCAGGGTTTCACATCGATGGGACCTTTCCGACATCATCCGAGCTCCCGCAGCATCATCTCCCTCCCGAGATTCAAATTCGGTAACTAGCCATGGGGAGATTTCACGCCGATCATGATCTCCGTGCTGTGGCTGATAAGACAAATGATCCGATCGGAATCTTAGGCTCACCAATGCTTAGAATCGTCCAGAAGCAGCAGCTTGTCTCCTTTCCGAAGGTCCAGTTCTTGGGATCCTTGCGCCGTGTAATCGTATTTTGCGACGACGTATTGTTCTTCTGCTGCAAAACAGGCGTTCATAGGGGCTGAATCTATCTCCCCGATGATTGATCCCTCTCTCCGATTCCTCTCCAATAATAATCACCATAGAGATACCTCTCAATCTACACATGGCTCTCTAACAGAATATTTAATTATCGAGGCGGACCGGGTCATAGGGCGGACACATCGGACATTGGAAGCGACTCGCGAGCTTCCGTGCCGCGGAGAGAAGACAGGGGCCGTGTTATGAGGGATCCATAAAAGCGACGCCTACGTGAGTATTGAGAGAATACAGCTACGAACAGCCCATCGGACGCCCGCCGAATGGGATACGGAAGTAATCAAGACTTCATGGATCTCGCCAGCCCAGAGAAAGAACGCTATTCCAGAGGCCGAGCTCGAAGCGCGATGCGCTGCCGCTATCTACGGCGGAAGCATAAGAAGACGATGAAACCATCACGCTCGGAGCCTCCTCAAAAGCAGAGGTAGTGGAGTTTCAGCGTAATGTTTCCGAAAAGTCCCAAGAGAAAAGAAGTCCGAGTCAGAGAAACCACGGAAAGCAATGGTTTCGCAGCCGCCGGTTGCTCTTACTCTGTGTACATATTTCTCTTTCTCGCGATATAACATTCGCGGGGACCCAGCAGAAGAAGGATCTAAAAGCCCAACCGGATCTCCCAAATCGCATCGGTGGAGCCCGGAGTGCGAAAGCTCCACCGGAACACTCCACACCCTGCGTCCAGCTCGCTCCTATTCACTTCGTCACTCACTCACTCTTCCACTCACCGGTCGACATTTTGGAGCGTTGTCCTTGTCGAGTTTCTCCCGAATCTAATGGGACTGCCCTCGGTGGCTTCTCTGTGCTACAGGCGAAGCATCATCACAAGCAAGTCAAAGCGGACAACCACCGCAATATTAACAGGCAAGCCAACCACGCACAGCAGTCACAGCATTCAAGACACTTCGTTCGGACGACGACGCTGCCAATCGCTCACGTTAGAGCGAGAGGTTGTATTCTGTGTTGTTGTGCTCCTGGATTGTGATTTCTGTCTGGTCTCTCGCCATCTTCTTGGCGAAGGAGGGAACGAGTGTGTCCTGGTGGGGATCGGAGGGCGGAGCAGCAGCATCCTGTACTGGAATCGCGGCGACAGTCCAAAGTTGTTGTCGAGGCTCACTCATTCGGGTCGCTCGGTTCCCAGCTGGAAATCTTCACGACTCTTCCCTGACCGGGGAGGGATCGAAAAGACTCTTCATGAGCCAGACCTAAACTCTTCTCGCTTGGCGAGAATTTATTTTACCCCAAGGTAGGATATTCTACCTTGCGATGAGCGATGAGAAAAACTAGGCGAGCATCGCGGAGAATCCGTTCTCGCAATATAAACGGAGGCAACATCGGAAACTCGGCTCACCGAGAACGAATTAAGTTCCGGAACGAAATTCACGATCATGCCTGATGATGAGGAGAGCGATCGGAGACATGACCGCGTGACATCACCGCGTGATCGCGCCTCCTCGTTGTATTCTGCCGCTCATTTCTAAGACCTGTGGAGCAGATACTGATGGGTACTGAGTCTGAGTGAGCTCAAAAACGTCCAAAATGTGTGATTATCGATGAGGGACCTCCTGGGAGCAGTGAGAAAATAAAATTCCTCACTACCAGGCCTCAAGGATCATTGACGCGTTTGAATGATATCAGACTGCTACGTTGGTATCTCAACAACATGGGCGTTTGAGGACCATACCTGGGAGAGCACTCAGGAAAACCGCCTGTGAGAGCTAAGAGAGCCGTATCGAACTAAGAAATCGGCGCCCTCTCGCGGTTGTGGTCGGAACTATATTGAACAGCTGATGTCGCCGACAGAAAACAGATTTCGAATTCTTTGAGGAAATTATGAGTGAATACAAATTTTACGTTTTCTTCGGTGACGGAATCCCTATCCGGTCGATCGGCATTAGGGACTTGGAATTCCTACGATTCTGTGGTGAGTCATGCTGGGTTCGATCCAAGAGGATTTCAAGCTAGCGGACTTCTCTTCTCTATCACTGTCTCTCTGCATTTATCCCCTTGCGTGGTTGCCCCCCCCCTCTACTTCCAGCCATCGAAGAACCATGGTTGTGCTTCACTCCGTATATGTCCCCGCCCTCTTGTCGAATAGACGCTTGCGCTCAATAAGATCGAGGTCTTCCTACGGTCCCTGAATTCCTCCCGGGAACCTTACGATGAGCTAGTCTGATTGATTTCTGGCAGATGTCCTCCCCGTCCTCGGAGCTCGAAGACCTTCTGCGTGGGCTAAATAGTCGGCAGCTTCCTCTGCCACATCTCCGGAAATCCTTGCAAGCTGTCGCGAAGGCTGTTAAGAAGGACCCATCGCTAATCAAACAACTACAGGATCAAAAAACCATCGAGTCAGTATTGCACTATATCGAGAAGCCAAGAGTTGCTGATCTGGCTCTGAGTGTCTTAGCGAACTGTCTCGTTCATGAGGGCATTCGGACGGATGTATTGGAAACAAGTTGCGTCCTCAGTCTCGGTGAGCAGGATCTAAAACCAATAATCGCAACATGAAGATCCGCGGGGATCTCTGTACAATACCTAATTGGTCTACAGAGCTCGATTCATGGACTTCTCTTGCAGTTCGCATCGTCACGAATATAGTGGACGATCCAATCCGGAACCGAGCATGTCGGGCCTTGGCGAACATCGCCTTGACGCGACGTGGGGCTCAAGCCGTACACCAGGTTAAGGGGTCCATACTGGCTGTCGTCGATTTCCTGAACACTACGAAGTCAAAAGATTCACAAGCAAGTATTCGCAATCGATGCTTTAGATCCCGGATTTTTCCCGGCCCCGAGAACGGGGAACACCTGAGGGGACACCATCTCCTGAGGCTCCGTTGGGGAACGTTGTAACAATTACATTCCCGCCCGACTCTAGGCTACGGCTATGCGTGCGCTCCGCGTACTAGGCGGTACGAGCGCCCACAGAGAATCGATACTGGCAGTCGGCGGTGAGTCTCCCTCTCTACGTCTGATGTTCCTCTCAATTTATTCGCATAGCTTCGCCCTTCGGTACGGCAAAACGCCGCCGATCGCATGTATGGGTTATGCAGGTAGAGCCTGAAGTCAGGTACCGCGCTCGTCGGGAGCTTTTTCAACACGGACGACCCAAGTTCGGTCCGAGATACTCCCTCGGTGAGTCTTGTCCGATCTCGAAATGCTGCTAACTAAGCACCCATCATGATCGACTCCGCAGGCGTCTCGGCTCTCGGAAGATGCCTCCAAACGGTTGCCGAACCTCTTCGAAGACCTTGCGCGGAAGCTCTCCAGCAATTAACGCGGAGCTGCAGTTTAGCGTGCGCCAAACAGGTGAGTCTCCTTTACCTCCCTAATCCTGGAGCTCCGCAGTTACTCTACCGAGAGAGTCCGTCTAGTCGCGGTCTGAGTCGGAGTTACGCTTCCCTTGTCAGGTGAAAGATTCTGGCGCATTCCCGCTATTGGTCGAGATGTCTCCAGCAGTGGAGGGCGCTCTATTCACCATGCTCAATATGGGGCACGTCGATGAAATGCTCGCAGACGTGGGGGGCTCAGGAGTGATTTCGAAGATCGTTCTGTGTCTCAATGATCGGAAACTAGCCCCGCGGAGTAAGTATGATGCAGTCGACCGAATCAAGCTCAAGAGTTCATTCCGGAATCTAGGGACACCTTCGACCAATCATCGGTTTCAGAATTGAATCAGGTTTTCATCACACTCTGTCGATTGTGCAAGGATCCGTATAACCTCATCCGAGTCCGCGATTCTGGGGGGTTGCCGATATTGGTGAATATTCTCCTGGATGCTGAGAGGAAGAAACTATGGGTCTATGCAACCTACACTCTACTACAGTACCAGTGAGTGCCGCTCACGCTCCATTTGAATCATTTGAGCGAGTATAAGGGATCTCTAACATGCCAATTTTTATCGACCATTCGGTCTACAGAGAGCCCGGTGCTCGAATATCCCCTAATTTTCCTCTTCTTATCTTCCCCGAGAAAGGCATGATGATACAGCGTTGGCAGAGCTTGTCAAACTCAACCTCCTGGAGGTCCTCGTGCGATACTTAGATGACTATGCGGTACAGAACTGTCAGGAACATCAACTCGAAGATGTCGAAGAGGAAGGCAATAAGGAAAAAACGACGAATGACGGTGGGTTTACTTTGCCCGGTGAGAACTTCGTTTCTCTTCGCTCGGGCAACGAGCGGAGGTCTTCGTTTCATATTTGCTGATTGGTTATTGAACCACAGGCCAATCGGATCGCTCTAGCTGCGTGTCCAATCAGTCGGGAGAGCATGACGCGCCCTTCAGCCACACGGATACCGACACAGCAGCATCATTGGGGTGAGTGATCCTCTATCGCCTTGCATCGCGTTCAGCGCACATTGCAATGACGATGAGAAGCAAAATATTCAACTCTCGCATTCATGTCACAGGTCCGACCATGAGGCGACGACCGACGAGCCCCTGTCGAAACGCCCGAAGTTGTTCTGTGTGAACAGTCCAAGTTACCTGGAGATTATGCAAGCCAAGAGTCTAGCTTTCAACTATGATATGGGAACCGAGGAATACGGGTCGGGAATCGCTCTCTCCTTACCGAGTGTTCTTCCGGGGCGCTTGTCGCTTAATTTTTCATTGTTCTCTCGCTCAACTGCCATTATCAGGAAGACTTCGCATTTCAGTGATTACACAGGCCTGCCTGGCTATTCCGGAGGTATGTCGCCGCGTTCAGCCCGATCTCCCGTGATGCCCGATTTCGACAACAGGAGCAATACTGGCAGTCCGAGTCAAAGCGGAAGTGAAGGCGCAAGTCCATGCAGAACAGATGACGAAAACGAGGTGGGTGTGTCGGAGACCGCGGAGCTACCATCCCTGTCGATCCTATGAGGCGGCATCTGACGATATGTATACGTGTTACTAGTTTTGGGACTTCGAGGCTCTTGGAGGAACGAGGGCGGCCTCAAGCTCAAAACCATACGGGGAACAGCTTCGATTCAGACTCGGATTTCGCGTCCCGGACCCCCGAATCTCGAGCTCGCGAATTCCTCATTGGAAGCGACAAGCAGTCTCTCCCGGGCCTCCCTTAAGCTGAACGCGATGGGTTCGAGAACATTGTCGAGGCCTCGGGTCGCATGCGGATGTCCCATTGCGGAAGTTAAACATTAGGGGTGTTCATCAGAGACTTGATGTCGGGGACTTTTTCTCGAGATGATCGGCGGGCGCGAAACAGTCTGGGAGGAGTCGAGGCTGTACGAATAATTGCCTTGCGTGGTGTTAAAACCGTCAGAGGAGTCGATCCGGACTCGCTTAGTAACTGTCCTGGCTCACTACTTGATCTGCGAAATGCGCGCTCTATTTTTTCCAACTCTACGAGGGACGAAGTTGATAAAGTCGATCTGGAGGTCCAGCGATGAATGAAATCGGAGCCGTGACGTTATCTTACAGAATCCAGCTTATTCTCCTGTGTACGATAGCAATCACTGTAGCTCATCCACCGAGGATGAAGAGGAGGAGAAAAGCTTCAGCTTTATACATTCCCATCGCAGGTGGGTCAAGTCAAGAAGGATTCTCTCTCAGACACCGAATTCTCTGTACTCAGTCTCGGATTTCTCTCAAATCCGCAGATACAACTCCCAAGTTATTTCTTCCGAAAAGAAGTCAGCGTGGCGATCCGTAGGTTCAAAAAGGACGGCTTCGATCGGAGCCAAGTCAGAAACGGTCGCTCCCAAAGATATTATGCTTGACCACGTACTCAGAATATTCGAGATCTACACCTTCCCCAGGTGTATAGAACTCTTGGCCGAACAGTGCACGGCGGTTTGTGGGGTTCTGCTCCGCTATATTGCGGCGGTTCCCACTTCATTGAGCCGCGCTGAAAAAGTAGTTTTGGTCATCTGTCAACACAACTTGTTCTTCAGATATTTCTTAAGTGAGAATAGTTTATTCGAATGGATGAAGATCCTAGCGAGACCACACGACGAGAACGAATGCTCTCGCTGTTTCTATCTGTCATCGGTAGAGCATCAAATTCTCCGGAAGCTTGCGACTGTCGCCGAGAGTGGTTTCGGCTCTGGAGAGCTGGCCAGAGCCCTCGTGGGCGATTCGACCTCGGACGCTAGCAAAGAACAAACTGCCCTCTCCGTCGGTTTTATCGTGCGCCAACCAAATACTTTGTTCAACTTGCTCTTCCACTGCCGCGCGTTAGATAAGTTGTTCGACATTATCGAGACTCACGCACAAGAGCTTTCTAAACACACGGGTGATTCCTCTAATGAGGACTCCAAAAGCCAATCTACGACGCATAGCGAGCGCTTCAAGACAGCCGTACAATCGCTGAAAGAAATTGGTAGGACTTGCAATTTCCTGCTTGAAGAGGTCAGACAACAGAGTCCGGATATCGTTTGTCGGGACATACGAGAGCAGCTCTCAAACGGGACGGAAGACGGGGTCACTATCGAACTGGACAACGGAATTTCGCTGCTCGCGAGCAAGAAGCTATTGGTGGGTGGCTCTCGACTTCATTTCGATGGATTTCGCCCTTTTCCTGATTCTTTCTGACGGATGGCCAAGACTTCCATTCTCAACCGGCTCACATTTAATTCCAGATTGAAAAATCGGTCTACTTTGAAGCAATGCTGCGATCTGATTGTTTCGTCGAAGGCAGATCAAGTTTCGTGAGACTTCCAGGAGTCGACGAAACTCCGCTCCGGATGGTTCTCCATTGTTTGTCCTGTAAAAAACGATGCTGCGGAAGTGTCCCAGTATTGGAGACAGCGGTAGATGTAAGTTCTTAGATTCCTGATTCGGACGCATTTCGTCGGGTTCGGTAAGCGCATCACAAGAGCCTCATACCTTTTCCAAGTGTTTACAATTGGTCGAGCGACTGATGTTGACCAGTCTCGCCGAGATCATGCTGGACACCGTCATGGCGCTGATGGAGTCACCGAAGGATCTCGTGGTTGTCTACCCGAAGATTGCCGGATTCTTAGGGGTGAAAGCTCTGCGAGAACGCTGCGTGAAACTACTCTTGTCCAGAGGTTTGTCGAGCCTCCCCTATTTTGGTCTAGAATGCTTCGTGTCCGACTTTTTGAGTTTCCTCCCGACGCTTCCTTTGATCGAGCCCCATCGCAGGATGGCCATGTCCATGATCATTTTTTCTATGATAAGATCGCAAAGACTGTATCGATATCGAGTGGAGATCGATGTTTAATACCTTCCTTACAGAATTCAAGTCCGTGGAGTCATCGGTGGACGCTCTGAAAGAAATTCTCAAAACCTCAGTGGCGGGAGATCTCGTGGAAGACATCCGAATCACTATCAAGACCTCGTTATGCCAAATGTCCCAAAAGGTTTCGTGAATAATCTCGGCTTACAGTCGGCATTCGAGAGAAGATTCAAATCCAGATCCCAATGCGTTCCAGTCACTCGACACTTGACTGGCCGGAGTCTGACTCCGCTCTCGGAGTCAGAAAAAACATCTGGCACATCCGATTCTCACGAGACACGAGGAGAATATTGATTATGATACGTGGAGAATCTCTCTCGCTCCTGAATGAGAGAGCGATTGCAAACACCCATGAAATCTGTGAAACTAGGCACCTCGCATGAGATACGACGGTGAAGATGGAGTACTAAAAATTGTAATTGACTCGGCGGTAATAAATAAAGCGTCTGGTAAGGAGCTCGTCGGGAGGGCTTTCGGAGCTCCCGCTCTCAGAAGCGATTGCGGCTTTCTTCCATGAGGTGCCCGCGTCGGAGCGCCAGGGCCTGTATGATACTGTAATATTCCCTTTCGCTCGATGTCTGCCCCATGCTTGCGACAGCATAAGCGCTATCTAATGAGGCAACCGCTTGGAATCAAGGCTGGTTCGCTGTGTGAATATGAAGAGTGATTGTAATTAAGAAATATGAGGATTCATAAAAATAGAGTTCCGAAGGATTAAGCCTGATTACTGCTCAGAAGATTGAGCGAACAGCAGCGAAGTTGACAGTTATTGACATTTTTGTATCCAGGGTCCGAAAAACCGAACGAAGGCTTCCTCTCTGATGTGTCGAACAGGATTTTGCGATTCCTGAATAGTTCGGCCCCTCCGGTTCTGTAGAGGATGCGATCGAATCATAGCCAAGCATCGAGCCTTGATCGCCGCGGCGAATTCTCTTTCGGCTCGTTATCCATGCTCAACAGAACGACAGATAATCCTTTCTTCGACTGACTGAATCACCCCGATCGAAATAAACATTGCCGCAGTATATTCGCAGACAAGGCCTTCAGACGGTACATGTCCAACCATTTCAGAACCAGGAACGATCTCCGTGATTGAATTGATCCAGTACATCCTGTTCATTGCGAGTAGGTCATTACGAAAGACTATCTCCCGATTCGCGTATGGAGAAGGTCCTATTCAAAGGCTCATTAGGAAGGCGCTGGCTCAGTTCCTCGGGCAGCACCACCTCTAGGCTTTGTACTCCACACGCCTCCTTCCCCTCCTCCCTAAGTTCCTCCGCGCGTGCTTAGGACGCGTTGCGATAATGTCAAACGCCATATTCCCCGTAAACTTGCTCGAAAAAACTCTTAAGCATTGCCGAGTCGTGGGGACTAGTTCGGGGTAAGAAAAGTAGCAGAGCTCAAGCTCCGATTATCATTATCCAGTCATGGCCGGAGGAGAGTGTTCCTGGTCCTGTAAAATGCTTCGCTGGATACCGGGGACTGACATGATGGGCCGGAATTGCTTCTCCCGAACACACGAGCTGTGATCAGTGAGCGATTTCGAAGAGCACTGGAATCACTGAGCAGGACTCAGCATAGACACAAGCCAGAGTAGTCCCCTGTTTTCCGATGGACACTCCGCGTGCCGCAGGAAAACTTGTCTGTGTAGAAAAGCGGGGCTCCCGCTGTTCGATGAAATAGCGGCTGCGGCATCTCCGACACCTGCAGATAGAGCCGATTCCCTGGAATATTTGCACTTAGCTGAGCAGACAAATCATCCGCGACGACGGAATCTCTTCTGAAGTGAGCAAGGCTCTGAATTTGAGTCGGAAGAGAAATTTATAGAGGTATATGCGCCGAAGCTATCAGACCATCAATGGATGGGTGGTCAGCCGGCTGGTTAGCTGGCCCGCTTGCCGGGAGCTGTCTCAATCGCCGGAGCCGAGACTCGCGTTAAATATATATAGACGTTGGACATAAATGCCCAACTTTATATTAACGACCCTACATCCGGTGTCGTAGTATGTTGACGGATTTCGCAAGCCCCGCACCGGAATACGAACGGTCTGAATCTCCTTGTGGTGAAACAAGTGAGTCCGCGTCATAGAATGTATCGATACTCCCTGTTTGGGAAGGATTGCTCCTTTTCGAAAGCTCGTCGGACCCCGGAATACTGCTCAACATGAAAGCCGTTTCCAGAGAGTTGCACAACCTGACCGCAGCAAAGTTAGCATTGGATCGAGCATGTCTTCAGTCGCCTCTTCCGCTCGAATAAGTGTTCTTTGTTCGAGCGGTGGATACCACAACTTATCCGTGCATCGAGCAGGCACGCTGCATTGGCCGGCTAATATTTCTGTTGTCCTCAGAGTGTGGATTGGTAGAGATGGTTGATGTCTGTTGGGATCCCACAAGAACGCATGGGTGAAATTCCCGTTTGTGGATCGCAAAAAAAGTCAAACAGGGTGGGCTCTCATGCAGGCTCGTACTTCGCTCAATATAACTCATCCTGACGGGGGTTTACAGAAGAACGCGGGCATCGTGATGAACGCAATTTTCGGCTATTTCCGCAAATCCTCGATTTTTTAGTCCATATGATATACAGAGTATAGTAATCGAGGGGACGGTAACGATTCGTAGGTCCTCGCCCGCATCTGCGCCCCGATATGGACAAAATCTTCCCTCGAATCGGTTAGAAAAGAACCGAAGTCCCCGGGTACTCCGCCAGACCCGTCGAGAGGTCAATGGTCCAGAAGCCAGAGCCGAATCCGGATGCGGAACATTGACGGGGTCTTGGAGAACCGCACAGATCGGTCACAGAGCTTCTACTCCCACGGCTCCTCGGTGCCTCACAAGGACTTGCCCGCACTGCATGAATCGACCCACTGGGAGGGACCCGAATCTGATCACCCCGGGACCCCCAAGTTGGGACCGGACAAGGTTTCCCCATGGGATCCATTGATCGCTTATCACTTCCAGACAGGGGTCTCGAGTCTCAATCCGACTCATCTATCTACTCATTGTCAGTACTATCGAAGGTGTCCATCCGAGCTGTGCAGTGTTTGCTGATAAGGTAAGAATGTCGCCCTCGCCCATTCTCACAGCCTTCCGTTCTCGGACGCATTCACGCATAAGGCCATCACTCTATCTGTTTGTGGAAGATAAATAATCGATGCTCGAACTGAATAATTATCTAGGCGTCCAGGGGAGACTGCCGCTCTATTCATCTGACCGAATATTCCTCGTTGGATGACACGCTCGAATCGGGCGGAGAATTCCCGACGTATCGTAGGCATCTGAGAGCGGGCTCGCTCGCAGTCCCCCGTCCGGACTACTATGGAGCTTCCAGAGATCTATCACAGATAATCAAAGTTGAGCCTCGGCGCAGACTCGTAAACATCTGACTCAGTTTTGTGAAGGAAAAACGCGGTGAATCCCCTGATGATTCTCTCGAGAAATGTCGATTCTACTCATAACTCATCAGCAGACTCCCCAGAACGAGCGCCCACAAGATGCGGTCTTCATATAAATGGATGAGGAAGCGAGCAACGCAACAAGCCAGGTTCTGAGGGATGAAAGATCAGATTTCGGGGTCGTACACAAAATCATCTGTCTAGGATCGAATCCGTTCCATTCAACGCTCGGAGGACGCCTCTACTCATGATGTTCACTCGACCATTACCATTATCAATCATTTGACCCCGGCCAAATGAATTGACCCCAGACCCATATTCAACGTAGGAGATATAATAGAAGATTCGATAGAACTCCTACTTCGGCTTCGCGGCTTATACTTACATCGATATTGGGAATAGGTAGTCAGTGAGGCTCCACCGGAAAGATCACCGAAGATTTAAATCTGCGGAACTGCAGCGCCTCAGATAGACCGAACGCAAGTAGCTCGATCTTCACTGGATGAGCCGACACTGAACGATGAGAACAATTCAAAAAGGCTCAATTCAAGGGAGAACTGGTGGAAACGGATCGTCAGAAGAGGAGCTCGTTATATTGAACATAGCGTAACGAGCCTCGCGAATCTACAGAGCAACTCGTTCTCTGTTTTGATTGACGAGACGGCTCTACGCTCGATTCCGGAAACGGTATTCTATCAATGCCTCCACAAGTCGAAGGGCAAACGACAGTCTCACATGACATTCTCCTCATAACCGGGCGCCGTCCGATATCCGAGCGTCTTCCTCTCCACCAGCTTATCCGAGAATGGCCTGGGGATAGCCGGAATGCTACTGTATACCGGTCATCCTCTCACCTCGAAACGCTCCGTCTCGTCTCGAATTTTGCTAGATTCCGTACTCTCTAGCAGAGCGTTGCGCGGCGCTAGAGTCCCGTATTCTAATCCGTGTTAATTCGTAGACAGCTCGCCATTCTTCCCGGAACGGCATATCGGATGCATGGAGAGCCGGTGTCTCCGGGCGAATCTTCTCTAGATGTTGATGCCCTTATTATAGCATCAGGGATGATTAGGTACGATCACGGATCGGACCGGCCCTTCTCGAATAGAAGTAGACGCTAGCTCCCTTTTCATAGCGGATATGCTTTATTGGCCGGGCACTTTGCGGCAAGCGTAGGTGAGCGCTGTACATGGAAACCGATTAGGGGGATCCAGTCGTGGGCGAGAAACAAGCACAGTCAGTGCGACTACGATCTACATCACAATCAGTCCAGTTGTGGGGTAATCGGATTAAGCCAGCGGGGGAGTCCGGTAGAATCATATGATGAAGCGGAAAGCGGAGAAGGCTTCGGAAATGGGAGCATTATTCCGGTTCTAGAGCAAGTTTCCTCAGTTCTTGTTCTAAAGAGGCGCCTTTATTGAGACCGTGGGTTCCCGCGATGGAGGACAATTATTACCCAACAGTTTCGCGATTTCGAGCGAAATGTCGGCTGCAAAGCAATAAAGAAGGAAGCGTAGCGCCGATTGAGGTCCGACGGAGAGGGCTATGCTACCTCTCACAGGATGCATGTCATCCTTGGAAGGCGGTTCCGTGATATTCGTGGGACTTCTGCCTCCATTCATTATTGGTAAGCGCATCATGAATCTCAATCTTACCTCTGAACGTCGCTGGCGTCGAGGAGTCCGCCGGGAATCAATTCCATGCTTCTTCGATTCTATCTAGTTCTAGTGCGATACGCGTTGGGATCGAATCTCGACTGCGTTGCGCAAGCTTTCTCCTCTTTTGAAACTCCTCGAGCGATTATCGCTCCGGTCTTCATGCCTGGCTCCTTGGGAGATAGCTAGGCGGAATCAAATCTTCTATGCGGAGGCACATGAAGTGCAAAACTCTCGTTTGATGAGAAGCGTGTTTTTGGATTTCAATCTTCATTTGAGAATTATACGAATCGCAAGAAGAGTCCCTCTACGGAGGTCTACAGCAGGCTCACGGTGAAGATCTCGGGGTTTTCGGATCCTAGCTCAACCGAAGCTCGACGAGATAGGACACATCAGCGAAGTGCAAATTCTCTCCGTGAGGAGAGCACTTTTTCAGAGATTTATTGCACCGAGGCCACGATTTACCTTATATTCCTCTCATCAGCCGGAAAATCGGAATTGGTTTCCAACCGGAAAATTTCGGGGAAAATTATGAAACGCCTGCGCGGGCTATGCTATTGCGAATTGTGAGTCGATCTATGAGGATCGCCCACGTCGGAGGTTCCACACCAGGGCTGCCTCGCTTCAATCACGCTCGAAGGTGTCGAACTCTGCCTGTCGATGGATGGGGCGTCGGCAGAAACACCTCCGGTCCTAAGTAGCCCCTCAGTCCTCCCGGAAAACCCATGGACTTAGCATCTGAGGGAATCGTTGAGAATTCCCCCCATTCCGGGTCGTATATATAAATCAGTAGCTCTCGTAGGGCGTGACAAATCGGCTCAGTGAATCGATGGAAATCGGCAATCTTTCCTAAGGCTCGGTGGGGAGGGGACGCTGCCGTGATCCAAAGCCACGACTCCCTATTATGCACTTTTGATGACATGATGCACACGAGGTCGGCAGAACTAGGCCCCTAGTGAACTTTCATATGACTTTTGAGGTTCGACTTCCGAGCGAATTTTTTCTCACAGTCTGTGCATTCGAAAGGCTTTACGTCGGTGTGAACGATCATGTGTTTCGTAAGATTGCTGAGGAATCTCGTAGCGTATGGGCACTGATCACAACAGTATGGCTTCGGATCTGAACTGTGGATTGTCTGATGAATTTGAAGTACACGACGCGTGGGAGCTGTGGTGCCGCACGCTTCACATGTGAAGGGCCGCTCTTTATCGTGAACGAGTTGCTCGTGCTGTCGAATGATGCCGCGAGACCGGGCCGTATATTCACACCTCGAGCATGGCCAGGGTTTGCTGTTTTTGTGGACCTACGGGTAAGAAAACTCGCGATCACTGCTTGGCGAACAGAGGTTAGATATTTTTGCGCTCATACGAATTCCGGCCGTACGTCTAGAACGCAGTCGAGAGCCCGAGACCGGTTTCCTGTGAATCGCGTAATTCCCGGCTCTTCCGAACGAGCACATGCTCAGGCCGCGTCCATTTCTTCCGAGGGTAACAGTTGGAAAGTATCCTTGCACTCACTTGTACGCAGTGGAGGCCCATCGCCTTGGCACTGGGCGTTGCGAATGCGCAAGAGGCGCAAACGAAGAGGGGGGTCTCTGGATTGAAGCTGTGGATGAGCTTCTGGTGCCTCCGGAGATGCTGAGGGAGGCGACACGAATACGAGCACAGGTCACACGTCAAATTCTTCTCTCCGTGTATTTTCATGTGCCGACGAAGGTTCTGAATGTAGTTGCAGCAGAATCCGCAACGTTCACACTGGTATATGTTATCCATGCGGTGCACAGAATGGTTTCTCACGCTTGATCGCCTCCTTGCGCCTCGCGGAAGTATCAGTGACGGACCGTCTTCAGGGGTGAAACTCGGTCCTTGAGAGGAGGAAAGCGGCGAGACGTTTTCGCAGCAGGACACCGGCGAGATTTGGAGTAGACCGCCTCGTTCCGTCGCGGATTAAATAAAGGCGCCCTCTTTGACTGCATAGATTACTTGCTTTCGGCGTGCTTCCCTTTCCTCTTTGCAAAGGCGGAGCTCTGCATCCTTGTATGCACGCACGCCTTCGAGCAGACTGATGTTGCTTGCGCTATAGGTAGAAAACGTCATTTGGGTCTCGATGAGCGATTATTTCGGGGCTGAAAAACGGTCACGTAAGGGGGCTCCGAAAAATTCCGCCGATTGGGACCAGGGGGAGCGTTCCGCGGGTCCGAGAGTGTGGGGCCCCGTTCCTCCGGATTCGCTTCCGGAGTCGACATTAAAAAAGTTTGTCGCGCGTCCCTACAAAGTTGCATTGCGGGCGGCTCGAGGAATGTGTCATCTCGAAGTTCTTTGCCCATCCTCTTGCCAGGTCTGTCAACTTCAGGAGTAGTTTGTGGAGCATGTCGGGGTTCTCGTGGAGAGATTGAATCAAGCAAGACGAAACATCTCGGACGTATCGCCCGGGCTCCCTGGAGCTCGAATCCCCCGAGAAGAAACGAAAAAGCTGAGTCTTCCATATCGCAGCCGATCGAGCCAGGGTAGAGATTCGATTTGCAGAGCGGAGGAGTTCAAACACTCAGAGGCGTCAGACATTTGCGTCTGGGGAAATCTGTGTGTCGCGGCGAGTAATTTCGTTCAAAACAGTCGAGCAGGAAATTCAAGACGGAGTGCAACCGCTCACAAGTCGAGGATTTTCGTTGTTTGTCGCCTTGATTGATGAGGTAGCAAGACACGCTTGGGTGCGCAATGCGAATCACGCGCGGAAAGTATATTCCTGTTCCCGGCACCGCCAGCGAAAAAATGACGTTTCGTATTATGATCTCCTCGGGGAAGAAACCTTGGGACCGAAGATCCTCCTAGCGGGGAGAATTCACTCGTGTGAGTGAACCTCTCTCGCGAAAGGATCCGTTGCAGCTTTGTTGACGGCTCCTAGTGTGTCAGGTTTCGGTTGTAATTACACTTGCGGTCACCCTTGTTCCACGTCTGGGGGGGAGGGGTCGGTCGGACGGACGGAATGAAGATCTGTTCCGCGCGCGGTTCCTCATGCGCGGAACTCTTCACGCGCGAAACCTTGCGGTATCGAGAGAGCTCGACTTCTGGTCGGAACGACTCGCAGGACTGGGGAACTCATGCGACGAGATTTTGTCTTCTCTGTCTCCTGCATTTCTCCCCCAGAGGGCTCGACGTTTCGGACGCCAGGGACGCACTTGCTCAAATTATCGCAATCACGCCGCTGTGTCGGCAGCGGAAGGGAGATTTACTTGAGCTCTACTCGGGGAATCCCAAGGCATTCGCGCGCTTCTCCGCTTTAGAACAATTTTCAGACTGGGTGTGCGCTTTCTGTCAGCTCACGTTCACCATCATTTACCATTTCAACGGTGAGACGGAGTGAAGCACTTCGTTTCCGATTTCTAGATCCAGCTCGAAGATCATCGGGTCATTGGCATGGGCGCTCAGATGCGGCGGGATTCGAATTCAGGATCTTCCGAATGGAACCAGCCCATGGAAAAGATACGAACGCTCTCGAGTACACTGACTCAGCCGATTAGCTCTCTCGATAATTGGCGAGTTCTGATGAGCCCGGATCTCCGAGCCGAAGGATTAATCGTTAATGATTGCCGGACGCTCGACTCGGATGCGTGTTCGGTGGTATCTGACCGGAACGGAGTGTTTCCCGAAAATCCAATGCTCTTGTATCTGCAGAGGAAGTTCGGAGTTTCCCGCAACTCGCAGGGGCATCCGAGATTCAAGAGCATCGGAGTCGACTCCGAGGCGGCAGAGCCTATATAGGAATTTTCTATATCCCTGTCACGCAAAGACGGCTGACGAGATTCGGATCGGAAAGTTGCCTCTGAAAGAATCGATTTAGAGTCCAGCGAGCGTGCGGGCAACGTCTGTCACTGCGGGAGAAGGCCAAGCTCGACGTCGATTCGTGCGGCTTTTCCGCACGATGGGCCTCAGGATCCGACGTTGCAATATATTACCGGGTACGCGAACGGATCATTTGGCGTAGACCCTCTTTCTAGACAAAGTATCCTCAAACTGATTGGTGAACAACCTTCGAGCGGCTCAGGCCATTTTCTTGCTGTAGGCTCACGACATCCTCATCGGGAGGCGGATGGGGTTGGCGGACTCCTGGAAGCCCTCTGTTCGGAATCGTTGGGAGCTGGGGCGCTGATAGCGGCGAAGACTAAGCCGACAGCGAATATTGACGTCTCCGTGATGATTCAGCAAAAGCTAGTTTTGCGCAATACAAGCGACTTTTCGCGACGCTCGCGCTCAGTTTATCTCTGTGCCTGTGTTCGGACAGTGATGACATCACTTGCGAGATGTGAGAGACTCTGAGAGATTCGTATCGAGTGGGACAGAACGCCACCCTCGTTCACATGATATTATGTATACTCATGATGGGTAATTCGGCATGGGACATGATTGAGAAACATGCAGGACTGTTCTCCATCATTTCGCCCATGCTGAGCTCCCGGAGTCGCTGCGACGAAGCAGGTCAAATGGGGGATAATTGCATTGTGTTGGCGGTCCAGGTGTTGTCATTTTCCTGCCACGCGGCGGGACGACAAGGGAGACATGACGCTCGCGAGGAGCGTTCCTAATATATCTCGGGAATTCCTGCATCCAGAAAAGCAATCGCTTTCTCCGAGCCCATGTAAATTTTATCGACGGCCCACGGTCTGATTCGATGTTCGCTTGCAGAGCCCGCCAGGAGGTGCCACCCGACACGCGCAACCGTGACTACTCCTACCAGCGATGCGTTGTGATGATAAGATGATACTTGCTAACGAATATGCACCGCGGAAGTTTTAATGAAGTACCGACTAGGTATTTTTCGAACTTTCATGACGTTGATTTCGGTAATGATCGACATAATCGTCAAGGCTTTCTCACAATGACCTCATCCGAGATCTCGATGAGCACGAGAGGGGAGGGGTTTCGTCGTATTCCAAGTTTCCGCTAAGTAGTGGCTATTCAAGGCTATGCCGTAGGTGGCGGTTCGGAGCTTCGAATCGATCGCGATTCTCCTTGATACCGAGCCGCTCTCCTTGAGAACGAAAAGACTCGCACCACTCCTCGATCGAAGTTTCCCGCGGACGCGGGCTGGTAGCGAGATTTCCAACTAGAGACACGGTGTATATGTAGGTATATATTTGAATGTAAATATAAGATAACCCGTCTCAGCCGAATGCGCGGATCGGGTCGCGAACCTTGTTTTCCAGTTGAGCTTTCTACTTCTCGGCTTAGACCTCACACCTTCCTAAGGAGCGTCAGCGCGTTCTCAAGCTCGAAGAAGCATATGTAATACATCATATGTACATAGCTGCTGACCACTGACACGGCGTAGACCCGTCGGGCTTTTCGAGTCCCGTGTTCCTTATGAAGCTGGGCGCCTCTGCAAAATATACAGAGCTACACGAATTACAGTCTGATGGGTTCAGGTCATCATCCCCATTGTTAGCGAGAAATCACTATCGGCGTCCCCATACTGAGCATGGATGGGTGTCGAGCTCCTCAGAGGCTTCACGAATTAACTGAATGTAAAACGGCTGTACGTATCTAACTGACTCATTGACGACAGCGCGCTTGGCTGAGGCCGATGTGTACGAGTCTCCTTGATGTGAACTCATGGTAAGTCTGTTTCGGAGCCGCCTCTGCCAACGATAGCGACGAGTAGCACTTGAGCGAGCAAATGTTTATTCCTCACAATTAGCATAAAATGGAGACAAACTTCAAACGAGCGCGTCGAACTTCTCAATCTCCGAGGGGAAGTTCGAACGGTCTCGCCTGCACGTTTGGTCCATTCTTTCCCGAAAGAGCTCCGAACATCTCGGGGTGCCTCACATATTTCCACCGCAGCCCATGGCTTTTTTCAAAGAGACTCTGACCGTGACTCTTTTTTTCCCGACGAGCATCGATGCCCTCGTCCCTGTCGGTGGAATCCGAAGGGTGAATAGCGGGTTTTGCCTTCGACTGAACCAGACGTATCAATATCGGGGGCAGCACAGTCAGGCCATTGGAGGCTCCACGGAACGTCCATCGAATAGGTTCTCTGCCCTGAAACGATTCGATTTGCCTCCCCAAAAAAAGCGAGAGGTGAGATGGGCTCCCGAGACATCGGATCTCAGAGCGAGAATTTGTGATTCTTGCACTGAATCAGCGCTCGAGAGAGCAGCAGTCAGCATTCTGATTGAGACATGCCCGCACCCCTGCGGGGAAAATAAGAAATCCTAGGAAGAGTGACTCCTATCTATTCGTGAGCAAGCCGCGGAAACTAGCCACAAACCCACTTGGGTTCAGCTCCCAGGGCTCAAAGATCTCTCTGATTCGTCCCGGGAGGCTCGGACGATCTAGTACAGATTCATGACGAGCATCGCGAAAAAAGTCAGCGTCGGGCTCGACAACTCAGTTTGCGACACTTGTGATTCTGGACGAAGTTCAAAAACTATTACGTCAGGAATGCTCACTCGATCATCGATTTCTCCTAAAAGCTTGTCCCGATATCGAAGACACCGGGAGAGCCATCGCGGAAGCTACGCGTGGTGGAATGGAACCATCGACGTTCTCTTTCTTTTCGTCGCGAAAACGCTCCACCAAACGCGACCTTTTCTTAGCAAAAAAGGCAAGAGATAGCAGAATGAAGACACGTTCGAGCTGCGAGTCTTCAGGTAGAGACGACAGGCGTGCTTCGATACAAACAATATCTGCATACATTAAGGATATATTTGCCGCATGACTGGCAGAAAGCAGATAATTATACAGAGATCCGAGAAATGTGCTCAGCGGCCTACAAAGACTTGCTGCGATTTCTTACCTCCCGACGACGAGCGGCTTTTTCAAACCTCTTTTCCGCACCGCTTCTCCGAACCTTCGACTCGTCGCTACAGATAACGAGAGGCATCCCCCTCCCCCTAAGAAGCCTCGCTCGGTGATCTCAGAATGTCATCCGCATGCTTGCACCTATTGAGGAGGAGCGGACCGAAACCGCTTTCCAGATTCCTGATATTGTACAAGTTTCGTATGAAATCACCACGCGTTCCGCGATGTAATGGGTGGGTCGTTTGGACGCGATCACAGCACCGACGAAAATGACATACATAGGTGTGCGGGTCAATGAGAATGTCTCATTTATTTTCACTTCGAGATTTGGATATGGTTATTCTTGAGATTATGTTCAACATGTCGTGACTCGTGACACTGTTACCTAGAAATAAACAAAACAACACTTTCGCTCGCGCCGAATATTTCGAGCATAGAGGTAAATAACAGAATATCTTTTGTTATTCCCATTGTCGGAAGCTCTGGATATGAACACCAGGAATGCTCCAGCGCGACATCGAGACGACCGTGCGCGGCCGGAGTCAATTGATAAGTTATACATATGAGCCAACGATCGTTCGGGCTTTTTGAATCCGATTGTGATTTCGCCCCCCCCCCCTCCCACCTCGCGTCAGTTCCTGCGGAGGTCGATCGATGGTTTTCCCCTTGGTCTGCATAGCGATAACAGTAAGAACAACATTAAATGCAACGACAACAGGGACGAAAAGTCAGAATGCGTGTACACTAATTCATCGGGCATGCCCCGACTCTCTGCAATAGGGAAATGCAAATCCGAAGTTACACCGAAGTGGAGGGCTGGAGTAATGACAAGATTAATAAATAATTCGAGCTATTTACAAGTGCATTTGATCCGTTGCCCCGATCCTCTCTTTCATTCATTTGCTGGATAATAACAATTTCTCACTCATTCTCACGCTCGATGACTGCTGCATTTACGCTTCGCTCGTGATGTTCTCTCTTTCTCTGGACTTGATCGGGGGCTGAGGCTCGGCTCGCTGAGCTTGTCGGCATAGAATCCGCGTCTCGATTCTAGCCTACATACCCATTGAGCAGTAAATGACCGGTGCGTTGTGTTGGTGACGATGCCAGAAAGTTCGTTATAGAATCCGATCTTCTTGTCGGCGATGTCGAAAGTAAACTATTAATCGAGTCCGGTCTCATCGGGGGCGTCGACGAAAAGTAACCTGAAACACTCTCACGGGGTGTTGGAGACTGTCTCGGTGATATCGAGCTCGCGCCGTCACTGAAACGTCTCTCCAGATGGTCAACGCTGAGGCCGCTTTCAGGCAAACTTCTCTCGTCGTCCGGCCGGATCCCATCTTCAATCAGATTGACCAGGTCCTTGTACCCTAGAATCGTGGCGATCTCTTTCGGAGTGTGCCCGTAGACATCTGTGGCGTCGCTGTAGAAACCGTGATCCAGCAGATAGCGCAGCACATCCACCTGACAGTTTTCGCAAGCAGCATGCGAGGGACTACGACCGGCTGCGTCGCGGTCCGCTAAATTCGCACCGGCCCTCTTGTAGCTCTCTAGACGCCGGAGATCGCCTTTACGTGCCGCCGAATTCATGGCTTCAGCCAGTGTTTCCGGAGGCAAAGACAAGTGTGATCCGCCACGGATAAGCAGATCAATGACATCATGGTGATCCCAATCGATGGCAACCAGCAGCGGAGTTTTACGATCGCGATCTCTCATGTGGACTGATGCACCCTGTTTTAAGAGGTATTCGACCATGGCTACGTTTCCCTCAGAGGCCGCGATGTGAAGAGGCGTTCGGTAATCGTAGTCGCAAGCCGAAAGGTAGGCTCCCTATCGAGTGATAAAGGAAATCTTTAGATGATGCCGTGTTCCCGGTGAATAGCAGAGATCGCATCGCTATGCTGAGTGGGGAACGACATGGCAGACAAGAGAGGCTCGACTACTTACGAATTGCCTCATGACTTCAAGTCTTTCGCAGTCTCCCTTGGCAGCGACATTACAGAGTATTGAAGGGACAAGCGTTGTTTTCAAAGCTTCCAATTCTTCCGTGGATGAGATGTTCATGGTCTTAGCGATCGCCGTGATCAGATCGAGGTCTTTCAACGCCGTCTCTTTGACCACAGTCAACTCTCCTCGTAGGCTAGTTTGCATCATCTCTTTCTTGGTTGCGAGGGACCATTCTTTCTTGGACAATATGTACGAAAGTTTCGCCAACGCTGCTTCAGGCGTCATGTCGGAACCTGGAATCGAGTTGAATCGTGTCTTTCATGGTGTCAGCTTATTCATGTTCAATAATGTTGTTGCCATCATCCAGTCGATTCTCCGAATCGGCAAGGCTTGAATAGATATCGTTGATACCGTGAAAGGCATGCTCGTGGTAGCGTTTTCTAGCTCACCTGGAATCACGCCAGCCTCCACGAGAGCGTTTCCCGTTTCATAGACGCCCTCGACGCGACCGTTGGGGCATTGCGAACAATTGACGATGATGATTCCGCGGAGGGTTGCTCTCCGGATTTCATCCAGTAAGTCTTTCCTCGACGTCGGGCCGTTGCCGGCTCCATAAGTCTGCAGAATTACGCCCTCGATGGGTGGCGTAAGGAAAGCTCTGACCTGGAAATGAAAAGTATCATAGATTCATGAGCTCTGATTCGACTCGTTCGTTACTGCAAGTATAAGTCGCTCTCTGGTTTCTTCTTGGAGCTACCAGGGTCACTGCTCAACGGCGCGCTCCTGCCTCCCCGCTCCATGCCCGAGTCCACGCTCAGATACAACGTGGACTACACTAAGGCGATCGTTTGGATGGCCCGCGAAGAAACTCCCAGTTGAGCGTGACCCACATCGCTCGAGTTGCGCAACTTTGCCTCCTCCATCCCGGACCTCAGAGGCCTTGTCATCCGGACAATCTTTGTACTTATCTTCCAATCGGAAGAATATTCCGTAATCTCCAAGGTTTTTCCATCGCAAGTGAAAACTGTGTCAAGTGAGGCATTCCCATTGAATGGAATAGTGCTAACACGCAGTTCTGTGTGACCCCGATTTGTTTTGTAGTAATCTTCCCCCTCAGGCGAACACGTGAGGGCAAATGTGACGATAGACTCTCGAGATGCGGACAGGTTGCAGCCGGTTAGGCGGCATGGACAAAAGTATTTTCTGGTGCCTGAGAACTAGTTCCCGGCGGTTTCTAGCAATAAGAGTGGGAATATTGCTTTTTGCACGAGTTCAACGATCCCTCAGCCTGGAGAGAATCTATGTTCCAAACGCGCGCTTCCGATTCCGATAGAAATGGTCATACAGCCCAGATCAGAGATTTCCCGAAGAACTCACCACTTCAACAGTGATGCTGGGGAAGAGTCGGAGCAAACCGACATTCCGGCTCAGCATCGAGTGAACTCTGAACTTGTCGATACTGGCCGGGACGACCACGGCTTTCCAGTCGACATTGATTTTGATTCCTGGAAAAGACACGTTTCGAGCTGTAATTTCTGCAATCAGCTGTATCTGGATCGGAGGTTGCGTCCTCTGTTCATGAATTGCTTGCTAAATCGACCCAGAAGAGACTCTCACCGATCGTCGCCAGAGGAGGCAAGTTGGGACTGCTGAAAGCGTCCATGTTCGAAGCAGAATGTTTCGTGGTGCGGTTCCCTCTGAACAATTTGTTGTTGAAGAGGAGAGTCACTTCGGGAATGATGTAGTTCCCCGCGATGATCAGAGCGTTCAGTAGGTTCTCTCGACCGTCGCTTCGGGGCTCGAACAGGGGTATCTGGGAGCCGGTGATGATCACAGACTTTCCCAAATTTTCCAGCATGAAACTGAGAGCGGACGCCGTGTACGACATGGTATCTGCCAGAGAAAATCAGGTTTTGGATTTTGGCAGCGTTCTCGATGATGCGCGCCACGCGGGCTAGGTTATCCGCGCGTGGAATCCGCTCGAGTCACCAATGACGATAAGGACTCCCGAACGCTCACTCACCTGTCCCATGCAGAATGACAAAACCGTCGAAGTTCATGTAGAAATGTTGAACGTCCAAGGATATGCGGATCCAGTCGTCCATTGTCATGTTGGACGAGTCCAACAGGGGCTGGTATTCGTACACTGTGTACACTACACGGAAGTTGTCACCCGTATCCGGAAGCACAAGAGGCGGGTTATCGCAGTTGGGAAACATTTTCGCAGTGTACTCAGTGTCGTGCAGCTGTGGGTAGGTCCGAAGTTTTTTCTCCATCATCTTCGGTTCGGGAGCCAGGACTCCATTTTTGTTCTTTATCATTCCGATCGTTCCTCCGGAGTACAGGACGAGAACTTTGCTCTCCTTCTGGTCTCCCAGATTCCGCGTGGCCCAGAGATCGTCATCGTTGAGGATGAGCTTCTTGGTGATATACGAGGTGTCTAGCGACGTTTTATGCTGAGGCAGAGTGTTAGCCATAGCGCGTTCGAGATGAGGATTCGAACGGTACCTGTACAAAACAAGATCACGAGGGAGCCGCTCACGCGGGGTCAAAAACTTGATGGGCTGGTCGATCTGTCGTCGGTTAACTCTAAACGACGAGCTAAATGGTGTCAGTTATTATTTAGCACTGAATTGTTGTGAGCACTGGGACGATTGTTGATATTGTTCACGGCAGCAGCTGAGCACAACTTATTCGAATAGCACGACGACGGAATATCGGCACTTGCAATGATCATAATAACAAAACTGCAACGCGAAGCTCGTGACGAAAGCTTAGAACTCGTCTCGGATATTTCGGAAGTGGCGAATGTTGTCAGTTGACTGTGAGAGGGCTCACTTTCCAGCGCTCACTTCACTTTTCTGTTCCGAACAAGTTCAATGAGTGAATTCCTAGGAGAAGAGTTGCTAGCTTTAAGTATTCGTCGACCGGAGAGAAAGAGATACAACAAGTGGAAAGGGTATCTCCCAACGGTATCACTACGGCCGACCGTTCATGAACGGAGGCTGATGCAACCCTACGCGAGTTCGTTACCTCATGAGTTTCCGATTCAAGACGCTCCAATCGGAGTATTCAATTCTAAGAGAACCCGGAAGTCATTGTCTGACTGACGACTCACCAGCTCCCCCACATTAACGGTCGGATTATGAGAGCGCTCAGGGGACAGTCGCTCCAGCCACTGACCGTGTTCAATTCTATCTCAAGATCGAGAGGGCGGTACACTTATCTTCGAGTGGTCGATTTCAATGACTAGCTACTCGAGAGGACAGAAGAATTCGAGCTCATAGGCTAACTGCCGCCGACCTTCTTCTTGTTGTCGTGGAGCGTTCGACAGCAGCGCCGGGAAAGCCCGTGACGTCGGCAGAGCGGTCTCCCATCGCCAAAGACCACCCTGAAGCCGATTTCCTTGGAATTCTGCGATGAGAGTGAAAATAAAAGTGAACACTCTGTCTCGCTCACTCTTTTCGCCGGTATGCGCGCGGACTTCGATAGTTCTCAGTATAGAGCTGATCATGCGAATGCGTTGAGCTCTAAATGAAGTGACGGTACATGAAGTGATCGGGGAAAATCTTCGAACATACTATGTAGATGAATATCGTCCCATCATTCGCGGTGCCTCGAAGCAAGTATTATGCTCTGGTTCTCCGTATAGACGGAGCCCTTCCATTGAATTGACTCCTGGGAGCTACTGTCCGCCATGCTCCTCCGGCAATGAATCACATCATCGATGGGTACTCATAGTAGCGGCGCGGCGGCTGAAAGCCGCAGGGTCTCGAGCGTCGCTTGTAGAGACTCGGAGTACAACCACTACGGTCTTGCTAATAATTTCGTCAGCTCGAAACAGCGATAGCGAGCAGCTAGGAAGACTATCCGTAAATCTTGTCACAACGAGATAGTCACACATGAAGGTATCTAGTATCTAGATGTCGTTCTTCTTGCAATGGCATCATGCTATATCATGCATGAGCACTCGTGCTCGATCCGCGTCGGATGGCCATCATGGATTCCGTCAGGATGGTTTCGAATCTCTGCGCCTTGGAATGCCGAGCTGGAGAACTCGGGAAACGCGCTCGAAACAGCTAGCTATCGGGCAGCTCCAGTTTCGAGCCGTCTCCTGCGCGTCATCCCCTAGGGAAGGCACGAAGAGCGCACACCCGATCCATCGGCATTCCGTGTTCGTCACTTGTTCCGAATCTCTGCGGTCGTTAACTCCTGCTACAATAATGAATGAGAAATGAACATTCCCGCTCCGGCAGGCCAGTTCAGTCTGATTTTGATGTACTAGTAAACATTCGAACACGAGTTCCTGAGCTGACCGATAGACCAGAATGGATGAGACGACTCTACGCCAGTTCCGTCGCTGCCCGTCCTACGTCAGAAATTGAGTCAGCCACAATTTTTTGCATCAGCCGAAACTTGAGGCGGAATCGATGATGGGCGATAATGACCTCGGTGGCGTCTTCTAATGGGAACGAGCGGCGAGCCGCTCATCTGATGAAATAACGGATCGATTTTCTGCCGTTCGCCGACCCGCAAGCCAGAACGACATCCCGTTCGGAGCATCGTTCGGCGCGCGTAGTTTGGGGGCATCCGAAGCGCGCGCCATTTCGCTCAACAGAATCAGGTTCTGGCATGATGAGCCATCGGTATGAGCACCGAATCCCCATCGGCGAGACCTGTCGACTTGGAACCACCGTTGGCGGAGCTTGTGTGCCCTGGCCACTTTGAGGCGGAAATCTCCTCGCTCCAGCAAAATAGGCCCGCGATGTTTTCCGTCGACAGCGTCTGAACTCCCGTCCCGAAACGAGCCCGCGGCTCAGCTATTTCTATTGTGTAGCTCCGGAGGCAATTCGCTTCGTTCGAGTAGCTCCTCCGCGGCGTTGGCGGACGTCTCGTGCATGACGGAAAAATCGCCGATCGACGCTTCCCACCGAACGACGAGCCGTGGTCGATTGATGGAGCGATGTGTTGGCTCCGTTACTTTCCATCGTTCATAAGCAGGATGACCTCTAATGGGTGCGCAGTGCGCAGCCGACATCGCACAGCCGCTTCGAGCGATTTCGGTCGAGGATGTGAACTCTCTTCTCTCGTGTTTCGCTCTCGACAAGATGAAATGATGCAATGGAAACCAAGCATGGGACGAGGAAACCCGTCAAACGAGAGCAGCGCTGCTCTGCGAGACATCATTGTGCACCCAATGGAGAATGCACGACATAGGGCAGCTCCATGAGCACGTTGTAGGAATGTTCGCTTGCCGAAACTCTTAAGCTTTAGCTTCGCTTTGACGAGGCTCGGGCTCAGTCCCTTAGAAGAAAATAGCGACGACCTACGTGAATCCCAGGCCAGAAACTCAGATCGCCATCGGACATAACAAAACAGCCAGAAATCGATCGAGAGATACATTCCGGGAATCTGATCCTCTGAGCTCGTTCCGTGAGGCATTCTTGCATCGACATACAGTCCGTTGGTTCGAGCTTCCACTCCCCTCGAGAAAAAGCTGAAGTGCCCTGATTAACTTGGTGTCATTCGTCTCCCTGACTCCGTTTGGAATACGTCATCTCCTACTGATTCGGAGCGCCGGCATAAAGGGCCCTCGAAGCGTCGATTCGGAATCATGCTTTTCGTGAATGAGGGTGTCAAGAATGTTTTCCGTTACCGACAAAACATATCATTGGGATGCCTGATTATCATCGGTCTCCAGGAATGCTCGATGGATAGAAGTGCAGCCGGATTTAGCTGCGAGGAGGATGAAGAGATTTCCCGGCTCCTGGAGATTCGACGAGTCTCCATTATGCAGCGGATTCATGCCTAAACTCTCACGTCTCCATCTATTGAATCGAGCCGCTGTTCCGGTCCTCATCCCGTATACCATATGGGACACGAACGAGCATCCGAGTCAATAAAGGCGATTGCATGGTTGTCGCGATTTGATTCCCTTCTAGGTTTTCCATGAGGGCAACGGCCCCGACAGGACGACAGCCTCCTTCGATCTCGACCCAACGTCGAATCTTGAAAGATGGTCTTCATCGATTCGTTGATGAATCGGGTGAAGACAGGAATCCGACGCCCAACCCTCGGAATATTAGAAGACCGTCACCGGAGTACCTACGTGAGATTCCGGACTGGATAGAACATCACAGCCTTTGTTCTCTTATCGAATGGAAGCTCATCTCTTACGCTGAAGTGGGAAGGAGGACACGTCAGAAGGCATCATAGCTATGAGAAGTTCCAAAAATACCTCTTGAGCTCCAAGAATGTCAGGCTTTATCAGGACCGTCTTGCCCCGGCGTTCTCGGGAACCGATATGGGGAAATTCCGCGGACAGCTATATTTCCTCTCCCCGAGCTCTCGAAATGTACCGAAGGGTCTGCTCGAGCGGTCGAAGTAAACAGCTCAGGACTCATCACGGGGATGCCCATGTTTCGCCAGAATTCGAATCGCGGCGTGAATGTCAAGCTACGGGGAGCTGAGAATCAGGGCGGTGTTGGGGACGAAAAGGCCCATGGTCCGAATCAGCTCATAGATTGTGTCGACTCGAATCACATATTGTGTTTTCGTATCGCTTAACTCTACATCGTTTTTATACGATAGACAAGGTAGTTCGAAGGTATCAGTAATGATTCTAGGTGTGCACGAATCAAGACGAATGAATAAGCGACTAGTGAATGACTGGCACATAGTCGACGAATAGTCGAAACCTCTCGAGCATTCATATCTGCCATGATGCTGTTCCCGCCAGAAGGATAAGACCAATGCTTTCAGTCGTAGAGATTTTTTCTTCAATGAAATGTGGTGCTCTCTCGGAACAATATCCAATGAGGAGGCTCGACCTATCCACGAAAGAAACTGGCAACTTTTTGGGGGGATGACCCATCGGGACTCGCTTAGTGTGAAGCCGGGGATTCCGGAAATTCAGCTGATGTGACGCGGTTGAATGGAGCATGTAGCGGAGCCAATCCGTTCGCTGCGAAATCAACGCAGCGCTGCTTCCTCGGCTCGCTCGTCGTCTTCGTGGAGTACGATCGAGATCTCTGTTCGACGTGTGGATGCCTTCCCATTCGCCTCATGAAATCGTCCGGAGGGATCCAGCTCCATTCTTCCAGAGATATGCGAGGAGCTGATAGGCGGACTCGTCGATGAGAATCACCTCTTGATTTCCGTATGAGTGTCGCATGAAATTCCAGTAGAGTCCCGGCCCCGACTCGAATACCAGGGACTTATCACTGAGGACTCGGGAGAACAATCCCGTCGGGGGTCCATCGCAAGGATGGGCTCGGAGCAATCCATCCAAACCCGATGTTCCTAGAGGAGTGACGCGATAAAGAGCAGCGGCACGATGAGGCTCGAAATTTGGTTCCTGGTACTTTCGCACAGCGGCTGTGTAAGCTGCCTATACCAGAATCTCCTATTCGGAGATAAAAATATGGTTCTGACAAAGTAGGCAGTCCCCGGATGATGTCTTCCGATCCCAAATGAAAGATTATGAACCTTCTCGAAAGATGTCGAAAGAGCTGGAAGGCCTCAGTACTCAAGTCCCAATGAAACGGATCTGAGTTCTTGGGTAGACCGGAAGTCAGTGGTCTCGATGTCAGACGCAATGAGGACGAGTTCTGTCTGATCAGTCTTCGATTCCTGAGATCGATCATCGGGGTAAGTTTCAGCATCAGTCTGTACTTCCTCGTCTGTCAGCAAAGACGAAGATCTAGCACTGGCCTCCAAGGGTGAGATGGTTTCCGGCTACTGGGAGTGATATCGCTGGACAAAATCAATTGGGATCAGTATTCCCGGAATACCCTGATCGAGAAGTGTCCGACCTTCTCCGAGCAGGCTTTGGGAATATTTTCCCGATGTTTTCCATGAGTCAGTCCAAGCTTCCTTCGCTGTGTGCGTACATGGGCGAGAGCTACGGTCTCCCCGGAATGCGGCCAACTGCGTGCAGATGACGACATATTCAAGCTCTTATCTGAAATATCTTCTCGAACGATCCATAAAATTCAAAATAATATGTCGTTGTAGACGGATCGTGATAGCACTCGATGCTTATGACTCATGATAAGTTCCCCTTGTCTACGCGCCTCGGCATTTACGCGTTAAACAAACAATCAACTCGATGAGAGACGCGTGCCCCCGGACACGTCGAATCTGCTCGATTTTCTCTGATGCAATTGAATCAGAGATGAGGAAGATGAATCACGGGGTCTACGATGCTCCGGAGGTGGGGGGGAGATTATGGAACACCTAGAAGTCACCATTCTATCGAGGAGCATTTTTAGATTTTGAATTTCACAGCCGCTCAATAGCCTCGACTAAAATCGAAACCATTCCATATCGGCTTGAGTTGCTTTCAGATAAACTGATAGTAACGCTCGAGTGCTCACTCTGCCGATACGGACTAGGATCAGCCTCCTCAAGCCGAGGTCAAGCACCTAGAGAACATCCGTGGTTCAAACAGCGGGCAACTTGCCAAGAAACAACAGACGAAACACCGACTCATCCCGACTGAGTGGGGAACGACCAACGATGTTTTGCTTGCTTGTGCCGTTGTTTACGCTTTCACTGCGGGGTGACAGGAGCGAGTCGGGAAACGTGGCTCGTGGAAGAACCGTTTTGACGTAATTGATAAATGACCGGGGTCATATCTCATTTGCTTCCTTTTCCCCTCATATCGACGGTTTCCAGCCCGTTGTCCGCGCGGCGGCGACGACAACTCATTAACAAGTGAAATTTTTCCATGAGAGTGCTCTATTCTGGAAAATTAGCGGAAGTCCCTATTTCCGAGTGACCAGTTCATCGTTCGCCGTAATGCGTCAAACTGCCACCTACAGACCCTCGTTAAGAGCAGCAAGAGCTCGCCAGACGGGGCTCTATGAAAAAATATCCCATATCCTGCTCATATCCGGAGGTGAACGATTCTTTCCCTCCTAATCATAGGTCATGGAAGACACTCTGAACATCCGTTCCACGGTGGAAAAAACGCCCCGACTCGAATAGTGCTCACGCACATCGTTGAACTCGATTTGATTGCGCAAGAACCGTCCACCTGCCTGACATTTTGTGCATCTCGAAGCCCGGCGGACAAAACACAGAAGACCTTGTCAGGTCAGATTACCCCTCACAGTGATTTCTTCGCGGTGACCAGCACACGGCATGCCTTTAGAGCTCGCATGATAAAACAGTGGAACCTGATCAAACTGGAAAAGCCTTCTTCTAAAAATTCTTCGGCTAATAATAAATACGCCGAGCGAACGACCGCAGGGTGCCGGCAGAGGCAGCGATCCGAACGCTCGTAGGGTCCCAGAATTGGAGAGGAACCGTAGGATGGAATGGAGCCTGCTGGGGAAAATCTACGGCAAGCGAGCTTCGAGCATTTTTGAACGAGGCGTTCCTTAATCATTACAGGGCCTAGGCGGGGGTGACAGCTGGAGGTCTCAGTCAGCTGGAGCTGACTGAACGACTCGTTGCCCATCATGCACCGTCTCCACCTCAGCCCTGTCAAGGTAAGCGATTGCTCCTAGCTTCGTCCTTTGCATCATTAGAGCAATGAAAGGACCAAGCGCCATTTTGGAAGATATGCTCCGATTGTCGTAATCAGATACGCGCTGCACGTCACGATTCCGTCAACAGGAGAACATTCCCTGTCTCTTGTCGGAAGCAGCCCCTCCACGCCAGTCATTGGCACGAGTCCAGCCGTCATGAAAGTGGCGCCACTCTATTGAGACGCGGTTCATCGTCTACCTCAGTTCCGCGCTTCGGTTATCGCGCTTTCTCCTTTTTTCATATCTATATCGCAACTCCGGCGGCGACCCGCGGATCTCCGCGATTGGAATAAGAGAAGTTCGAGGAGAAAGCTTCTCGCCGTACTACTGGAACCTGAGACCTGTCGTTGTATTGCCGTTGACAACCTCCACAGCTGTTGTGATGTTATCAGAAAGAGAGAAAGGAAGGTATATCCGTACAGGAGACTTCATTCTCCACTGATCTTTCGGACGTAGATCGGTGAGTCTCCGGGGCCTCTCGGAGAATTTCGGCCGGTGCCAGCCGATCCGAATCATCGATTCGAGCACACCGTTTACGAGATTTTTTTCTTTTATCAAATACCTCTCACATTTGACCGTCCCCCCTTCATTCCGAGTCTACCCGGGAGGGGGCCATATAATTTACACAAGTAGGGGGTTGCCTTCAGGCTCTTCGAACTCTGTGATTGTTCGCTCATAGAGCCAAGTACACACGATTCTCGTGAAGGACATAAGCTATGAGTACCCATATGTACGCTCCTCCGAGATTCATAGCCATGTATCTCCAATGAGTCTCCGGACCTGCCCAAAACCACGGCAGCATATCCGTGACAAGCGCGTGGCCGACGTAAACGAGGATGGAGTTCATTCCTGCAATAGTATCGATTGAGAATCTCCGAGTCATCGCTTCTCAGCGCGAAAGGTCTGCTCCTCCCTAAAGTCACGCACCAGGGTAAATGAATGGCACTGCGGACCATAGGGCAAGAACATCGATGATGAGGTAGAAAACGCTCAGCAGCAGGAATGCCAGGCCGGCCGTGCATAAGACATACGACAGCGACCTGCAATGGAGGAGCTGTGATGAACTGAGAGAGATATTCAGAATAGACTCAGACTAAACGATCGTTCCCGAAGCCTTTGACGAACCACAGATTTTTGTTTATAGGTATCCAGCCGTCCTCTTTGCTGAATCCGCACAGGATGCCAGCCAGCAGTCCAAGGAGAACCCCCCAACAAATCCAGCGGCTTAGCCTGGAAGAGGAATACCGAAGTCGTTATGGTGGAATGCTGCAGCACGAAGCGCTGGCACTGATCGTCAGCCGGCCGAAAATGCTCCAAAGCGAACATGAGACGAAGCATGGGCGGACCGAATACGAAGCATTCCCGTGAGGTGAAGGATCGCTCCATCAAGATGGAAGATCGCTACACCAAGAAGTGAACTCGGTCAGATGGGTCCGAGCGAGGGCTCGACCAACTTGAGAGATTTCCGATAAACATCAGGAATGGCTGTTCAGCCAATCAATCGATAAATCAATCAATTAAAAATTATTCGATCGATTCTCTGAAGGATACGTTATCGTGGGAATGCCTCCGCCGGTGCGATGTCCCGACTAGTCGTTCTACTTCATAAACTGAACTCCATAGTTTTCGGAATCGGGTCCCCGAATAATTGTAAGAATTATGAATTCAGAGAATATGGGTGCCTCCCCCGAGTGAGTTGGACTCGAGGCGGTATGTGCACACCTGCGACCTGGATTGTTGAACGTGAGCAGAATTTTCCCAGCTTGGAGCCCGAGGAATGTCAGGAAAATTGACGTCAAGCAACCCAGAACGCCTTCGGGATCGAAAGGCTGTGACGTCTCGTATATTTTCTGCGGAAGAGAACACGACATATGTTAGACTCTCTGCTCTTGATGGGGATCGGTCTCCACGTGGGGGACCGAGGCTCCCAAATCTTGGTCCTGTGTCATTCAATCGTAATCCGAAGCCCGGTTAAGACTCACCTCCGTCGTAGGATGCCCGTACATGTGATTTGGACCCAAGACGACCCGATCGATGTATCCGGCTGCTCCACCCGTGCAATTGAAATGGGTACCATTCTGTGGGAAGCATCGATATAGCGTTGAGTATCAGCGACTTGCCGAATTCCAGGTGGAGACCCGAAATGAGGATTCACCAGGTTCACCTTCGTCGAATTCTGTTTTTCTCAGGCACATGCATATGATCCCTTTGCGGGATCAAAGCTTTCTAACCTCGTGGAGCCCGCCGGGGCCCAGGTATCCCTTGGGACAATCGGGAACATCCAGGAGGAAAGTCAAGAGCACATGAATGGCAACCAGTGAGATCATCATCACCCATTCTTGCCAATACAGAGCAACATCTCGAATTTTCGCCCACTTCGCCGTCTGGAACGTTGATAGCTCTCAAGATATTAGACGACACTCTATCAAGTCTCCAAGCGTATACGGAAGGACGATCAAAGAAATACCTCTGCAGCGTCGGTGGCCCTCGAGAAGAACATGTGCATGCTCGCAACCACAAAGTACGAGACCGCGAATCTGGAATAGACCACCGACAGAGATTACGAGATATTCTACGGGCGAAATATCGGCAATGACTCTTCAGAAACCATATCTTGACAAATTCGCAAGAGAAAGCACTACCGCTGCAGAACTCCGGGTATCCTGAGCTTCGAGATGTCATTGTTCTTGCCCATGCTGTTGAGGATGAGACCTGGGATTGATCTTCCATGAGATTAGAATGATCGGGCCGTTTCCTCATTTCGTGATTAGTCCGATATTTTCAACGACACGACGAGCTCACCTAAGAGGAACAGTTTCACCGATCTGGATAGAATTTTGAAGAAGATCTGGAATCAGAATGAGGACCATCAGAAAGTCTCGCGCGATCCTATTGTCCAAGACCGTACCATGATATTCTGATATTTTTGAATCTCATCCATTTGGTGGATAACAGGGACTGCTGGAAGCGTGGTACCCATGCGCAATTTCCCGGGTATGATTTTCAGATCTCAGGACTCACCTCGGACAGTGGCACGCATTTCCGACGCATGCTCCGCAGTGAAATCGCCATCGACACGCCCATGATCCACACGAACCAAGGGAAAAGCAAATCGGCGAACGTCAATCCGTCCCACGGAATGTGCTCGAAGAGCCAGAGTCCGCCTGAGGGGAGTGAGCCGTAAATGAGTTATGTTATATGTATGCTTCCACCCAAGCCTCGCGGCTGGGACTCATCGTATGTGCGTATGCGCAGATTCATTGAAAAAGAATCCTCTGGTCTCTACCTCCACCATAATTGACGAAAATCATCAAGAAAAGACAAAATCCTCTGAAAGCGTCGAGAGACTTGATTCGTGGCTTGCCGGCTTTCCCGATCTGCAATACATATCGAGTTCAAAACATCGAATTCCGAGGTCTCCGACAGACGAATGTATCGAAGAATGAGGGAATCTATCGAGGAAGAGTGATTACTCAAGCCCACCCCGTCTTCTGGCGGCCTAGATCCGGCTGTGCTGGAGCTCGCTTCCAGAGGGCCCTATAATACGGGAGGGCTCCCTTAGAATTAGTAGAACGTCGCGGGAATCAATCTACCCATACATGGATTCTCCTTGAATACTGGAAGCTTATGTAGGAGGAAAACTGACTCACCAGCGAGGAAGTTTCAGCATCGCCCGTATCGGATCGCAACTGGCGCAAGCGACGTTTCTCTCGGATAACTTTGACGAGCCGGCGGAAGAAGTCCAGGAGCAACTGGATGAATATGGCCGCTATCAAGGGATAGTATATCGATGTCGCTGGAATATTCGGAAATCTAGCGCAATTCCCACAAAAAGCTGTCTCCCCCCTCTCCTAGAGCTGGACTCATTCTTCATAAAAGTCCGTGGAGTCTCCGACATTCGGGATTCGACTCACGTTGTGCGACGATCTTGACAATGCAGGTATCCTCGTCCTCGATATCGACTACGTAGGATCCCTGGAAGAATCGGGAACGGGGAGGATTTCGAAACGGTTAGGAAGACTCGAAATCAAGCTTCGCCCAGACATATGAGAGAAAGAAGCAATTTATGGAATACGACTCTATTCTCACTCATCTACCTCGTTTTCGAAAGATGGAATCGAGCAGTTCGACGGAATGTGGCCATCAGCTCCTATTTGAAGCATGGTCATGGACGGGTAGAAGGTAGGCACGATCTGAGAACGCAAGAATCTCGATGGTTGCAACTCATCCCCAAGGAAATACTGACTTCAATTCTGAGAATCCATAGCCAACCTTTGACGCATTCGGAATCCTCGAGGAAAGTTCCATAAGTAAACTGAACTCGCACTGCGATTTGGGAATGGAAACTGATTTAAGAACCGACTCCCCAGAGCTCCAGGCGTGGATGTCCTCGACCCTACCCCCAGATGCGGCAGACTCTTCCGATACGACATCCGCTATCCCATGAAACAGCATATCGATACGCACCAAAAGTCGTTCTATGCACTGACCTTGTAACATTCGGTCGACTTCCAGCGAACAGCGACGGGGACGTCTAGATGCGATCTCACCGTTAGGAGTGCCTCGTTCATTCCCGGCTCCATGATGTTTATTTGTCTGGCGGTCGAAGAATCAGGTTGAGCTTCGGAGCTATACCAGTCGCCGATAGGCATCAGACGATATCCGTGGGCCGGACTCGGAGCTCCTCCGATAACTAATCAATCAAATGGATGCTACTATGGAGACAATCGATGACGGAAAATGACTCGGGATGCTCCCGAAAGGCCGAGACTGTGACCGTAGACGGCTCTCCCGGGATATCAAATTCCACCGCTGAATGATTGTATGTGTTGGAGGGAGACCCGAAGATAGACCACAAACTTGGTAGTCTCCGGACCGCAAGGAGTCCCGATCGTGCCATGAAATCGGACTCACTTTGGATGGTACGCGAGGAACCACTGCGAGAGTCCAGCAGCTGATGGGACATTCCACCAAATATACGCTAAGCGGAAATCCTCGGGTGTCTCTGCTGCGAGGCTTAATCGTCACAGCCAGTAGGTTATTTACGGATGAAAGGCTCAGGGACCTTTAGGTATCTACCCAGCAGATCTTTCGCTATACGCGTTGACGGACACCTTTACGTCAATGCGGGTGATGGGGACCTTTGGTATTTGCCTGTCTCTCCTCATCTTCTAATCTTCGATTCTCAACGGGAGCTGCTTTCAACGAAATCTGATCTTCGTTCCAAAAATATGGAATATTCGAAGATGCAGCTCAACAGGCAGCCCAAACCTTGAAGTTCTGGATACAGCAGCCAGTGAACAGATCATGGGCTTTCAACATGACAACCCTTTCCTGGAACTCACGAACATCGTCCAGGGTGCTCGGATCGTGCGATCATAGCGTATAAGACATTCGAGGTGCACTTGGAGATCCATCTTCCTCTCTCTTCGATCGCGCATGAAAAGCCTGATCGATTCTAAGGATTACACACCTCACAATCCATCACAATTACGCGGTCTTCCGAGAGATTGCTCTGGCGGCTCTTCGGGGAGGGAACCCCCTTTCTTCTTTACACTCCGAAGAGAGAGAAGTCGCGCTTCTTGCCCTAAGGGCTCCTGCTGCTCCGTTCAAAAACTCACGGCGGGAAGGGTCCGAAAACCTTTCTTAGGCTTCCGTGTCTACATGGGGAACATTCTGAGCTTAGCCGATTTTCGGGATCGAAATGATTTTCGCGATTATGTATCGATCCCAGGAAGCTTCCCGAGCCACTTGCACTGGAATCCACGCCGGCTTTCGCACGTTCGCTCGTATCACGGGTCTGCTCCGGAGCTTTTCGTTCCGCTCTCCCTTAACATGCGGTCAGTCCTCGGTTCGACGTCAACGGACCGTTCGGAGCTCTGTCAATCCGATTCTACCCTGAGGGTCAAACTTTCCCGACTTACGTCTTATTGAAAATTCTGCGCACCCTCGGGCGAGCATATCAATAGACAGAACACACAGAAAATTAATCGGATGCCCTTGATCAGTCATTCTAATGAGACTGACTGACAATTAGTGAGTGAGCCTACGATAAACGCAGTGGCAGCTCGTCACGGGTCACGGTATAAATTAGTCTCACGTTTCCGTAGCGATTTCTCGAGATTCCTGAACTAGCTGAATACCGAGAATCTCGAGGGTGCAAATCGTCGCAGTCGACTGGAGACCAAGTTTAATTTGAGGGCTCCTTGACAAGAATACGCCTAGCCCGACGACGCGACGTTTGACAGAACATCTTCGACTTTCCAAACTGCTCTGAGGTAGCACCCACCTGTTCTGGTGACTCCCGTGTACTTGACTCTACGTCCCAGTCAACTGCACGCACTTCCGCGGAACTTGTCTTCGCACCGAAATCGGTTTGCCATGATCAGTCCTTGGCAGTAGCGCTCGTCAGCTGTGGGATCAGGCTGGCTCCTGGAGTGGTGCGGTGTGAGAAAGAGTTGCCGTACCGCGCGAAATCTTCTTCTTCTCAGAGAAGTCAGCTCATGGAAGCTCCAGTAGAAGCTTAGCTGCCCCATCCCGCGTGAGGGGTCATTTCAGACTCGCGCTAGCCTTGCTCACCCATGAAGGATTCTCAGATTAAGGCTCCGTCAGCTGGGAGGAGGACCATCTCTGCACCTTCTCGACCGAGAATTTCAGGGTCTAGCGAATTCGTGAACTGCAAGGCTCTGATCGGCTCAGCTGGACGCGAGAGTGACAGATAGCACACTTCTCCGACTGGGTCACGGAAGTCCTCCAATCATCCTAATCATCGCTCACGACCTGCCAAGGGAGGATCCGAATTCCAGCGAATTCCTAGTCGCCCCATTTTTTCGAACGTATGCATGGGAAAGCCCTGTCGGGCTTATCGGAGCTCAAGGCCATATCATTGATTGAGTATGCATCGTATAAGAACGGGGACGGGGAGCCTCAGACAAGGAGATCTGAGCGATGCACATACATCGAGATGTGTTATGATTTGACCGGGACACTTCCGGGAGGAGTATTTCAGAGTCTCATTTTCTGATGAGAACCTCCGGGAGCTTCGTAGGATTGTGCTTCTCTTCCAGAACCTGTTACAAAGAGAACAAGAGACGATGAAAACCTGAGGCTCAGTTTCAATGAGGTGGTTTCGGACCGCGACGGTCCGCGTTAGGTGCGAGCAGCTTGGGGAGACTTCTTGAATTAGGGCTCTGCGATAATTTCGATCAAAGTCGGCATCGGATATCGGAAACTTCGCGGGGTGTGCGCACGATATTCCGTGTGATCGCCCATACAACGCTCGTGAAATCCTCAGAGAGAATGCCGCGGAGTGTACAAGACAATCCGAGAAGAGACGTCTCTGATTGTGAACTTCCTTTTCCAGATCGGGCCTCTCTCCTCAGACCAGATCGAGCGTGTCCGTGGACGGAGCGCGACAGCATACTCTTTCCCGGCTCCATTGATCGTGACACCCTGTCGGCTCCTTCACGAGTTCCACCGCGAGTTCTTCGAGCCTCGGTGAGTAACACTGAATGTTCGAAAACTTTCTCCATCGGAAGAGCGGGTACGATAGAACGAGTTAGTGACTCTACCAGCTGTTGAGGATGCTCACCGACGAACCCACTGGTTTCCGCATGTTCTCTGTCTGGTCATCGAATCATCATCTCTGTAGGTGAAGCATTATTATGAAGATCCGGAACCTTCTCATCAGGCTGGTCGATGTACCGACATCAACCAAAGTTTTCCATATGACTCCTCTCCTCGTGATGGCTTATTTCTACACCTACCTAAATCTCAAATGTGAGTTTTGGATTGTATGAGATCCTCGCTTTTACATCGATACACACTGAAGGCTTCCGGATCCCAGTACAGGTTGACAAATATTTCGCGGTGGATCCCAGCTGGATGATGTCCCTAGTATTCTTCACTCACGGTGCTTCCTATCCGGACCAGACCATAAACAATTATTTCAATGGAAAAGTGCCGATACAGCTTCAACGCAAGTATCATATCAGTATGTCAGAGAGAAATCAGCTTCAGACTGAGATACGGGAGGCCAGATCATGGATCAGGATTGAAGGTGACGAGTTCTCTGAAAAGGACATGTGACTGTTTTCGGTAAGCTCAAAGATCCTCACAGGCCAACTGACCCCGAATGGCAAGCAGCAGATGCGGCTCCTCGGAGAACATCTGAGGAAAAACTACAACCCGAATTGTTTGGAAGCAGCGTCATTCGTATCCCCCGTGAAAAGATGCAATGACAGCATTTTCTACCTGTACCAGGTTCGTGTTTAGGAAGCCGCAGGCGATCTACGCACTCCGATTGTCGCGGGAGGGGGCCACGCCTCCGATCGCGCTGAGAGAAATCGGCTTGAAGTATACCTAGAAAGGAGCGCGAACGAGAAGAACGTTGCCGAAATGTATTTTCTCTATGGGGGAACAGTCAAGGCACGCGACGGTCCGTGACTTGCCCAATTTGAGAGCTGTAGAGGGAACGCCATCGTGCACATTCTAAAGTCCTCCACGCACCGCAGAGATAGAGTGGTACACTCGCTCTTTGCTGTCTGACCCCCGAGGTTGAGGTTTCCGGAGCCGTTCGAGATAGCCTCAATCGGAAGACGAGTCCGAATGGATTGGAAAGGCTATTGACTACCGTCAGCCCCACTTTGAACGAGACTCCTTAAGAGCCCAGAAGCTCCTGTCTCGCACAGTATCCGGAGTCTTGATCCGGAAAACTCGAAGAAAGTTATCATTAGCAATCGAGTTCTCATGATGAATGAGGAGCATTCTTCCAAATTCCCAGTGTCTTATTCCTCTTGAAGGGGCTCTTCAACTCTACGAATATACCTCTAGAATCCCAGATCACACTGCCAGCTGGAGACGACCTCATCGATCAGAGGTAGCCCAATTCAAAGAATCGAATCTCGAACCTTGTGGATGAAGCCCCGCTCGTATGAGTGGATTGACCTTTATCATCACCGCTCTTCCGGATTTCAGATCGCTGATTGCCAACATGGGGTCCATACTGAATCGTATGGTGCATTACCCGGCTAGAATCGTGAATGGATACCTTCAAGACATCATACGCGACACGGAAACCACACAAAACCGTCTGAAACCCGACACGTAGGCAGCCTCGCGCTCGGTGGAGCAATGTACCTAGTTGAGGAGCTTGGGAGGAGCTTGTCTCTAAGCACCGCTACCTGGTTCACAGAGTTGTGGTCGATGTTTTGCTTTCGGCTCTCGCGGACGGCCAGAAATTAGACTCGAGGCTGGCCAACACGTCCAGGTCTTTGCTGAAGGACATGAAGAAAGCTATTCTGACGTCGCAGATAAAAGGATTCCAAAAAGATCTCGTCGCACCAATTTTCAGCGACCTGAAATGGCGTCTCCAGTGAGTCCTTCCCACGGTTCTCGATTTGCAACAGAATCAAGCATGAGCTCTCGCTCCATAGTTTCGATGGGCGATCGCGGGGTTTCCCGAAAAATGAGGAGTGCCAATGTCTTCCCGCGCCCGTACGCGCACGATACGACCCTGCATTATTGAGATCTTCCGTTTCAGGAACATCACGGATACAGAAGCGGTTCCCAAAGTCAATTTGCTCCTGCTTTGTCTGACCCCCTTGCAATTAGCTGCAGCTTTCAAGAGCTTCATCAGGAACGAATTTTCATTCACAAATGTCTATGGGGACGCTTTCGAGTTTAAGATATTCAGCGGAGGGCGTGTTGTGATGAATTCGCTGTCGTGGACTTACTCCGAAACTGGTGAGTGGACCATCATAATCGGTAGTCGGACCAAGAGAAGCGATATATATGTATGCAAAGCCGATCTGGCGGTCAAGTCCCCCCTCGATGAGCCCCTTAGAGCCCGCCGCGAGCCGAGCACGGGGTAGGCGGTAGACTGAGCCAGGTTCTCACGCTCACGTATACATATGTCTGTATGTAGGTAGCGCGGCGGGAAAAGAGTTATCGAGCTTTATCGAAAATTTTCTGAATGAAAAGATGGCTGAAAATTGAAAAACGAGAGGTGGGAAACGAAAAGTGAAAACGGTTCCACGTTTCTCACGGCTCGTGTCGGACTTGAGCTGAAGTTTCGTAGCTCTCTGCTACTCCCACAGACCACCTAGCCTCCATTGAAGCCTCGGCGAACCAGTCGCGATCGGTAAGCCGGCACCGCTGGCTGCGCCACCATGTAATCACCAGAAGAGGTCGCAGTTTTCGGCAGAGATGCTTGTAGCGCTCCGAGAATGGACCTGACTCAAGCATAGTATGGAATCGCCAGGAAAAAAATATATTGGTAGTTTTATGTCAACGACGTGCTTGCATGACGTCAAAGTCTCTGAGAGGAGACTCTGATCGAGATTGGAGAGGTGCGCGAGCCAAGTCGACCGTCCTTATGATGTCGCTGCTTGAGTCGTCGACAAGGTTTCATGGTGATATTGATATGCGGCTCAAGTTCCGAAACAGGTAGCCGGATAAGCAATGGTCGCGAAGAAGTTGTTTACATTGCGTGAGAAGTGCCGGAGAAGTCTCGTCGGTGGACGTTGGGAACGCCGGCGATGGGACCCCTCGATGGAGACGCGGTGGGCCCACTCTCATCGCGCGGGATCAGGCCGGCATGGAGCTAAAATCAGTTATTATATGATTCGCAGATTCGACGTATACTTATCGGACCCGGAAAAGTTGGAACCAGCTGACACTCGACGAGTTTTTGGACAACATCGCCGAGTTCACCCCCTCATCACCGAGCTTGACGGCCCAAGGGGCTGCGAGCAACGTTCCGAGCAACAACACGAGCAGCATCAAGAATGGCAATAATTTGGGCGGCCTGAGTGGCAAAAATAAAACGGGTCTGCTCTAATCGTTCGAAGTGGTGAAGCGAAAAAGCATCGAGAGCTGCTTCGGGGAAAATTTCGTCTAACTTCCGTCCGTAATTTTTATTCTATGCGTGATACCTGGTAATGATGTTTTCACGCAACGCTACGCGTACCGAATGCGAAGCTTCTACCAGGAACGAGTCCCTGGTCCCCTAGACCCTAGAGTTATGAAAATTCATTAATCAGCTTTCATGTTACTCTCTCCCCACCGCGAGGTGAGAAGGTTTCCGGATGCCCAGAAACGCTGAATTCCAGAGCTTCGTCCACCCCATCGCTTAGGTGAAGCCGGTTGAAGAGCAAGACTAGAGGGAATCGCCATATTGAGCTTTAATGCTGCCACACTCCGAAAATGTCGATCTTTCTCGGGGATTTCTTCTACGCTGCGACAAGAAGAGACGGGCGTATTCGTCAGTCTCAGGTCTAGCACGTGTTCTTTCGCGACCTAGGGATTAGGGGAGACACCGAAGAATTTATCGGGAGATCCGGAGCAATCGATCGGAACTCGGAGTCGGAGCACTCAGAAATATTCGATCCGTGTCGTATGACCCTGCGCCGCCGGTCCGCCCTCGCCGGGAGCGATATCTCGGCTGGTTTCCAGGTCGGGAATCGAGCCTTCGAATGAGCGATCGAAAAGACCTCCCGAGAGCAAGACTGATACAGTTGCATGTGGCTAGAGATGGCACACGGAAGGGCGACGGCGGAAACCTGAAATTATCTCCGCACTTGAAACCGGACGTCGCAAACACCCGTCCCGCGAGCCGATTTCGAAGCGATTCACGACTCAAGTGAAATTCAACGAGCGCTTCAGTGGCCGGCCATGCAGCGCCCTCAAACGCTCGCCTCAACCCTGCTAGGAGTCGTGCTGCCCTCGATTCTTCATCGCGAGCCTTGGCTTCGTGGCTTTACGCGTAGTCATTTGTACAGCGTCTGGGGCAGGGCTTGGACGTCGAATTTCGGAGTTATCACGCTTCGAATGAATCGCTGTTGTAGAAGTGGGTCGCTCCTTCGGCACACGAAGGCAGTGCGGAAGGATTCAGTGCGAGGCCCAAACACAAATCACAGAGCTGCTGAAACCTGCATGCAGGAGAGTTGGGGAGTAGGCATATATACCCGCACGAATCTTCCTAGAGAAGGAGCGATACCCCTTTCCTTCAAGCATCGTCTCTTATTCGGAAGCGAAGTTGCACTCAGAATTTGTGTGAGAGGTCCTCCTGCCAGCCGGACCCTCCTATTGGCGTACAGTTCACGGAGTCCCATGATTTTCTTCCCTCTGATGCCTCGAGTTAGACACAGACGGACTCATGCAGAGTGGACGCCGGTAGCGCCGGGCAGAAGGGGATGCTCCAGATGGTCGTCCCTCCGCGAGTCCCGATGGCGCGTCCTAACCAAAAGGTTGAGGGAGAACTCGTGCGTTTGAAGGTTTCCTCTCATGTTGGGCCGTCACTTCCCCGCAATCGCGCGAGTCGCGAGGAATTATCTTCAGCGCTCCGCTGTTCGATATGATATCCATAACTTTATGAGTACGGAAAGCTCTGGCTTTATCTCCCACGAGATTTTGTGTTGATCATCTCAGCTATGGCGTTGAGCTACCCCATTGCCAGTGACGGGTTTGCCCCCCGAGTCGTCGACTGGAACGATAATAAAAGCCCCATTCAGGTATCTCCGAGTATACCGCGGCAGGCATCGACCACTTCAATATCCCACTCATCCTTATCTCGCTATTCAACCATTCGACTGCTCATCTTTCAACCATTCTCGGTGTCCATAGTATGAGGCCCATTTTACCCTCGGAAGAATCTAGCGAGAGAATCCCCGATTCGATCTCATGAGGAAAAGAACGCAAGGAAACACCCAGCATCAGCCCACTAGCGAGGCCTCGGACAGTGAAGTGAACTCAATGGCTTCGATTTTCCGGATGTGCAACACTTGCTTCAGAGATGACTGAGGGTCTCCAGGAAAATAGTCCCTAGAATTGCGGGGACGAGACAACAAGACAAGGCGATTCTCAGCTGCGGCGGATCCGCGATGTCCTCGGGGGCTTAGGGCGTTCGATGCGAGGTCCTCCTCCGACATGGGAAGTGAAGGCATTTGGGACCCGCAAGGGTCAGACGATCGGTCCGTGAAGCCTCTCCGCCCTTCGGGATCCGCCTTCGACTTGGAGCACAAATTAGAGATGGCCCCTCATGATACGAGTCGGGTCATTCGCGTCATCGCCTCTGCGATGTTGGCAATCATTGTCGAGTGTGTCGTTCACCGTAGGCACCGTAGGCAATCGTATCGGTGAACGTACTCAGCGTGCTCAATTGTAGGAATCCACCCACCAGGGGTACTTTTCCCTCAGAGGCAAGGGCGGCGCCGATCGCCTCCTCGGGAACGAAAGGCGTGCCCCAGACGCATCGCGTCAACGTCTGTTGCGTGATCGTGTACTTTTTCGCTTGCATGCTCTTCGCATGAAATTGTTCTATCGCCGCCTGATTTCCGCGACTGAACACTGTTCCCCGATAACCGACAATGAGTTCCATGTGATACATAGCGCAAGACCATGGGTCGAGGTTTTCCCGGATCTGAGGGAGGAACCGGAGCAGGAAGTTCCCGGGAAGATGGAATTCATGCTTTGAGCGCAGCATACTTCCACTGTTGATTTCGAGTGCAACCGCAGCACCGTATTTCCTCGTCAAAATCGACCCACGCCGTTTCGTTCTCGTCCTGCAAGTGACGCGGCAGCGCGCAGGCGCTAGCCGAATCGCCATCCGGCTCCCAGACGTGGATATTGGGCACCAAAGAGCATGGCACTTCGGACAGGCTGTGGAAGCTTGTTTTTGCTTGCAGGATAGAATAAACAATCGACCCCAAAACTCGCTTTCCAGCAGTGGTTGCAAGATTCTGTTATTCTTTCCACTCCCCCCTGATCTCGCTTAGCACTGTCGTTGCTCCCGGGAAACCGGAATTCCGAGCGGACTTCCTATTCTAGACCCTTGAGATCAGCTCTTTTCCTTGAAATCGGAAACTCTCCTTCCGCCAAGCATTGTATTCCGTGCCCCTCCGCCGTGATCGACGAGTACCGTGTTTCCCCGAATATAAGCCAGGGCTTATATTCGCCAACTACCCGGAAAAAAAGCAGGAGGGCTTACTTTCGGGGTAGGGTTTACTTCAACTTATGAAACAAATCGGAATGACAACAAAAATCCGAATTCGACAAATTACCACGATGATCGTCAATCGAATACGACAATCTCATCCTCTTCTGTCACGTCTTGTTAACGATCTAAATCTAAAGCCTGAAGAACCCCCTCAAGCCTCCGACTTTCGATCGCAGAGCGATCCCTTGGGCCGAGACGCTCGTGTTTCCCGATGTGACTGTCCTCAAAGGCATGACTTTTATCGAGATAGCCTGCGCGGAGAGCATTCGCGACACACTCATTCGAAATCTTCCCCCGAGATTTCCTGACCCATGAGGCAGCTTCGCTCAGAGGGGGGTTTAACGAAACCCCGCATGTTCCTCTGCAGACGGTGCTCGATGAAATCGTTGACGTTCGAGCGCAGATAATCTTTGAATGGTTTATTTATGGCCAAGTCCAGCGTCTGAAGATGGCCCGTCACGCCAGCGGGATTCATGATCTGATCAACGCCTCTACTCGCGAGAAATTTCTTCATGTCTCGGGACAATTATATGGTACTCATCGCTATTCCTGAGGTTGAATACTGTAACGTGTGATAAGCCAGATAACGAAGGTAGGGAATGAATGTTAATTTATTCCTGGACGAGTAGCCTTTTATA